ACAGCAGCCGCACGGACAACCATCACACAGACGCAACAGTCAACATCTTCGTCAAGCCAACGTTATCTTGCAAAGAACTGGAGCCGCCACGACCCTATCCCATTTCAAGACAACAGCCACATACCACCTCTGAAGGCCTACAAACGTACCGCAGGAATACAGGGGCAAGCTAGCGAATTTCTGCCTTTAGAGAAGCTATTGCCCAAGGGCACTGTTGTCGCATCCGATGAGGATCTTTCCACGTTCAAATTCCCAGACAAGTCCTCTGGTCCTCTGCAGAAGATCTTGATGTCCATTCCTCAGACATCACATGCCCCCACCGGCGGCCCATCCGTGTCACGACAATTTATCGACAGTCTCTTGTCAACTACAACATCCACAGTTCAGACAAGTGCTTCTATGGTCCAGACGAGGGGGGTTGTCGGCTTGGATGGACGCCAGAGCCCTGGTCAACAACTGCCAGCGGCGCAGGGAGCCAAGACAACATCTCTCCGACAGACAGTTGGTCAAGCCATTGGTGGTCTTACCTCCACAAAGGCAACGATGCCCTTGCCAACCAAAGCACCGGCTCAGTCATCTATCCCCGGATCACAAGCAGTGCAGACAGCTGCGTCAGGTATTTTCGCTGCTGCAAAACAGACCATCAGCTCAAAAGAACAAACCCGGAGTGCCCCCCAAGAGGACAAAGATAAGACCAAACAAAGAGTTCCGCCTGTCGCTGCTAAGCCATCGCAAGTCAAGGAGTCTTCAGGGGCAGTCAAGAAGAACAGTGACACAAAGTCTAAAGAGACAAAGGTGAAGACAGAACAGACCAAGACATCCTCCACCCTCGCCGCCTCTGCCAATAAAACATCCACGAGTTCCAAAAACACAAGCGAGTCTACCAAGGCCAAGAAGGAAACTTCTAGTGCTGAGACGAAGACGCGTGGTGCGAACAAGCGGAGCGGGGGCGGGGATGGGAAGTCTCTGGTGGGCTCTGGGCTGAATAAGTTGAAGGACGTTGTAGCCGCAGTTGCGGAAGGCTCCGCCGGTCTTCACGAGCCCAAGTCCAAGCAAGACGGAGGCAAGAATAACAAGACTGTAAAGAGCGATGCTAAAAAGAAGGCTACCCATGGGGTGAAGAAAGAGGTCAAAAGCAAGGTCAAGCAAGGGATCAAGAAAGACAGCAAGACGGCTAAGCCTCCAAAGGCAAGCGGCAACAGGTCTATCAAGGAGTCGAAAGGAAAGGAGAAAGTCAAAAAGAGTATGGCGTCTACGAAGTCAGAGTCTCGAAGTGTCTCCAAGAGGCAAGAGATGAAGAGCAAGACAACAAAGACAAAGACTACCACTACTAAGGCTGGGGAGAAGACGGAGAAGAAGACCGAGGAGGAGACTGAAGAGGATACGGAAGATGAGACTGAAGAGGAGACCGAGGATGAGACTGAAGAGGAGACTGAGGTTGATGATGAGGATGAGAGTGAGGATGAGAGTGGGGAAGAGACTGAGGATGAGAGTGGGGATGAGAGTGAGGATGAGAGTGGGGATGAGAGTGAAGATAAGACTGAGAGTGAGGAGAAGTCCAGCGGTGAGTTATCAGGCCATAAAAGATTGTCAGACGTTAAAAAGGAATCAACTGGCGACAACGACGACGCAGATGGCTTCAAGGAGGATGGTGACTCTGATTTTTCAAATCCGAACGCCAAGAGAAAGGAGCAATCAGCAGATCCCAAAGACCCTGAGGACCCACCCAATGCCTCAAAGGGTTCTAATGAGGAGCAATCCTCCAAGGCCGACAATCTGGACACCACTAAGAAGAATGCTGTCGATGACGACGATGCAGCCGCCAACAAGACTTCGACTGCGGATGGACCATCAGATACGCAGCTATCTTCAATTACCAAGGACCAAGCCGAGGAGAATTCAAAGTCTCAAGAGTCTTCCACCGAGAACGGATCTTGCGATGCCAAGGAGGCTTCATCTGAAGAAGAAGCCGCAACATCCACCGCCAGCAAGAGTGAAGATACAAGATCCACCACTGTCAAACCCCAAGACAACACTGTCACGTCAACCAGTTATGAGGCTTCCACCAAGGAGACCCTTTCTACCAGCAATGAAGTAGTGACGACCGGCGAGCCTCCGACCACGTCTCAGCGATCAGTCCCTGACAGCTCCGCTACCGTGGATCAGAGGATCAGTGAACCGACAAAAGCTGGCAAGTCATCCGGTTCTGCCGTTCTAGCTGGAGCTGCGGTAACTGGTGCTGCGGTAATAGCTGGTGCAGTCATTTACAATAACATCACAAACAACAGTTCAACCACCATAAACATTGATCAGTCTTCGCACAACCACCAAATTGAAGCTGCTCAACAAGGAGAGGGAGACACTGATAGTGATAACAACGATCAACACTCTGTACAAGGAGCTCAAGACAGTGATGTTGAGCAGCATGATGGTGATAATTCGAAAGGTGAAAACGATCAACTCAGCGGCAACGACACTGATAGCGATGACGGAGGTGGGAATGACACCGACAGCAATAGCGGAGAACATAACGCAAACGACTCAGACAACGATGAAGAGGTTGACAATGGGAGCCAAGCCGGCTTCGACACCCAAAGCGTCGATGGGTCCCAACAGGGAGAGCACGACAGCGACGACAATTATAACCACCACGAAAGCGACGACGGTAGTGACAATGAGGGTGACAGCGAAGGTAATATCGAATCGGGAGGAGATGGAGAGAGTGATAACGAGGGAAACATGGCAGGCGAGGAAGGAAGTTTCAAAGGTTATGCCTCCAGTGATGATGGGCACCGAAAGTTGGATGATGAAGGTGGCTCCAACGATGGCGATGGGGACGAAAATGAAGACGATTCTCAGAGGTCGAGTGTTTCTGGGGATGATGATGACAACCAGAGCCACAATGGATGGGGAAATCAAGATAGCGACGAAGAGCAGAACAATGGAAGTGATGCGGATGGCAATGGTGAAGAAAACGGATGGGGAGATGACACACAGAGCCAAGTCAGTGGTGATGGTGACGATGATGACAATGACGCCCAGAGTGTCAGCGGGCAGAGCTCTGGAGGCGGCTCTAACCACACCGGAACGGCTAATAGCAAGGATGGAAACGGGGATGGAGATGACGATGAGGATGGATACGGGTATCACAATGACAGTGGAGATGAACCCGCTGGAGATGGTGATGACCGAAGTCTGAACCAAGATAGCGATGCCTTGCAGGATGATGACAATGAGCTGGACGATGACAATGAGCTGGACGATGACAATGAGCTGGACGACGATAATGAGCAGGACGACGATAATGATCAGGACGACGATAATGAGCAGGACGATGATAATGAGCAGGATGACGATAATGAACAGGATGATGAAGCGGAGGATGATGAAGCGGAGGATGATGGAGTTGAGGATGATGGATTTGAGGATGATGGAGTTGAGGATGAGTACGGGCAGGATAAGGACGATGAGCAAGACGATGAGAATTATGAATATGGGCAAAATGAGGAGTACGGGCAGGACTATGACGATGGGCAAGATGGTGATGGCAACGGATATGAAGAAGACTATATGTACTAGTAGTATCAGTTGGAGAGAATTAGGTAGGTAGGTAGGCAACGCATTTCGTGCAAAACATTTCGGGTCTCCTTACAAGTATTGAAGAGTGCAATGTGCGGTCTTGCGTTTGAAAGAGTTCCAATGGGTCAGTGGCCGATGCCACCTTTGAGAGATCTGGTGCTTGGAGCCCACTCCTCCAGGCTCCTCGGAATTTTATCCTCAGACCGTCACGATGCACCATTTTTTTTTTATCTCACTGCATGTTGAAGTAAGCATGAACAGTCCTTGGTGGTTTGGGAAATCCGCCCTAATCAGATGATTGGTTGGTTTCCGGACCGGCGACCTAGCGCTTTCCTCCCCCGGCAGACCTTGATCATGAACGGTGAACCAACAAATTGGCACCTAGCTTCTTTAGGTATCAACACATTGAAAGAGGGCACATGATATTGCAATTGAGTCACAGAAGACGAGAAAATGTGGCTTCGTCTGGTTCGTTGAGGTAGGAATATAGTGTTTAGGTAGGGGTAGGTCAATACATGTACCTTATATTCAATGATCTTTCCACTGTTCTCTTACTCTGACTCTGGACCCCAGTCTTTTGGTTCATCACTTCTTTCTTTCTTTTACATGGTATCAAAAGGTCCTCAGTGTTTCAATGGCGCACACAAGCAGTCATAAAAATACTCAAATTCAAAAAGGAGCCAAGTCGGTTACCTCGAATACCAACCCTGACCTGAAAGCCGACTGGTTGAGCTGCCCACTTGCCCCAAAAAGCGTCACACCCAAAACTTCTGGAACAAAGGTCTCATCTCAGTCGAAACCAACCCCAAAGCCAAAAGACCCACACTATCTCATCAAGCGTTACATGAAGGACGGCGTGGTTCATATTCATGAGAAATTGTGGATGGAAGCAAGATATTTGCCACAAGAGCCTGGGGCATTCCACGGAGAATTAGAGGTGCTTGAATATCTGCCATTTATCAGTCCTGTTTCCCGTCCTTTCCTTTGTTTCTTTATTAGTTTGTTTGGAGAAACAGTCTTGTTGACGCTTCTATTGTGCAGGAAACGGACTTTGATATTTGTATTCTGGCTGAGTTTGCGGGTCAAGTTCATGAATCTGTGATGATCGGGTCTTATGACTCTGCTCCTCACCTCTCATATCTATGATGCGAATGATGGGCTTGGGAGCTCGTACCACCAGGGCAAGGTGCTGGCCAGGATAGAATTATATCAGAATTAAGTACCCAGACAGTCATCATATTCATGAATTCAATAGTTCATTCAACAGTAGGCAGTGAAAAGAACGCCTTTTCTTGAAGTCATGTCTGACTGGTTTTAGAGGTTATGAAAGAGCGTGATAATGTCCTCTCTGATGCATGAAATCTCCTAAAGAGTGTTTCCAGTTGGTGTTTGGTCTTTTACCCTTGGTCCCACAACTACAATCACCAAACCCCTTTCTCATTCCCCTGGACCTGCATCCTATTCAACGTACGCTGTGTCCACCTCACCAGCCCCACCAGTGAGTCCTTTGTAACCTTGACAATCCAACGAAGAATCATATGTTGGTAAGGCTCGCCGCGGTATTCGCGTCCGAACTCCAGCAACAGTGTTTTGACTCCTCTAGGGTCATCCTTATCTCCTTCAGCCACAATTGCGTCGATCTCCCGGAATCCCAGAGACATGAACAGACACTGGGACATGGGCGCAGCGCTGACACACTGAGGGATCCTGTCCATTCTTGAGAGGTCTCTAGCCCATGTTGCCAGCTGAGTGCCGTGGCCACGTCTCCAGTATGCCGGGTGAACGACTATCATGCTGATGGTGGAGTGTCTGTGGACTCTGTTTTTCCTTTTGGCGGTAGCAGAGAGAAGGCCCCACTCGTCATAGTGGCGTTGGTTTAAGTCTCGATTCAGGCTATGTGGAGTTGCGAGATAACGACCTGGGAGACGTGATGGTTAATATGAGGTTCACATAAATGCAATTTGAGCTTCAATAGAAGTATATAGATATTTGGATGTGGCCACAGTGATTTGTAACCATAGACGAAAATTCCTGTTGAGATTTTGAGATAGGAGGAGTTAAAGAGGCAATGAATGCAATAAAAGCAGTGACGTTACCATTATTGCTTTTCAATTTACCAACATGAGGAGAGCCTGGGTCGAGTTTAATGGAAATAACACCGACAATGACCCGTTCACCAGCCTTGGGAGCAGTCCAACCGGTGTTGTCCGGTATGATGGCAGCTGTCTTGTTGTTTTCATCGCGCAAGTAAGCGTCCTCCCGGACTAAGACTATATGATCGTCGCTCTGGATGGCATCCAGGAATTGGGCGCGGTACGACTCGAGTGTGTCTTCGGGGTACTTTGCATGATTGGGACGTTCCCACTCGAACAGAGGAGAGTATCGAAAAGCGGCAGTTGCCACGACGCTAATGCGAGGAACATCGTCGGGGCTTGCGATACGCAGGTGGCCCAGCGGAGGGAAATCCATGCGGCAAACAATGTCAAATGATCGTGAAAAACATGAAAAAGAGAAAAATAAACTGGTGGGTTCCCATCTTGTTACAAATTAACTGTCTTTGTGTGCACTTATGAAGAAATTCCTTGTCAAGGATTACCATTCCACCAGATACAAACTTTGGGGACACAATAGGTAATAATGGCGAGGCTCCGGTCGATGAAGTGGGTGGAGGTGGGTTGAGGTTGAGGTCCGGGTGGGTTGAGGTTCGTATACAGTGTTGCACCGTGCGAGCCTCGCGGGACCCACAAGTCAACAAATGCCAGGTGCTTATTCTGGGGGCCAATCAGAGTCAATCAGAGCTCGACCGGCGAAGGAGCTACCCCGCCCAGACGCTTTTATTGGCGAGCTTTTCTCACACATCATGGTCTGACAATGTTTAGTTCGGCCCTTGATGCTGGAAGTGTTTATAGATACTACATGTACCAGTTTCTTATTGCGTTTAAGCCTCCCACGGGCACGTCACGTTTCACAGTTGCCAACTTCTGATCCTTACATTACCTGTTCACAAATTCCAAAACCATGTCCGGCCACGGAGAGGGTCACGCCGGCCCAGAAACAAACGAATCAGACCCCGGCTTGGCGCCATCAGAATGTTTCGACTCCATGTTCGACTTTGAGCAGTGGGAGGCAGATCAAGAGGTTCACTGGGAGTTGCATCAGGACCTTCAAGGCCTTTCAAATCTCGCAAGTAGTGGCGACGAGGGTCTCAACATCACCTCGCTCACACCTCAGTCTTCGTCCATCGATTTCGATTTGGAGGAACCCCTGCGAACTACTACACCCGTGTCAACGATAGTTCCTACAACAGTGTCGGCCAACATCGAAAGTTTGTCATGCCTTGGCGTTCCATCATGGGACTTCGTTTCGATAACCGACCATAATTCTATCTCTTTGCCATCGACCCATCTTGTTCACTCCCCTGACATAGCCTCTGGAACTGATGGGGCCGAAGTACCCTTGAGGCAGCAGTCGCTCCCAAGCGGTTACTCAGGAGACTATAGCAACCAAACAACCGGGGATCACAATGCCTTCTCCAAAGACCCGTCAGTGGAAAGACAGAGCGATGTTGGGGTTGGGGTTGGTTCTTATGTCATCCAACCCAAACAAAGCCTGCCACACTCGAAGAAAGGTTCCCGGACAAAGTCACGCCGCACTATCTCAACAAAGTCAACCCAGTTGACGACAGAGAATGTGACATCCTATGACTGTTCCATAGGTTTTAGGAGCATCCTGCCCAGACTCGACGCTCAAGGGACACCTTGCAACCACACTGAACCAGACGCCCAAGCTTCCAGTTCGATGCCATCTAAAAAGAAGCGCAAGCCCAACACAGACGAAGACCGCGAGAAGATCAAGCTTGTGAGGAGGGGTGGTGCATGCTTACGATGTAGGATCTTCAAAGAAGCCGTGAGTTGCACTATGAGTCGATGCCAGATACGTGCTAACATCGGTGATAGTGTGATCAAAACAAGCCTTGCGGGCGATGTTTAATAGCTCTTGCCAACGCTAAAGTTTTTTCATTACCATGTTATAGAGAGCCACTGGAAAACGTCATTGCATTTCGGGCTGGAAATTCCAGGGCCGGAAAAATTCGCTCGGAGCCAATATCTATTAGATGGGCCGGTGATGACATAAGTCCGAGAGTCGTAGCGCTGTCATATCCGTTCAAGAAACAGGGCGCTGGAGCAGGATTAACAGTCACCATTAAATGTCGCAAGTTCGTACCTTACGAGTGGGATGTGATGGAAGAACCATGGTCTATTTCTCCAACAAAGTCCATTCCTATGATATCAACACCATTTGCCTGTGTAAGTGCATTAGAGATCCGGTTATTTGTCATCGCTGACTGACTGAAACTCCAGTACGACGATGGTGCAAGCGTGGCTGCTGTTGCAAGGTACATTGAAGCCACCAAGGCAGCACTCTTGGATGAGAGTCTCGACGGTATTTTGGACGACATGATTCGACTGAGTACTGCTGAAGCAACACGTTACTGCTTGAAATACAGGGTGAGCGCTTCCAGTGAGCTTCTCAGGAAACTGTGATCATCGGCTAATATTGGCGGTGACAGGACTCTGCTGTAGCAACTGCCATGAACATCCGCGCAGCCAGCTTTTTCTCCCGAACGAAAATGATCATGACTGGAAACAATGTGCTTGAATTGCCTTATTTTCATAATCCACATTTTCTACTCAACGGTGGCTACCCTGTACCATCAATGATTGACTATCAGATGGATTACATGGCAATTACCTACATGCACAGACAGATGGAAGTCCTTGTAAAGCAGTTGAAGAAGCTAATTTTCACCAAAAACCAGCGTAAAAGCTGGTACGAGGTCTACTTGACAGTATTCGTGCTGCTTCAAAGTTTGGAGACAGTGCATGCTCGCCAAATAGACATCATTCGGCGGTATGAACCAGAGGTACGGACGAATCTTACAAACCTTGCAGGAATCTCACTAATGGTGATGATCAGGGTGGTGAGGCATTGTCAAAAGCTCGAAATATTGGCACGAGAATGATCGATGAATGGAAATACTCTGCAAGAATCCTGATTTATCATTATCGAGCTGTTTTGAAAGGCATGGTGCCATTCGCAGCCACCTGGAACGACAAACACGTGGCCGAGTTGCGCCACAACTGCGGCCTGGATGAGGAGGCGCTTCAATATGCTCGACAAATGTCGGGTTTCATCAGGACCCGATTCGACTCTCTCAGACGATTGACCAAAGAGGGGCTCGATAACGATGCTGTAAGGCCGTTGGCGTGGATAGCACGACTTTATATCGACGATGAGGTTGACTCAGGCAAGAAGTAGAGAGGGGCGTTCAATTTCAGCAAACACAGCTATAGTATACCTGTTGTTATCTCCTCCGAGCCAAGACATTGCAAAAACGAGTTTCAAGCTCCGCTTGCACCAGACGAGTCTTTCGTTCAGGCGGCACTAGGAACCGGCAAAGAACCTTCGACAAACCAGCAAAATCCACCGTCAACCTTTCACTGGCCCAGACGGCACCATTGTTACACCAACACTCACGCGCTGCACAGCCACACCAGAACTCAGTCATGGTCCGGGTTAGCAGAGATGCCCATCTGCTTGATCCTCATGCCAGGAGCAACCTTGTCCATCTCATCCTTGGTCCAGTACGCCTTCTCAGCAGCATTCAGATCAAACGTCTCGTCCAACTTCCTCTGCAAGACAGGAGCGGACTCCCATCCCTTGTGGCTGTCATGCAGCCACAGGCGCATGATGTACCGCTGGTTCCACACATCATCCGGCGAGTCAACAAACCCAGCACGTGCATGGAGAACAGCAAAGTTGTTGATGAACAACAAATCTCCAGCCTCGGGAACAATCCGAAGGTTGACACGCGTAGCGGCCTCCTGGACCCGATTAAGAGCAGCAATCCTCTCGGGTGTAAGCTGTGGAGCATCAGGCGAGAAAGGGATGGCGGGATTCGCCCCCAAGAACGTAACAGCCATATTGATCTGAAGCTGGTTGTTGTGGAACCCAATCACGGGCCTGTTGAAGGTCCTGGTGATGGTTTGATTTGGGCCGGGGCGGTGGATGCGCTCCCAGTACCAATTCTCCGAGAGAATGCGCAAGACTTCGGGGTCTCGCTTCATGAGGTCGTTGTAAATTGAGGCGATGGGGGCGAGATACTGGTCTCCTCCTTCGAGGGGAGTGCTTTGGACGAAGAGAGAGACCATGTCACCGACGTCGATGTCGGTGTGAAATGTCATGGGCTTGGCGAGCTCGAGGGGGCTGAGCTTTTGCGAGAGTTGGGCACGGGAGCGGTCACGGATGTGGTCTTGGGAAAAGTTTAGCTTTTGCTTTCAGTCTCTAAAGCAGGAAGTCTCACCAATGTTTCTTGCACGCTGATCAGCAATGTAGCTGGTGATGCCGGCGTAGAGGATCACACATTCCTCGTCTGTGTAAGCCGAGGGGTTGATGCCACGGATACGGTGGAATCCTCGGCCGTTGTACACATGGTCCGTGACTTTCTGGAGCCGTTTGGCGAGTCCCTGAGAAAGAGGGAATGTGGTAGGGTCTGCATGGCCACGGGAAAGGCCCAGGGCTGGTGGGCAAGTGTCAGTTGATGACGTGGGCTGCATATGAGGGACACATGTGTTACCTTGGAAGTGTTTGATGGCAGAGTTGAGCTCCTCAATATCTTGGCTTGAGAGCTTGTCAGTGAAAACATCAGTGTTGGACTCAAAGTCGGCACCAGTCCATGCCAGGTCACCGGTGAGCTCTTTAGGCCAGTCAGCGGAGCTAGGGCTGTCCATTGTTCAGGATCTTGTCTGAGTCGTGCAATTTCTCCCTTGGAAGTTCAAGTATGATGAGATTGGGGAGAGAGTAGTGTGTACAGAACTTGATTTTCAAGACCCCCATTCTCACCGGGACTCCAGTCTGCATATATATCCTTCATCCATTGCATCCAGCTCATGAACGTGAATGCCCTCGATGCGGCTCAACTGCGTATTTCCCCTATTCCACAAGGCTATGAGGCTCAAATCGAGGCTCTGAGCTAACTGCCGGGCCAAGAAGAAGCTTCAGGGGTGTAGCTTATGTGAACACATGCAGAGCGGTTGGGGTGGTGTGCTAACCGAGCGTGCCATTTGTTGCCAGACCAAGAATGAAGCAGAAGTGCAACAATAAGTCTCTCACACTGTGCAGAGATGATAAGCAGAGCCTCAAGCCAGCGGGACACAGCATCCGAAACAGTCTAAGTTCGGGGCGGAAGACTGTCAGCGTGACCACGGACTGAGCCGGTTCCGCGTGGAGAGCCAATGATCGAGGGTTGTGATGAAGAGAATGGGCTGTTGATATATAAAACCCCCACGATAACATTCTGGCTTGCATGGTAGGATACTATGTCACGGATCCAATGGCTTCAGAGTGATACACATAGGTAGGATGGGGAGTAAGCACGGGTTAGGTAATGACATTCTGGACCTTGTTTTCAATGAGGCTCTTCGCACGCGCTAGCCCGTAATGATGAGTGGAAGGAGGGGATAAATAAAATGAATGGAATCAGTTGAGTGCCCAAAGAAGGAAACTCGGCGAGATGGGAGTCGTTGACTCTTGCCACTGTGTTCACCGTCTGTGGTTGATCCAGCAAATGACCTCCTCGGCAGCCCCAATTGGTTGGTTTCCAATGATGTCAAGACTCGAGACAAGATGATGAACTGCTCCTGATTCAACTCTGGACCAGTCATACAGGGCTAGCCGCCTTCACCATCCAGCAAATGGAACGGATGTTACCGTGTCTAGGCAGTTAGGTATCCGAGGACACCTCCACCAGCCGATAAACGTCGGTATACACCGGTCTAGAGTGCTATATCCCAGATTCTATGTACATGCTTCCCCCCCTAATTATGTTAAACCGACTGTGTCACACAGCTTCTGAGTACCCATCAGGCCCTTAGAGCCGATCAGGTGTTAGGATCTGCTTCACTCGTTCACCAGAACAGGCAATCATTTCCAGAACTACAAAGTCTTGGTAATTTTGTGACACATAAACTGTCTTTCTACGAGGATGGCATCTCCGGTTTCTGCTCTAGATAGCTTGTTATCACAGGCGTAAAGGCTTTCGTCAAATCATCAAACAGCCGAGCATATGTGACTACGGATCGTGTCATTTTGACCGCATTCGGCCCTCAAGCGTAGCGAGACCGTCTATGTTTGGCTGAACAGCTTGACATAGGTATGACTAAAGGAATTTCAGGGCGTAGGCTCTCATCAAACTCGTCTTTCAATTCCGTTTCTTTTGCCTAGTTCTCGATGCTTACCTATATGTTCAGCCTCCTCACCAGCTCTATATCCGATTCCCGCCGCTGAAGCCCACTCCCACCCCTATCATATATGGACGTTGTCACTGGGCCGTACCCCTCCACTTTCTTCCGCAAAAAGCCGAGCCAGACGAAAGATAAAAGTATCAGTCCCACAGCGACAATAGCCATACCCAGTGACACACCCACAACCCCACCAAGTGGCATCTCTAACCTGAAGCCTACGAAGCTCAGACCAATGAAGAGACCTGAGAGAACGGTGAATATCAAGAGCATATAGATCGTGCTGGCAGTGGTGAGGGCTGTCATGAACTTTATGAGACGGTTGCCAACCCGCCCGATGGAAGGCCAGTTGATGCTGCGAGCGATTGTGCTCGGGATGGTGTGGGTGACAGCGGTCTGGACGGTGGAGAAGTATAGCGCAAGGTATGTGACAGCGGTGACGCCTATGGACACTCCCAGCCATCGTGGCCAGGTGTATTGGTCTTGAAATTCCTACCAAGATGTGTGAGTTATGAACAAGGGAAATAAGTTAAGGCACTTACAATTACGTTCATCCCAAAAACAGCAGCAATGAAGCTCAGTGGTATAAAGAAGAAGGCCAGCTGTGTAAGCTTCGATATCGACTCGGCTTGGGCGATGGCCCGCTGGCTCTCTAAAATGCTGAGGGTCGACATAAGCGCTTGAAAAGCCGTTTCGACTCTATTTCGAATCGCCTCGAGTTCAGCGTTGATCTGGTTGAGTCGCCATGCTATCACTTGCTCCGAGTCATCGCCGTATGGCGGGACCAACTGACGGGGCCTCTCCTTGGTGTGCTGCTCAAGTTTCTCCATCATATACCGGACAGAGACCCGAAGGTTGGCGAGGGTGTTCCGCCATCGGCCAAGATAATCTCTCCACTGCGGCACCGAGGAGCGCAGCTGCTCGTCTTCGCCCAAATACAATTCGACCTCGTCCAACCCCCGACCCAGCTCGAACAGGATGGTTGGCATATCATCCACCACAAAACCAAGCATCGTTTGTATGAGCCAAGTATCGTTTTGTCTTCCTCGAAACGGACTCGGGGCATCCAGCGCCCTTTTGATACGGTCTAGGGCTGTCGTCTCGAGGATAAAACAGGGCTGATTCGGCAGAGGTTTGGAGCCTATGTCTCCAGACCACAAGTTGAGGTTCACCTGCCTGACTGTATGCATTCTTTGTGGATCGACCAGAAGGCACCCAACAAGTTGACCATTCTCCCGTCTCGAGTAATGAAACGACATGCGCGTTGAGGCATGATGAAGAACAACACTCTCCATCCTCTGTGATGGGTGAAGCGGATGGTATGGTCTATATACCCCCTCCGGAAACGTTCCCCATCGACAATGGCTCTCGTATGTGGATTGGGGGTCGGCAGTTTGGTCTGTATCCCATGGCGTTCCCGCGCGAATCTTCTTCTCCATTTTCCAACCTTCAGACTTTTGCAGGGCTGGTTCTGACCAGCTGACAAAGAAACTACCGGTAGATCTGTCCTGGTGGAAGCCCATTTTGTGTCCTGAGCCGCGTCCAAGATGGGCTGGGAAGAACTCTGGGGGCAGGTACAACCCCATATTTGCCAAACGCGTTGCCTGAAGGTCGCTATGAGCTTCCACGAGGTATATCAGATCGTAATCTTGAGAGGGTTCCAGGGCTTCGTCAGGGTTGGGTTTGGTCTGTGACAAGTCGACGGCGGTGAAACTGGTCTTTCCATCATTTTGGACTTGAAGTCGCAGACATCTGGAGGTGGCTTCCGAAGGTTCTGAGGGTTTGGCGGGCTCCCGGCCGATAACGGGATCACCCAGCAATCTCACCGAGTCAAGCGACGAGGTCCTTCTTTTGAGCATTCTGACTTAATTGATGCTTCCTGGATTTCAGACATTAAGGATCATGGGAACTTGCTTTGTGATAAATGCGGCTGACCTCTATTGCCCCTTGATACTCTCCCCTGTCCCACGACTGTTCTCAGCCGCACGCGGGGTCGTTCGTGCTCATGGAGATCATCTTCAAACTGTTGGCACGCCTCTCCGGGCGAAGACAATAATGTTTGTGGAGAACACTCCCGTCTTTCCTACGATTTCCTCGGTTGCCGTCTGACGGGATTAGGATTCAATGTGATACCCGTGGGTACATGGCAAAGCGTAAGTTGGGACTGGCGGGCCGTTCAACGTGCCTTCAAGATTTGGCATGCACACCCCTAACCCTTGGCCAACGAAGTGTGGCTGGAAGTGGTCCGCGCACCAGCACTTCAGCGCGTGTCTGCCTTCTTCTCAAGCTGGGATAAGTGTTTATCCACCAAATGTCCCCAACTATCGCCGGGCACGATAACGTCTTGGGCCCCAATTGGTTTCTTTCTGTCGACAAGTCACATGAGGGGTCTCTGGGGCAATAGTATTGGATCGCCTTACACACCACCACTTGCTGGCAGGATGCCTTGACCACTTCATGTGGTGCTAGGTAAGGCAATCAGCCCTTCCCTAGGGTTCATATGACTCGGGGATTATCATGGATTTGAATAAGATATATCCTCACACTTCCCTTGGCCGGCGCACGCGGAATACTGACTCTTTTTTTGTTCTAAAGAAGCATTACACCGCATGCGATCTGTTTGGCCGCTTCCCTTTCAAGTCCATTGATGCTGGGGATCATGGCATCACAGCCCTCTTGTTGGGGCATATTCCCCACACCAGCCAACAATGAGCTCACCAGACACACTATCTACCATGATCTTAACCCAGCCTGCCAGGAAATCCGCCTGCTCAGAGTTCATCTTGAGGAAAAAGACGGCTTTATCCGGTGTGAGCTCCTACCAGCAGCTAGTCTGTCCAACATCAGAGGGCAGTACACGGCAATATCCTACTGCGCGGGAGACCCTAGGAGAACCAAAAAAATATTCGTCAACGGCATGCCGTTCAATGTCTTTGAGAATCTTGCCCATGTCTTGGAAATGACAAGGAACTTCTGGACCAAGACATTTCCCGATAAAGAGTGCATAATCTGGGCCGACCAAATCTGCATTAACCAGTTCAACCTTGCTGAGCGCTCACACCAGGTCGGTTTCATGAAGGGTATTTACTCTTCAGCGGCGGAGACCTTGATATGCCTTTCCACCACCGACGTTGACCCTCGTGGAGTTGAGTGGCTGGTGAAGCTACACCAAAGTGTCGATCCTGATGGCGACTTCTACCAGTACTACTTCCACCTTGAGTACTACCTCCGAACCAACCTGGCCAACAAGCAATTTGCCGACGATTGGTTTGCATTTTACGACGTCTTCAACAGCCCATGGTGGATGCGAACTTGGGTCTATCAAGAGTTTATTTCATCCTCCAACATCTATTTTTTGTATGGAAAATCATCTGTTCCCTGGAAAAGACTGTCAGAGGTACTCCCGACACTTCAAAAATACAGCCACTTCCCATACTTTGGCCCGGCTATTACTGAACGCCAAGCACAAGTCGCAGACACAAAGAACATTGTCAACTTTTTCGTAATCAGTAAACTTCGGTTTGATCGGGTTGGGCCATTCGACTTGATGGATCTGCTTTCTCAATCTCGACATCTTCAGAGCAGCGATAGCCGCGACGGGATCTATGCTTTCCTTGGTCTTGTTCGTGAGACCTACGGGATCATTCCAGACTATTCCCCTGAGAACACTATGGAACGGCTTTTGGTGGATATTGCAACGCGGATTGTCTTGCAAGACAAAACATTGGATATTCTCTCAGATGCGAGCAGGGTGAGAGGAGAGCTGTCGCCACGACTTCCCTCTTGGGTTCCAGATTGGACCACAAAGACTTGTGTCAGCCTTATTCCAAGAACCATCCGAGATACAAGTGACGGATCAGTCGCTTTATTTCCTCGAATCGTTCAATCAGGGAAGCTAGAACTTCAAGGTTTCCATATCGGTGTTTTCAGAAATGGAAAGCTTGGGTGGTACTTCCCCAACAGTCGGGACAGATGTCGTCATGATGGTGAAGGTCGCGAGGAGTTGTGGGATATTGTCGGGGCTCAAGGTCCATTTGTTTTGCGTCACGTGGGGAATCAGTATCATTTTGTCAGGGAAGCACAGAGAAATAAACCTGCTGGATATAATAGCGTGGAGGATGCTGTTCAGAGACATGGATTGCAAGCGCAGACAGTGGTACTCTCTTAAGATACTTAGTTTCTGTTGCCTTTGTTGTTTATCACTGTCAGGTTAGGTACCAGACCTAGCACCTACTGTATTCTTCGCCGGGAATATTGATATCACACCAGCGTCACAGGAACCAAGTACCCCTGCCACCTGTTCCCCAACGGTGCGAAGAACAAGCAAGGCCTGCGAAAGAGCTGGCACATTCATATTGGAACACTCCAAGTCTTGTACCACTTCCCTTCTTTAAGGCAGACTATGCAAACTACTATATCCCTTTTGGTAATGAACTGTAGCCCGGGTAGTTTCCTCCGGCTACGACGTTGTATTGTGGCTGTATGATAGCATTTTATAGACTTATAGCGATTGGCAGCTGAGATACGAATGCAACCTAGGTACCTAGCTTAATGTAACTCTGATACCCTTCTTTATTTACCTCTGCACCTTTGCACTCTACCCTGCCACTCCAGAGCCGGCTTGATGCAATTGCGCTCGGCATGCTGCCTGAATCGGGCCTTTGAAATGCCTTGAAGTTGTTAGACTGGAAGTTGTGATGACATGGTACCCAGTTGATAGGCATTAATATCTCATAGTCAACGATATCTATTCCATGCACGATGTTCTAATCACCAGAATAAAGGAGACTGATCAGCCTATTCCAACCCTAGGTATTCCCTCATTCATCAGTCTCCAGGGGATTATCACAACAACATTTGCCCTTGGAAGGTCATCCTCTAAGCGCAAGCAAGATATGAGGACCCGCGCCTATGCATTGCTCAGCAGCATGTTCACGACCAAACTTCGAGTTAGGACGAACGTTGCAGCATGCTACAAACCCATACCTCTCAGGACTGGATTCTTGGTTATCATGGCACTGTAGTACGTTCACTCCCTGACTGAATTTACCTATCTTACAGCTGACAACGACTGGGAAGTATCTGCTGTCTTCTCGCTCTCGTGGAAACAGCTCTTCAAAAGTTTTCCATCTCTCATGATCGACGAACCGTGCCCAATGACACCGTCTCTTTCGGGTACGGGTCTTTTGTCAGCGCTCCGCTTATCCCGCCGCGACAAACAACGCGTGCCATATATGCTCTACCAGATCTACAACCAAGATGGACACCTGCAAAAGGATTAAGAGCCGCCAACACCACGGTCAATGGTACAGTCCCCAACCCCTCAACAATCGCACCCAGTTCAGCATCTCCGGTCGTCAACCCAACACCTACAGAGTCAGGTCCACCAGCCTGGCTGGAGGCACTAGAAGGGCCATTTCGATCTGCTGGGCGGAGCGCCTACTTTTGGGATGAAAGTTTGTCGTCAGGAAACGGTACGAAAGAAATCTTTACAGAAAGGAGCCAACTCAATGGTCGAGCACCCATTCCACCCCTCGACAACTGGGGCCGGCTACTGGGCCCACGTCACAGCTTTCGCTTTTTGGTTACGGCAGGGGACTATATCAGCCCCGATGCAAGCTCTTTTCGTAACCTTCTGGCCATATGGCACGACCCCTTGGACTCCCAAGCTAGCCTTGCAGTCTTGAGACGTGATCTAGGCCTGATTGACGAGACATACGAAACCCCAGGAAAGGACGAGCCAGACTACCTCAGGAATTCCCCTCAGTCCTGCACAGTGGTGTGCAGTGGGTCAGCACTTATCTTTTTGGACCAGACTTGTTGGTTGTCGTGGTATATCACCTCATTGATGTGGACTTATACCTGTACAGACACTGTGCAGTTCCAAAACACGCATTGTTTTAGCTTGGTTGCAGACTTCAACAATGGACACAAAGATCAGCCATGCAGCAGTCCGGATCCCAGTGGTTTGGAAGGAGATGAAGCGCAGAGCTTAGTATTTGAGTCAAATCGTCATGAAGAACAAGACAACAAGAGCAGTACTGCTTCTGATACAGTCCAAAGAACAACCTTTGCATCATCGATGACCTCTTCATCCTCTGCAGCTTTTACATCATCGGTAGCCTTTTTATCGTCACCAGCTTTTTCATCGTCAATAAGCTTTCCGTCGTCAACAACTTTTTCATCAACAACCTTTTCATCATCACCAGCTGTTTCATCATCATCAGCAGCATTGCTGACCTTTCAGCCGCCCATGACAATCATCACCAGCATTACTCATAGCGGTTTCAACCATGGCTCCTTCAGCACATTGACCGAAAGTAATAGTCAAACCGACAACACGGTTAGCCAGCCCACAATACAAACATCGACTTCATCACCAGACAAGAATAGCATTAAGCCGTCAAAATCTCAACCAGAGGAGTTCGCAGACATTGGTAGTGGCCATATTGGTACAACCGTGGAAAGCAAAGGTGCAAGTAGGATCAACCCCGATAGCATAACATCGACCAGTCGCAGTCTCGAGGCAAGCGACCAGTCAACAACTCCCTCTAAGAGTTTCACGGCCACTGCCTCTACTTCCCAGGTCACACAAGAATCAGGGGTTCGGGATAGCCTTTCAAGGATTAGCGAAACAAAACAAACAACAACACCACACTTCAATGCGTCCCAAATTACGACGCCAACAACCCTATACGCTGACTCTATACCGATAACATTATTGCACATAAAAAGCTTATCATATCCAGATGCGACACAATTCCGACAATTGGTTGGGTCTCAATCAAGTCAAAAACGTCATGATAAGACAATCAGCGGTGCTTGGCAATCAACAACATTTCCTAGCATGGAGAAACCCAATAGTGCAGGCCAATCACCAGTTTCAGACACGAAAACGAGGCCCCCAGCCGTCACACTGCCCAAAGAGCCTAATATGAGCGATAGGTCAATCCGCTCTTTAGTTGTCACAACAGAAGCTTCTCACAGTCTTGATTTTCTCGAGGACGTCGCCAGCCTAGCTCTGGCACAAAAGGCGACAGTCAGCCAACTTACAGGCTCGGTGAATGGAACAAGGATAATCACTGCATTACAGTCGTACAAAGAAGCCATCAATCTGTCCACAACGACTTCTTTTCCTACGGATGCCAGGACTTTGGCCGCGATAGCCATCCCTACTTCCGTCACAGACCTACATTCTTCGCCATCGACAAGTCATAACCCAACAGAAACGGTCAGTTCGGTGATAGGCGGAGCACAAATACCGCCTCTTTTTCACCCTGTTTCATTGGGAGACTATTTCCTAGCTGCATACGTGCCTGTAATGATCACGTTGCCCTTGGCAGCTTTGGCACAAATATTGAGCATGGAGGTCAAAGCACTTGCCCCCTTCCACGCACTCAGTAGACCGATGGGGGCGGCAGCTACAGACTCCCTGTGCCTCCCCACAGGTGGCTTTCCGGGGATCTATAAAAGCATTTGCCTTTGCTTCCGGCGTCAAGGTCGACAGCCCTTATTATTTCTGGTCGATCTGCTTGTCTGGACCACGGCCATCATTGCCTCGCTCTCTAGCGAGGCCTTCGGCATCAAGCTCCATGGCAAATGCAAACACGACGATTTCAGAGGATGCTACATGGGAATTGCAGTATACGGCACTCAAAGCCGCATCATTCAGAGTCTACTGGGCTTCGCCTTATGTCTTATTCTGCTTATTATGTATCGGCTCCGAAACTGGCAAACCGGCATTGATGTGCCCCATGGTCGAAGTGTCGCAGCCATATCTATGCTCGTTACTGAACCATGCACACGCAGAGTCTTGCAGCACCTCAGGCCCGATTCCCACACCGGGAGACTCAGTAACAAGGACATGGCACGCCAGCTTGAAGGGTACATCTTTAAATTAGCACCCATCTCATCACACCTGACTGGTTACAAGCAGCTTGTTTCCTCAAGGCCCGCACAAGCATTACGCGAACCCAAACCACAAAAGACACCAACCACACGCCGCTCCAGAATCACGGAATTCGTTGACCACCTTCCACAAGGCTTTCTCCTTCAATTCCTCGTCATCCTCGGTACACTCAGCTTTATAATTCTGATAATATGCTATGAAACAATTACGGGAGCCGATTCTCCGTTTGAGCACTTCATGAACTCTCAGGGCTTCGGTGTGAAGCTCCTTTCTGCAGGACTGGGTGTAGTGATATCTCTCTTTTGGGATGATTATTTCGCGCGTGAGTTGTCTCTGACATTTCTAACCCAGCAGTTGAACCCAAGCTAACCCGTCATCCCGACAAACAAGAGGTTGCACTCAAAGAGCCAGACCGCCAATTCAACCGCTGGCCGCGCCCTGCCAAAGCCTCTTCCGTTTTCCTAGTCTCCCCACCGACCACTGCCTTTGCCGCCCTCACTCCTGCTACCCTTCACAGACGCCAGTTCTTTCTCATGTGGGTTGCCTTTGTCACCGTTCTGTCAAAGATCACGCCATTGTTGCTATCCAACATCCCATTCAGCCCCTGGCTCACCTGGGAGAACACATCGTGTCTGTACTTGGACCGCGGTTGGGATCTTGACAACAATGATCCTCACATTGGGGTACGGTCTTATACTTGTCAAGTACTCCCGATGGCCGTCGCATCCAGGAAGACTCGGTGGCATCATCTACTACCTGTTGACAATGCCGTCTAACAGCAACGGAAGAACACCGATTTTGCGGTTTCTTGATGATGGAATGGCACCAGGAAACCGTGTGGAGGATATTGAACTTGGAAATATCCAACGTCGTTGAAGCTACAAGCTACCTATACTGTATCCTAGAAACAATCCAACTCATCATGATGGACATTACCCAGACTTCCTCGGAGTAACATCAACTCCCACTAAATCACCAGCCCTATACTCTTCAAGAACCTTCATAAAGGACAAGATGCCCTCCGACCAAATACCCATCCTAGCACTCTTCATCATCTCGGCAGGATCCTGATTTGGCTTGTTGAACTCGCCCTCCGAAGTGGTATAACCTGGCGTGCACACGCTAAGTGCAGCAAGATTGGCAGCTCGCTTGACGGCTTCCATCGCCCAGCCCTCTTCAGCCTCTACTGTCGGGTCAATCACGGCGAGCCCCCCAACCTTTTCCTCGGCCTTCTTGATGAAGTGAGTCATGTGTTCAGCCGCAATATCCAACGTCTCAGTGTTGTTAGGAGACTGCCCAAACTGAGCAGTCGGCCCAAAGAAAAGGTTAGGAAACCCGCGGCTGATAACACCATGGAGAGTCGAAGCTCCCTGAGCATCCCACTTGTCGTCGAACGACTTTCCACCACGACCAAAAACATTGATTCCCGTCCGTTTCGCAGGGTTGAGACCACCATACGCAGGAGACCGATACCCAGTGCTGAGAACGAGGATGTCGAGCGGATACTCCTTCCCTTGCACGACCAGCCCTGTGCTAGTAGCAGAGTCGATACCCTTTCCGTCTGTGTCAACCAAGTGAACGTGAGGGAGGTTGAATGCCTGCAGGTACTCATCACTGAAAGTTGGACGCTTGCACCAAACAGGGTACCAAGGCTTGAGCGCCTTTGCTGTCTCCGGGTCCTTGACGATCTCATCAATGCGAGCACGAGCCTTTTCAGCACGTGGCAGGTCCAACATCAAGAGGCCCCCAACATGCTCGCCAATCTTCTCTGGAGTAGGCTCGATGATCCCAAAGTTGGGAGAGCCAATGATAGCACAATAGGCAGGCGCCTCGGTCCATCCACAACCCACCATGTTGACTTGCTCCGGGGGTGCGCAGTTGTTAAGGTAAGTGACCCAGTTATAGCGGCGCTCGCGTTGCCATCCTTTTTTGTTGGCGATCTTTGTTTTCCTTTGTAACTGTTAGCCCGAGTTCGAAGTCTCCCCCAACAAGATCAAAGAGCTGTACTTACCATTCCTCAAGATCCGTTTCCTTCTGGCCACGCCAACTCACCGACGAAGGCGTCCGCTGGAAAACATACACCTCCTTCGCAAACTTTGCCAGCTTCGGCACAACCTGAATAGCCGTCGCACCAGTCCCGATAATCCCCACCCTTTTCCCTTCCAAGCCGGTCAAATTCTGGTCCTCCTGCGAGCCACCCGTAGTCCCATAATCCCAGCGAGATGTATGGAACATCGACCCCCCAAGGTTCTCCAGTCCTGGTACCTTGGGAACATGAGGAATCGTCAAAATACCCGACAAAACAAAGAAATAATTCGCCTGGATATTCAGCTTCCTTTCTCCCTCCTCTGGCCCCCTGTTTTCCGTCACAGCCACATTCCACACCTCCTCCTCATCACTCCACCTGCAATCCGTCACCTCCGACCTGAAAAGCGCCTTGTCATGGAGATCCCACTTTGTGGCAATCCTCTCAGCATGCTCACGCAGCTCAAGTCCCGTAGCGTATTTTTGCTTAGGAACATACCCCGTCTCTTCCAACAGCGGCATGTAGATATAACTTTCCACATCACAGTGCAGACCAGGATAGCGGTTCCAATACCAAGTACCACCATATCCACCACCAGCCTCAATGATACGGAGGTCATCAGGACCGTTGACGAGACCAGCTTCGATAAGCTTGACAGCGGCGATGAGACCGCCGTAGCCGCCTCCCAGGATGACGAATTTGTACCTCCCGCCATCCTTGACAGCGGGGGTTTTGGCGTTGAGAGCTGCGTGGTCGACCCAGGGATCTTTGCCTAGGGAATGGATGCGGGCGTCCTTGGCGTCCTGGAGGTCGACGTACTGGGCGAGGCCGTCTGAGCGGAAGCGTTTGGAGGCTTCTTCAGTGTATTTTTGTTGGATGCTGGCGAACTTGGCTTGCATGGCTGCCATGTCGGGGGGGGCTCCGTCGGAGCCATTGGTGCTGTCAGCACTGGGGAGGACCTCTGAGGTCGTCATGGTGTGAGGTTTGAAGAGTTATCTTTGTCAACCAGGACTGAAGATACAGATAACGGAAACCAAAGAGAGAGGAACGGATGGCTTACGAGTTCCAAAACAGGATGTCGTGCAAAACTTTTACTTATGTGTCTCCCCCTGGGAAGCCCTGGGTGCGAGTACGAGCAGTTTATATACCAGAACGAGTACGATCGCGAGAATGGTAGGACGGGATCGGGTTGCCTGGTGGTGTGTCTCGCGGTGCTCACAGTGTGTGGAGAGTGTGTGGGTTCTGGGCCTACCGGCTGCAGGGGCGTTATTGATCCCATATTGAAGGTCTTGGCGGGATTGCGAAACCAGGAAAAGACAGGTCGGCCATGTCGCATTGCATACTGTACATTCCTCCTGTTGTTGCAACGCACATTGCCAACGCCCTGAGTCTCGGGGTTTAGCAGCTGTCCGATCCCAAGATTAACCGCGCTCTCCCGGGCAGGATGAAACAGAACCTGCCATCTTCTTCAGCGTCCGGCATCAATCCGAAGCAATCATCTGCTGGGGGTCCAAGACAACTCACCGCTCATGGACTTGTCATGTCTCAAGCCGTTCCTTCACATTCTTCAGTTGCCCCTCCATAGATCGCCATCCCGCTCCGTGCAAGCGCCAATCATTGGCCGTTTGGGATATAGGGTTACAGACAAGGTTCTTACGCGAGCCCCTATGTCGATAAACGCACAGGTCACAGTGCGGGGTGGATGGGCCGTGTACATACTGCATCATTATTTGTGTACTCCGTAGGTAGTTTGATGACTCTTGTCCAATCGTCAGATACCAAGAGGAGAGTGAGGGGTCAAAAATGCAGATATCGACAGTCTCAGCCGTCGAACCCCCCGAAGGCACACAGGAGCTGATAAGGTCATACTCCCAACAAGGGTTTCTACAAGTTGCGTAATGCATCATGCTAAACTCTTGGTGTCCACGGAAGTTAACAAATCACCAACAGCTCAGCAGGGAACCAAAGTCCCCAAGGTGCCAACCGCATCAAGCGATGGAACACACATATAACTTGCTCAACCTTCCCCCCTTCACCATCATGACCCCTCTTGTCTTGTTATCGAACAGGGTCGACCTGCATAAACAATACACCAATAAGAACCAACAACTAAAAAGCCACCAACATGCCTACCGACCCAAGCTCTGTCCCAAACTTTGACGACCTCCCCGCAGTCGATGGACACCCTCAGGGCTGCGCCTGGGGAGTCTTCGACAAGGACGGAAAGAAAGACCACTACGGTACACTGAACTTTGTCACTCCTGAAATCGTAGCTGCTGCTGCCAAAGAAGTCACAGATGGCATTTCCATCTCTCTCAAGTATGTGTGCGGATTCTCCACGCAAAATAGGCACTAACAACCCCAAAGCTGGCCCCTAAACGGCATCAAGTTCCCCTTGCCCGGCCGCAAAGCCCCCGTCCACAAACCCGTTTCCCTCCGCGAGGCAGGGATGGAAATCGATGGCTTTGACGACGAGCTCGAAATCAACACCCAATTCTCCTCCCAATGGGACTCCCTCTGCCACTGTGTCCTCCCCTCGGGCGAGACCTACAACGGGTTCAAGCCCTCTATTGAGCTCCTTCAAACAACCACCACTGAGGGCAACGAAATGCCCACTATTGATCACTGGCACTCCCCCGCCAAGGGCTGCCTCGTTGCCCGTGGCGTCTTGATTGACTTTAAGCGCTATATTGATGAGATCACTGACAAGACGTATGACCCCCTCGATGGTCATAGGATCACCGTTGAGGAGATCGAAGCGGTGGCGAAGCATCAAGGGGTGGAGATCAAGCCAGGGGATGTCCTGATTGTTCGGACGGGGTATACAGAGTTTTTGGAGAATCCAACTCCGGAAGGGTTTGCCAAGATGGCTACAATGTCGCTTTCTGGCGTGCATGGCACGACTGAGACGGCGAAGTGGTTCTGGAATAAGAGGATTGCGGCTGTTGCTTCGGATGCGCATGCTTTTGAGGCGCTGCCGCCATTGAAAGAGAATGGGGAGGTTGGTGCTGTGTCGGATTTGGGTGAGTTCTTTGCCAGCTTTTTGAACACAAAACGAATGGGTTTGCTGACAGAGAACAGTGCTGCACAAGTGGTTTTTGAACTACTTTGGAACACCCATTGGTGAGCTTTGGGATTTGAAGGCGCTGGGAGAGTATGCCAAGAAGAAGGGCAGGTACAGCTTTTTGCTGACAAGCGCACCGTTGAATCATCCTGGACTGGTGGCTTCACCACCCAACGCCATTGCCTTGTTCTGAGCTGCTTCCAAATTTGTCAGGATTCAAAATAAAGAATAAGAAGGAAAAGCCAAACCAAAGCTGGCTCACACTGTCAGGTTATGGACAAATAAAATAGACCGGAATGTGATGAAAAAGGGTTAAACAGCCTTCGATTACCCATATTGCCTGACTATCTCTGTTCACCTCACGATACACGGATAGTACGATAAGGTCGTCATAGTGGCTGGCTGTTAATTCCTGGGATCGAGTGGCAACATCTAAAACTAATATGATAGAATTTCAAATAATAGGTAATGGACAGGGAAGTTCGTTAGTTGGAATCCAGACTTTGAACACTGTGAGTTTCAACTTTGAACGCCGTTTCCTACTAGTTTGAAGCCTCGAACCGATTTTCAACGTGTCCGAAGCCGCAATTCCCGGAGCCACAACTCCACCCGCCTCATCGGCGCTCCGGCTCCCTCCTCAACCTCACCGCCGGTACCACCGTCTCTCACAAATTCACCACTTAACCACCCCAAACCTTACAAACACCACCACCCCTCAAAATGTCAACCTACACCCACCCCTCCGACCCCTCCACCCTCTCCCACGTCCAATCAACATGGGACTTTATCCGCCCCAACTCGTCCATCTACAACCACCTCCTCTCCGACATCCGCCTCGTCGCCGCCACAAAGGGGCGCATCATCGCCCACCTAGACGTCACACCCATCCACACCAACTCCAAAAACATCCTCCACGGGGCAGTAAGCGGGACGCTGTGTGACTGGGCCGGGGGTATGGCGATTGCTGCCGAGACGGGGCTGCAAAAGACGGGCGTGAGCACGGATATGCATGTTAGTTATTGCTCGACGGCCAAGGTGGGAGATACGTTGGAGATTGAGGCTTGGGTGGGCAGGGCGGGGAAGAACTTGGGGTTTACGGGGTTTGAGATTAGGAGGGGGGTGACAAATGGAGAGGGGAAGAAGGGGGTTGTGGTGGCTATGGGGAGTCATACCAAGTTTCTATTGTTTGGGCAGGGGAAGAGTGAGATAAAAGAGGAAAAGAGGGAGGGGACGGTTGAAGGGAATGGGTCCGAGTAGGGGATTGGGGCGAGGGCAACCCTGAAGACATAGACTTATAGACAGTTACATGGTTGACAAAATGATAGAGGCAGCCGCTGGGGATGAACATGCAAGCCAGCATGACTCTAAGAATAGTTTATAGATGTTGAATGTATACTTGTGGCACTTAAAGATACGGTAGCCAATAGACCTTTAAAGATGGTTCATATGCCTTTCAAGATGAGGTCATTTATGTCTTTGAAATAGTTGAACGGTCTTCGAAATATAGTCGAAGGCGTTTCTTTTAGCTTTCAAGACCTTGAATCTACGTTACAGAGAAGATAAGCCCCGCCTAAAGTTTAACAACATTGCTGGTGGTGGTTCCCAATCAGAGTCCCTAAAGGCAAACCCACGCTCATGCCTGCCACCATGGAAGTGCTGGTACGGTGCCTTCTCAAAATATGGCGGGGTTGATGCCAAACGGATGAAGCAGAAACCATCGCAAATCATCAGAAGAGGCCCGTGAAAGAGCTCGAGGTGGGGTGTAAGGGTCACTTACCAAACTTGAAAATTTAGTCCCGCTCCTTATCTACCTAGCTAGCTTCATTCCGCCATTCTTCTTTTGCTCTCCGCGACCGCACCCACTCTCTACATATAATATCCACATTCAATTCTCTACATCCTTCGAACCACGCACAATGAGCCACCTAACATCCGAAGAAGCGCACTCCCGCCTAGGACATGGCGAGGGCATCGACCAGAACACCATCTGCAATTGGTATGTATCACACCCTCCTCACTTAAAGTTGTTAGAATTTTGATAAGAACTCTGTTACTAGGCCGGTGACTGAAGATGGTGTTGAAGATGATGCTGCCGCTGCAAGATTCCACTGGCGGGAAACAGGTTTTTGCCTCGTTGCTCGGATCGGTCAACGAGGACACATCGATGGCGTTTATGTCATTTATGATATGGATTGGGATGGTCCTTTCACCGGAGAGGATGGGAGGTATTCTTTTGATGATAGCAATTGGGGTATACCGCCTGGTTTTGAGCACGATAATGAAGATGAGGACGAGGTACGAAGATGAGATCGAGGGTGGGGACGAGGCCAAGGAAGAGAAAAGCAGATCTTTTGCGCCCGGCTTGCAGAAAGAATGGGGGATTTTGGTCGTAGCCACCATGTTTGGTGGGACGAGGTTACATTCTCCCAGTCCAACTCGGCCAGTCTCGGATTTGTGTCGAAAGACATATTGGTCTGTGATGTTGAAGAATGACGGGTGGTCCGGCGATGCAAAGAGCCGCAAATCGTGGTAGAAAACAAAGCCTCGATATTTTATTTCACCACTCACTCTTTCATTCATGTGAAAAAGAAAATTCACTCTCATCAGAATCGGCTACATATGTCCCATCAAAATCCCCTCCCTAGTTCCCCTCGCCGTCATAACATCTCACCAAGCTACCCTCCCCCAAAACCCCCCAGGATACCTCCTCACCATGCACTTCCTCCCCTCATCCAACAACAAAATGCCCAACCCGAAACACATTGGCAAGAACCAATACTCCACCGGTACCTCCGCCGTCCCCAAAACACTCTGCAAACTCGGAATATACAACCAAAAAAACGCCATCACCAACGAAAACAACACCGCCGGAAACAAGTAGTAGTTCCTCGTCTCCTTGTTAAACAACGGCGGATGCTGAAAAATACTCAACCTTCTCGTCCTAACCGCCAACAAATTGAACCATTGCCTACCCCTCTCTCATCAGCCACACATACCTCATATCACATCAGGGAACAAAAGGGGGAACTTACACCACAACCAACGTCACAAAGTACACCGAACTAGCCACATTCAACCTAGCTACAACCTCCTCTCCCGACATACCCCCCGGCACCCTTCCAAACCCAAACCACAAATCCCCAAACTTGACCCCCTCCCTCTCCAAAAACCAATACGCCATCGCAAAGGCCACCACCGTCTCAATCACACCCACAAACCCATAACTCTGCACAATCAACCTCCAATCAACCAATCTATCCACCCCGACCCGTCTCGGAGGCCTCTTCAAAACATCCGCCTCGGGAGCTTCATACGCCAGCGCGGTAGCAGCCAGACAATCCGTAAAACAGCAAATAATGATCATCAAAAACGAGCTCAAAATCTGCGGCAGCCCAAAAGCGACGTTTGTCATGATGGGCCAGAACTCAGCAAAACTTCCAGCGGGGAGGAGGTACGCGATGGTTTTCTTGAGGTTGTCAAACAGCACCCGACCAAAGCGGACCGCTTCGACCACGCTGGAGAAGGACTCGAGAAGGACCATGTCAGCGGCCTCAATGGCAATGTCGCTCCCGCCGCCGATGGCAATGCCAATGTCTGCTGCGCGGAGGGCAGGGGCGTCGTTAACGCCGTCGCCTGTCATGCCCACGACGTGACCGCGGTCCTGGAGCTCACGGACGATTCGCAGTTTTTGCTCGGGGGTTGTTCGGGCAAAGACGACTTCGTTGTAGGAGGAGACGAGAGCATCCCATTGGGTGCTGTTGAGGGTGATGAGATCTGGGCCGGTCAGCACGATGGACTTTGAGAGCTCCTCGTCGCCTTCTTCAGACGGAGTGTGTTCCTTGTGATTTTTTGTTTCGGTGGGCTCCCGGGACAGAGCGGTGACGTTAGCGACAACGCTGTCTGGGTTGGTGATGATGCCGCACTCTCTAGCGATAGCTTGGGCCGTCAAGGCAAAGTCTCCAGTGACCATAAACATGCGAATGCCAGCCGTCCGAAGAATCTTGACCACCTCTGGGATCTCAGGCCGGGGAGGGTCAACAATAGCGACCAGGCCCACGAGCGTGAGTCCAGATTTGGCTTGCTCCAAAGTCTCTGCCTCAAAGGCAGCCGAGGAAAAGGGAGACGACTTAAAGGAGCACCTGGAGAGTGCTTTGTGGGCCAGAAGCAATACCCGACGCCCTTGTGCAGACCAATCATTCTTGATGCGGTTGAACTTCTCTCTAACTTCAGGAGTCAAGGTCATGGCAACACCCGAACTACCAGTAAAGTTGGTACAACGGTCCATCAATATCTCTGGAGCTCCCTTGATAGTCAAGAGCCTGTCACAAAATGTCAGCGAGTGGGTACTGGGAGGTTGTGATAGGAAGACTTACATATCACCAGGCTCAAAGACAGACGCCGTTCCAGTTGGCAAAGCCAAGCTCAGCCCATCAGGATGGGTGTATCCCAGAACGCGAATCATGAACTTGTTCTTGCTGTTGAAGGCGAGGTTGAACTTCGTAGCCCAACAGCGCTTGAGCTCAGACACAGGACCCAAGCCTTCTGCAAACCGCAGAATGGCTTGGTCAGTAGCGTCACCGTGAATCTTTCTTTCGCTAACGGGCAGGCTCCACGTGGCAGCGTCAAACTCTCCAGCGTTGCAAAGCCCAGCAACGCTGCGCAGCTGGTCAATGGAGTTGCTCGCCATGTCACCGTTGGTAAGTCGCTCGGCGATGGCAACATCGAGGATGCCATCCACAGTCATTTCCTTGCCACCAAGGGCACAGTCTGTGACCAGCATTTTGTTCTGCAGATGTTGGGTAAGTACGATTACGCCGAAATGATGAGAACGCAACTTACTTCTGTCAGTGTCCCAGTCTTGTCCGAACAAATGACAGACACAGACCCAAGCGTCTCAACAGTCTTCAACGACTTGCACAAGACCTTGTTCTTCCGCATCATATTCGCACTGATCGTCAGACTGGCCGTCAACGCTACTGGCAAGCCTTCAGGAATGAAAGCCACAGCAACCGACACACAAGCAACGATCAGATTAGGGACGCTGATCCAGTCTGGATACGTAGTCCTCAGCCAGGCGGCCCTATCAAACAGTGTCAGTGCGCCGTCAAGTGAACAAGCCATGCAGGTTCGTACCAAATAACAACAACCGCAATGATCATAACCACCATGATGGAACAAATGACATAGACAAAGTTGAGAACCTCCCTCTCAAGAGGCGTCATCCCCTTTTTAGGCTCATTGGTCAACTTGGCAATCCGTCCAAACACCGTCTTGCTGCCAGTGGCGACAATAACTCCAGTGCAAGTACCAAACGAGCAATGGGTGCCCTGCAAACCAATGTTCTTGGTCTCGAGGTAGTTCTCATCCGTAGCATCAACAGTGGCAGCAAGAGGGACCGATTCACCTGCATAGCGACAATCAGCAACACCTCACACTTCTCTCGCCAAGTTGGCAGACTCACCAGTAAGGATCGACCGATCAAACTTAGCATCACTCGACACCTGCACAAACCTCACGTCCGCCGGCAACTTATTCCCCGCCTTGACCAGCAACACATCTCCAGGAACAATATCAGCAGCCATGGCCGAAACCTGAACGCCTTCCCGAATCAAAAGACACTCCTCAGGAATCATATTCTTGATGGAAGCCATGACCCGAGACGACGACCAGTCCTGCCACATGTTGAAGGCGGCCTGAATGAAGAACACAGCAAGCAAGACGATAGCCAAGGCCAAGTTGGCCTGGGCCGGGGGTTGTCCCAGAGGCTTCCAAGCAACGAAGACGAGGATGGAGCCGACGAGGAGGACAGAACCGAAGCCCTTAAAGAAGTAGCCCATGATTTGTTGGAAGTGGCGGGTCTCCGGGGGGGAGGGCGTGTTTTTGCCATATTCAGTGACGCGGCGCTTGATTTGGTCTTGAGAGAGGCCTTGGTCGAGGGAGGTGGTCCAGCGATTGACAACGTCAGCAACGGGAAGGGTGTGCCATTCGAGGTCGGCAAGGCCTGTCATCATCAGACATATCGTCAGCCTTCCCGAACCGCAAATGTGACCAAGAGAAAACAAAGTACCTGTCGCAGCAGCCTTTGAGACCTTGTTGGCCACTTCAGCCTTGCGGTTGTAATCATCAATGTCGATGGAGCTGGTCAAGCGTGTTAGTACACGTTGATGACACACAAGCCTGCTGAAGACTTACACAGTCCGGTACTGAATAGGCAGCGCCGCGGAGGGATCAACACCACCACCGGTATTCGAACGAACACTCCGAATTGACATGGAGCCATGAGAGCGAGTACGCTCAAGCCCAGGACCTTGAACCGGTCGGCTCGCAGACCGACCGGCCTCAACGTCGTTATCCTGCCATCGAATGCGAGATTTGTCTCCCGGTTTACCCATTACGAGTCAATCGGGGATAATATGAGTAAGACTGGTGTAACAAGATAGAGTCAAGACAGTGCAGAGGGAGGAGGGAACAGGTAGGAGAAGTGAGACTGATAACACCCGACTGGACAAAGGGCGTACCAGCTTCTTATGAGAACCACTCCGAGGAGGCACTGCCCAAGTACGTACAGTACCTCCCCCTCCCGCGCCGCGGCCCTTCAATTGTGCCATTGCTGGTCCTGGAGATTATTCCTCGATAGAGGCAAGCCCTCTCCCGGAATATCACAGCAAGGGCACATGCTCTGCCGCGGCATCCAACGCACCAATCTCAAAATAGCCATGAAATGAGTGATCTTTGAAGGACTGGTCAGTATGCATCTCGTTGGAGACTGAAACAAGACAGATGACTGCGCCAAAGGAATCCCACCAACCTCATTAGCTACCTACACCGCGGCGTCAATGATCCGGACGTAGCACTTGAGTTCTGAAGTAGACAGTGAGGGATCCATACCAGAGAAATACGTAACACGGAACACCACAAAACCCCTCAACCCCATTCCGAATTCCATGATGCGTGAAATGCATTGCCACGGCGATGAAAGTCGGTCGAGACCACCGCCTCTCGCATTTGGGAGGAAGGTGTGACGAAGCACCTAGCACTTGCCTCAAGCTTTCGCGATGCCGGAAGGAGCGATACTCCTCGTGTCGGGTGGAAAGAGCTACCACCCAACCAACCAAGGTAATATGTACCCCAAGTCCCCTACCTAAGTACCTTGCCTCAGTATCCCCCTAACCGCCACCAGAAAATCACTCATACCCATCCAGCTCAGCACCCATCCCAGCCCTGATATCAGGAACCTCCCCTCACTGTCGAATTAAGCTTTTCCACCGGCACCCGGAAGGCGGAAAAAACAACCCGAGCTGTCCACCGCTCAATGAATGCAAGGAGCTTTGGCCAACATCCCCTTTTAGCTTGCTTCTCCTGTCGTAGCTTCCAACACAGCCCCCCTTTCCCTTTTCCCACTGACACCCACAAAGGAGACCGGTTCTCCCCATGTAGTCAAACGAATCTAGAACCTCTCTCTCCACATGGTTGCCATCGGCTGTGAGGTGGGTGCCCTTGCCGCTCGGAAGAGGGGCTAGCTACGAGCTGGTATAGCTCCAGTCAGACGGGCAAGCACTGCCACCCTCACTAACACTGAGAGAGAAAAAGAGACAAAGCACTTTTGGATAAAATATTACCATGTCGTGTCGTGCCACAACGGGATTTCTCCATGAGGCATCCCTAACGCTGCCATCAAGTGAGCAAGACACCATAAGAACGGGGAGGCCTCCCGGGGAAATCTATTAGGTTAGTATGGGGCTGGGAATCGACATGGCCAACGAGTGAGTCAACTCGTATATAACACAGACAGCAAGCCGCCCTCAGACAAAGGTGGTCAACCCAATCTCATCACTCCGCATTTAACTACCTACCCAATAAAAATTTGTGTGAATATTGTCGCTTCAACACCCCCCTTTCTAGGGTGTTGACACACTGTCTTGGCACCCCCAGCAAATCCCCTCAGCAACCAACCATCCAACCAACGAACCAACCACCTTTCAATCACAATCACGTTCCCCCATACAAAAAAAGTATTCCAACAAGTCAATTCTTCAAAGCTGCCTAGCTTACATCTATGTTGTGTGTGTGGTGGACTGTTCCCATTGCTCTTGGCTGTCCCCAATCCCACCTGATGGCCCAGTAGTAGGAAATACCCTCGCGACGCCGAGAAGCGCAAAATGAGCGAGAAAAAAATAAAAACAAAAAGAAAAAATATATGTCCATAGGATATACCTTCCATCCCAAGACCGCATCACCCAACACAGCGCGTATGTTTTCCCTGCCACTGATCATCAATTTGCGACAAGAATGGTGGCGCCCTCGATTCCTTGATCCGACAAAGATGCAATATAACCCCCGCCCCGTCCCAAGAGGCCAATGTTATTGACCACCCCCAAACAGTAAGAAATAAAAGCAAAAAAAATCACTGTGTATAATCCCCCAACGTTCTTTGCCCATCCTTCAAACAAGCCTAACCCGCAAAAGCCGTGACTTCGTGAATCCTGTATAGGGAGCTTTCACGGGAATAAAAAAGGCAAATGATTGGGCCGTAGGTAAAGCTACGTTCCAATAGTAAAACGGCCATAACAGCAGACCAAACCACTGTGCTGGGTATCAATGTCGCATTTCTGCTCCGAAACCTTGCCGAAAAGGCGATGATGCGAAGTACTTCTGATCTCTGCGGGACAGAGTTCAACCCTAACCAAAAGGCAGCTTTCAAGCCACCGCAATTCTCCTTCGCTTAGACGGCGTCAACGCAATGGCCCGTACGCTGCGACTTCGGCGTAGCGTGATTGCTTCAGAAGTCCCGCGGTCGTCCCGTGGCGTGTCTCCTGCAGAAGAGCTGCGAACGCGGTGTGGCGTGCTTCCTCCAGACAAGGTCTCCTAAGCCGAATCTTGAGGGTTACCAGGTCCGTCGCGGTCCATTCTCGCTGGCGGATTAACTATCGTCGTGCCCATAACTTGGCCAGGAGAGTCAGTGGATGGCGAGGGGCTCGGTCCAGCAACTTGAGCTTGTTGAGCAGACAATGTCACAACGTCGTAGTCTATTGGTAGGCCGTGGTGAAGAGTTGGAGGATGTTGGGGTGCCATGTGACCGTTTTGGAACGGAACCGACTGGGGTAGGTAAGGCGGGTGGCCCCCTACATAGTTAAAAGGATGAAGTGTTGGAGCGAGCGGCGGGGGAGGCGGTGGTTGTTGATGGGTTGGGTTAGGTGGAGCAGCATCGGCCATATCGTCATCCTCCGGGTCGTCGTCCACGACATCGACCTCCGTCTCGTCGGCATCGCCATTGTTGGCATGAATGACCTCGCCGGTTGGAGTGTCTCGGCCAGCCCCGTTAACACCGCCGGCTGATTCTCCAAGTCCAAGGTCGGCAAATGTCTGTTCCTGGTTCAGATATTTGCGGAGGTTGACAACGCCTTGACCTGAGAACACGCAAAAGACATCGCGTTGGTGTTGGGTAAACCCTATAATAACCGTGTTAGCCACCGATGTGCATTGACAGAGCGAAAAGCTTACCTTGAGGAGGCTCACGAGAAAATACCTCCAAGTCATCTCTCAAGAAGGCAGCCACGCCTGTGAGACTGAGATGGGTGAGTCGCGGACAGCACTTAAGCAGCCGCAAGATTCCCTACGCATCTTAGTCAGCAAAATCCAGACCTGCAACGGCGAAAAAAGCTGTTAAATAAATACCTTCAAAGTAAGATTTGTGCAGTAGCTCAGATGAACGCGTTCCAAGCTGCTGTGGCTCATGCTGACATACTCGTTGGGGATGACATTTCCATGCGCGTCCTTTCGTAAGCGTGCTCGCCTGTTGGCATTCGCAAGAGCGATAACACTTGCATCTGTGATCTGGGCACATTTGACGAGACCAATTCTCTTCAACTTGGGCAAGGTGGCCAGCTTCATCACCGAGTCGTCCGTCAGGTGGGTGCAGCAACCAAGATCAATATAGCGAATGCGATTGCACTCGGCAACAAGCTTCTTAACGGCCTCGTCCGTGATCTGGTGGCAATGGCCCAAATGGAGGAAATGCAGGTTCTTCCCTAGACCAGCAATGGCATACAGAGCTTCGTCTGTGAGCTGGCGGCACTTGGCAAAGACCAGGTTCCGGAGTCGAGGCGCGACTTCAATAATCTTTTGCACGGCCCGATCCGTCAATTTGTCACAAGATGTCAGATCCAGGATGCGCAGGTTCTCAAACGTCCTGTTCGGCAACGATAAAAAAGCACTGTCGTCGATCATCTCGCAGTTGGCCAGTCGAAGTTCACGGAGAGCCTGTCCCTTCTCAATAAGTGCTGTAACAGGCTCGTTGCCAATCAACTTGCATTGGTGGAGATCAATCTCGAGAATGTTGGGACAGTGCTCGGCAAAGGCAAGGACGGCTTGGTTGTTCAGTTGTTGGCAATCATTCAATTTGAGCTATGAGACGACCAGTTAGCACATCTAGACACAGAGTACAATATGAAAGCAAATACGTCGAGGCTTGCAAACTCACCCTCTTCAAAAACCTGCAGTTCTCGGCAAGAGTAATCATGCTCTCTGGAGAGACCTTGTGGCATCCACTGATGTTGAGACCCTGGAGTCGCTTGCAGTACTGGGCAATAGCATAGATCGAAGCCTCCGTAATTTGGCTGTCGTTGGAAACATCGAGTGCCAACAAGTGATCATTGTTAGTGATCAATGGGATGAGGCCAGTGTCGGTAATCTTGCCGCAGTTTGTGAGGGTGAGGCGTTCGACACGGGTGCACGAGGCAAGAGGAACAACACTGCCATCACTGACGGTGTCGTGCAGACACGCAAGGTTGAGGCGCTTGATGAACTCCCTGTAGGGAAAGGCCGGAGCCTCTGAGCTGAGAGTGTTGCAAATCTGAACGTGCTTGTCCCATGTCGTGCACGATGGACGATGCCACAAAATGTCAACCGCATTGCGAGCCCATCTCCTACATGTCAACATGACGTGGAAGACATCAGATAGACTGTTGAGCTTGGCAAAGATGGCGATCAAGATCTCGTTTGGCAGCCGGTTGATGGGCGGAAGGCAGTCCTCATCGTTGACCTGCATGTCCTGGAGATTTGGTACGCCGAGAGAGGACTGTGAATCATTTGCGCCGAGGAAGAAATCGGATTCCTCATTGTCACCGCCGGGCGCTGGCGAGCTGCTGGATGAAGTGGAGCGGCCATCGTCTTGTGCGTCAACGGCAAGGTCGATGAGTTCAGGCTGGGCGGACTGTTGTTGTTGTCGGGTGAGCTGGTCGGGTGCTGCTGCTGCTGGCTCGGCGACGGTGCTGCTCGGGGCGTGGTTGGAAATGATTGCGCCTCTGTCGGCGATGATATCGAGGGACGCGCGCTGTCTCATGGTTGCTAAAGTCATTGTCGACTCCCGCGGCGCAAAGGGCGGGTTCGGTGGGAAGTTAAGCAGAGGGAAGGACGGTGACTGTCACTGAGGGGAGGCGACCCGACCGTAAATGTGGAGTGCTTGTTGGTGCGCTGCCAGCCGTCAATTGTCAGCAGGGGGCCCAGGCTGTGATGAGGGGACCCGGCCCAAAATAGCCTTGGTCTGTGGGTCCAATGACGGTCGGAATCTCAAGCGGTTGAGGGCGACAAAGATAGATACCTCCAGCTATCTGTGGGTGATGGAAAAACAAGAAGACCTAGGAGGCAGCGCAACAGGTGTTCGATATTTGAGATGGAGGGTTTGTCTGGGTTGACAGGAGGAGGTGGTGAGATAACAGGGGGGGGGGGGGCGTGGTTCTACAGGAAGGTGAGTTTGAATGACAGCGTGTGCGATGACGGTGGCAGGGAAGGATGCCGTGATAGGAGACAATAAAGAGGGAAAGGCCTGAAGCCAGTCGCTATTGTGAAATGCCACCCAAGAGTTTTTACCTAAGAAGGTGGGCTTTCTGACAAACTTGACACTTGGGAAGCAAAGTCTGACAAAGATGTGTGCTTCATGCCTTCTCTATTCCCATTTCCCATTGCTGTCACTTTAGGACTTCCACCCACACATTCAACAGTTGCCCTGCTGCGGACGGGCTGCTCGAGGGAATGTGTGAACAAGGCAACCTACCTACATGGGGCGCAACCTACCGACCTTAGGGTGGGGTTATTGGCTGCCCAGAGGTCACACTTCATGGGCACTTGCGGTGGTTTCTTTACTGTTCAAAATCAAACCTCGATTTCCATCTGAAATTCCATGCTACGCCAAGTAACTTTGTGATGATTACTAGGAAGCTGATCGATGGCAGTATGGAGCATTCATCAAGCGACAGGTGGTAGTGTCAGTACTAACGTCCCACCTGCAGGCCTGATGCAGTGAATGAAGTACCAGATGCGGCACCTGAGACAACCACCTCAATTCGCCGCCTGTGTGCTTGGGTACCATAGAAAATAGCTGAGGTGGCAGGTCCTGTCCAACTCGTTCCAATGACCATGCTAGCCACGCCAATGTCGAATAGATCATGGACACGGCTGTGGCAAACCTTCCAGCGGCGTCTCGTGCGTAGAGTCACGGGGAAAGCGGCAGATTCCCAGGAGGGCGTACATCTTGACGAGGGAGCTTCCATGGAAGGAAAGCTGGGCTGCGAATATCGGCAAAATGATAGCAAGTGTTATACGAAGACTCCAGCTGGGCAACCTCCAGCGCCACCACCGGATCTACCTCATCGGGATCTCGGGAGCTAGCCAGTAACCCAATCTCTGGGCCATGGAAGGACGCGATAGCTTTCGGGTAGTCGGGTATCTTAAGGTGGTCAGGCTGTCTGAGATGCCACCTCGATATCGGTTTTCAGAAAGACACTACGCGCGGCCAGTCATTTAGGCCCGCCGCACGGCATTCCCTTCAACTTGAGAAACACAGCACCGCAACATCACAGATTCCCAGCATGCACGTCTATTTGTTCATGACGTGCGCATGGGCGCTTAAGCATTCGGCTGCAGTAACCAGTCAAAGCAAACAGTCAGCATGTCAAGATCCTGGAGATAGTTGGCGCCCCTCGTCCAAATGATGTGGTTTGCTGAGAAACATGGGACGCCACGTGCAATGATATGTGTGACCTCATCCTTCAGCTGCAGGGCAACATCCCATAGGCGGGAAGCTTCCTTCGTAGCACAGGGCTGGGCGACCATGTTGGTCTCAAGTTGGTCGGGGTGTCTGGCCTCTTTGATTCGAACTTGAAGTGGTTTTATTTTGAGATTCAGAACAGTTGAAGTCAAAGTCCACCTTTTTTTGAGGATCACCACGCTAGAAATGATCCAATGGGCATAGCGTCGTGATTCTTGAACCAAGACGCCATGGTTCGGCAGACGACCCACTTTGATGACGGACCCCAGGCACCATGATGTCAAATTGACCCTGGGGACGAACGCCAAGCTCCAAACTCCGAACTGACATCCATCTCCCATAAGGAACATCGAACGGACGACCAGCCGACGAACGACTGCACGCAGGGGAGATCACCACAATAATAATACGGCTGCAACTGTAACAGCATCATATACACACACAATGCTCCGGCAGCCCCTCCTCCGGCAGGCAGCCCGCACCGCAGCCCGGCCCTCCTCCGCCATCCCCTCCCTCAGACCTCACATCCAGCGCCGAACCCTCCTCTCCAAGCGCTCCTTCCGCCAAACCGGCACCCGCGCCGTCGAGAACCTCAACCTTCGCAACATCGCCCAGTCCTCAGCCGATTACCACCGCAACAAGCAAATCTTCCTCTCCTGCGGTATCGTCGCCGGCATCGTCTCCTTCATCTACGTCTCCTACCGCATTGTCCTCGAGATCAAGAAAAACCCAATACAAGCCGACGCCGACCCATCCAACCCCCTCTCCGACCCCAACGCCCCCAACAGGAAAATAATCGTCCACGATGAAAACGGGAATGAAATCGTGCCCACAGGCCATAGCGTCGTCCCTAGCTTTCCGCGGACAATCTCGTTGCCTTCTTTTACCGGACCGTTAGATGCTACTGAGCCTGTTCAACCTGGGACAATCACCACCGCTGCTGCCCCAGAGACGGAGTATACCCTTGTTGGTCTGGGAACCAGAACAGTCACCTTCATCGGGATTTCCGTCTACGTGGTAGGCTTTTACATCGCAACCGCAGACATTGCAGCTTTGCAATCCGCCCTTGTCAAAAAGGTCAACCCTATTGCTACCACCCTCGTCCCTGGAGAGCGGGATCAGTTGAGGAATGAACTCCTCGACCCAGCCGAAGGCGCCAAGTTATGGAATGAGCTCTTGTCTCACAACATTCCCGCCCGTACTGCCTTCCGCGTCATCCCCGTTCGCGACACTGACTTCCACCACTTGCGGGATGGGTTCGTCAACGCCATCAAGACTCGCGGACCAGAATTATCCGGGAAGGGGGTGGATGATGAGGCGTTTGGGGAGGCGATGAAGCAGTTTAGGGCTGTGTTCAACAGGGGCAAGGTACCAAAGGCCAAGGAGTTGATTCTGGCCAGAGATGACAAGGGCCATCTCAGTATTGCCTTTGATGGGGGCAAGAAGTCTGGTGGCAGGCAGTTGATTGGGGTTGTGCCGGATGAGAGGGTTTCGAGGGCGTTGTGGTTGAACTATCTGGCTGGTAAGCAGGTTGCTAGTGAGCCGGCGAGGAGGAGTATTGTTGAGGGCATCATGGAGTTTGTAGAAAGGCCGGTGGGGACAGTTGCTAGTATGGTCGTGCCGCTCGCTAGGTGAAAATCTTTGGTTCAGGTGAGGAAATGGATCTTCTGCCTTTCGCTAGGTAAGACACTGGAGTGTCTTGGCAAAAGATGTTTTGAAGAAAATCAGACGCGAACTGTATTGATAATAGCCAATGTTTACAAAGATTTCAAGTTATGACAACCAACATGACATCCCATTTTCCAAGCATTGTTATGTTAAGTGCAACGCAAAAAAGAAAGCTTGCTTCGCTTGCTAATATCCCATAATCTTGAATGTTGGTTGAGCCTTTGACCGTGGGTATCCCATCTCTTCCCTTCTGATTCCTCACTCTCTCTCCATTTAGAGAGCACCAGCCTCCTTCAACAACTCCTCAAGCTTCTTGCCGTCCTTGCCCTTGCTGGCCACGGCCTCGAGATCGCTGTTGCCACCAATGTGCTGCTTGTTGATGAAAATGTTTGGCACCGTCCTCTGGCCGGTGATCTTGGCGAGCGCGGCCTGGATGTCGTCGCCGTCATCCTCCTGGTTGAGCTCGATGGCCTTGTACGTGGCGTCGTAGGAGTCGAGGAGGCGCTTGGTGTTGTTGCAGTAGGGGCAGTAGGACTTGCTAAAGACCACTGTTTTTTTGCGCGCAATACTTCCATGGTTAACAATGTATTATCAACGGCAAGGGTTGGGGGCGCATATAGAGGGGCAACTACGTACTGACAGCATTGTCATCGATCAACTGCTGGGCTTTCTTCTGGGCGGCGTCCATGGTTGCTGGTGAGGTTGCTGAGGAGAAGAATCTGCGAAAGAAGAAGGACATGGAAAGACAAAGTGCGGGGAACTCTCGAGTTAAGAAGAGGTCTTGGAAACGGAGAGAGGGGGGGTTGTTGGTGGGTTTTTTTTAAAAAAAAGGCTGAAATGGGATATGCAAACAAGAGAGGCAGCTGTTTTGGAATGGAGGGGACGAACGGTACAAAAAAAGCGGTTGCGACAATGGATTGTAGACTCGCAAACTACTACAGAGTAGGGACTGTAGAATCTCCACATACTACCCCGGGATATTAGATGGCGGGATGATGGAGCGGATCGGACGGATTTGTCAACCTTCCTTGTCTTGAAACTGCTGGGACATTCTGTAGTATGGGGTTGATTATTCAGGATATGAACCTTATGCTATTACAGCAAATATGCTACGGATCCTAGATAAGAAGTATTTGGAATTGCTGATGGGTTTTGCGGAGAGGCTTTCTTTGTTCGACAAGTCTCGCAATTTGAGATCCGTGCTTCCGCTTGGGATTGCGACGACGGCAGCCCCGATTTCCAATGACGCAAGTGATCTGTGCGTAAGCGATAAGATAAGCCTGTTGAGATCAACCCCCACCTTGGGATCTCTCAACGTCAACGATGAAATGGGCACATGAGGACATGTGAAACATCAAGCTGAGAAGTGCCTGCTTGGTTCTGGGAATAGATTCGTTATGGAATTTATCCGAGCAGCAGCCTGATCACAACGGGGACGGTAAACAAATATCTCAGTCCTCCCCTCGTGGTATTACTCACACAAAAGCGGATACACCACTGAGGCTCTGCTCTGTCCGACACAAACCGGGCTAGAAGCCATCATGCGTCGTTCACAGCCTACTTTGCCCACTTCACTTGTTACGCTGACATGAGCCAAGAGCTACTAGCAAGACCGCAGCCTATGTAGCCAGTCGTGTCCACGAGTTGAGGCTATTCACGACGTCTGTTTCTCTTACCAAGTGGAACGACGCTGGTGGACTTGCCCTGCATGACCTCACTTTGTTTCTGAGGCATGGTTGTGATTGCCTAATCGATTGCGCCGTTGCGGGAGGCGCAAGCAACCCCACGGGGGGGCAAAACCATCTGGTTGAGCCAACGCAAGTAATATCACGAATGATCGCTGCCGCTGGATATCGTGGTGTACTTTGAACCAGTCGGCAGCCCACAGCGGCTGAGCGGATCAACGATGCCGGCGATCTCCATGAGGCCGTAACTACCTTGAGTGAGTGACTAGGATAATCGTCGTCCCCGTGTTGAAGCCGGGACACAAGCCCTCGTGATGATGTGCCCATCCCGTCATTCACCTCTACGATGGAGTCGTCGGGCACCGATGGAGATCGGTTCTGCCGGTTTTGTTGTGAGGCCATCAATGGTTCCAAGAGTTCGCCTTGTGTTTGGGTGTCGACGGCAGCTTGCAGCGGTTGCCTGCGTCGATTCGGCGAATTTCCAGCAGAAACCGCATGTTGTTGGGAGTGGGAGTTCATGACCGATGAACAACACAATGAATGAATTGTTCCCTGACAAGACAGAGTCCCTACGAGCAAATGGCAAGCCCACAGTGGCGTGGAAAGTGGGGTCAAGTGTTCTCGGAGGCGGGGTCAGACCGCTGGGTTCTCCAGAAAATTGGAACAGCGAGCAAGCGAACTCCTGCCTGGGACCCTTGCAGCCTCGAAATGACCCATCCCATCAGACCCCCGACCAAGGGTTCAAAGCATCGGACGACAGAGAGGACAACACACCTTGTCCTTTTCCATCCGTGATCATCGTGAGAAACGTCCAATTCTGCCAAATCTGGAAGTTTGAAAATTGCCGTGCAAGGACAACGCAACTCTTGTGCCATCCCTTCCCAAAGGCGACCATCTCCAGCTGCCCAGCCTCGGTCGCACCCATTGGCCCTGCAATCTTTTCGGCCCCGATTGATGCGTTCTCTTGCTGGAACACATCCATTCGAAGCCATCGTCAACTCCGCGAAGCCCCTCCCTTAGCGTCGTTCCCTCTACTGGTATAACTGACCTCGGTCCACCCTCTCGTTCCTGTTTTCCTCTTCTCTTCCCAGCAGGTCGACGGCACATTGTCGTAGGACCACCCTCAGTCGTCAACGTGGCTACCGGTCAAGGAGTATTGGCATCCTCGGGTGCCTTCGCAACCAATCTTGCCAATAATATCACGGCAGTCCTGCAGAAGCTTCCGCCCTCTCTGCAAGCATACCTGGACACCACGGTCGACCACTTGTCTGGTGCCACCGACTTCCTCCAATCAAGCACGGGTCTTTCTCCGACCACCCTCTACACCGCAATCGCTACGGTTGTTCTCCTCGGCGCCATTCCAGCCGTTGCAGCGGGCAACAAGAAGAACGGCATCATGCGTCGCTACGGTTTCTCCAGTCGCCCAAGCCTCTCTCCTTTTAGCTCCAGCCTCGGCCATGGCGGCGTCCCCAACGTCACCGACGAGGACTTCAGCTACATCACCTCGCAGGATCTTCAGGACCAAGGCGTAGACGTCCCTAGCCGTTCCTATGCCCCTCCATCACAGTACTACGACGTCTACTCCTCCTCTGCCCCGTCCCAGGCTTACTTGCGTAACAAGCCTGAAGACGATGTTATGCTGGTCAAGTACCAGGGCATCACCTACCCGGAGCACTTTCCCGCCTACTGCATCGGCGACGGAAAATTGCTTGTCAGTGATGTGCGGGAGCGTGTGCGGATGATCATGGACCTCACAGACCGCCAGGCAAAGCGTGTCAAGCTCTACTACAAGGGACGCCGGTTGAGAGATGCCGACGCTCCTGTAAGGGAATATGGTGTCAAGAACAACAGCGAGGTCCTTATGGTCTTGGATGATTCAGGTCAGGCAAGCAGCGAGGACAGCAACGAGGAGTTGGTTGTTGTCGGCCGCAACAAGTACGAAGGCCAGGTGATCAGGAATGGGCGCGAGAAGAGTCACCGATATGCCCCTTCCTCGCCGAGGACAAGCCGGAGGGATGGCTTCGGGGGACGCAGCCCTCGGGAGACCACATCATCTTTCGGCAGCCTCGACATTCCGGCCGATGATGGCAGAGGCTACAGACGGGCCAAGTCCAGGGTTCGGACTCAGTCTCCCTCGGGATCGGCCCTGTCCACTGCCAGCGCCCCCAACCTTCCTTCTATTTCACCTCCCCCTATGGGCAAGCCTGGCGGTCCTATTCAGCGACTTAACAACCTCGCCCTTCATTTTGAGACGACACTTCTTCCCTTGTGCATCGACTTTATGGCACGGCCACCCCCGGACGCCGGGGAAAGAGAAAAGGAGCATAGGAAGATTTCGGAGACGATTATGCAGCAGGTGATTCTCAAGCTCGACGAGGTCGATACCTCGACAGAAGATGGAGCCAGAGCTAGAAGAAAGGAGTTGGTCAAGTATGTCCAGGACATCTTAAAGCTCGTTGATGATGTCAAGGCGAAGGGAAGGGTATAACATTCGGCCTCCTTCGTCAAATTATAGGAGTGCCTTGACATAGTTTGAGGAATTTTCCCCGCACATTTGGTAGCCAGGATACTGGCTTTTTATTTTATTTTTTTACTGGTTTTAATGGGTTAGCATCGTCCTTTCATATTCACTCAGCATCGGACGTGCGGTAGCGGAAACATTGATACGCCAGGCCGTGTATTCAGGAGGAATAAGGCCATGGATTTTGGAAGCGTCTGAAATTACCGTGGTCATATGGGGCTACACAACAAGAAGGGAGTTTGCTTTCTCATCTTTTGCCATCGAAAGGGGGATCTTGTCTTGGGAAATGCCATGGTTGGCATCATGGATCGCGGGCATGAGCGACCTCAACAGAAGAAGTACGAGAGTACTACAAAAACAAACTTGAAAAACCAGTAATTAAAATATGATTTGTTCTCGTTTACATGTGCAAATCCGCCTTCATTACGATGTCCCACTGTATGCATTGAGTAGATCTGTGTACCTCGAGTATAGCTTACTCCTGGTGAAATGCCGTTATCAAGTTATCGTTGTTTGCCTGGAGAGCAAGCTGCTGCCGGACAGCTGGTGGAGCCTGTCATGGCGCAGGAACCTTGATAGGTGGGCCCCCACTCGAGCTCTGCCCGGTAGGTCTAACCCTACCTTTGGCCTGAGGCCACAACTCCCACTCGCTTGCGGCGTCCCCACCCATCCCACTTTCGGCCTAGCGCATCTGGCTGGCCTTCACTGGCACACGGCCAATTTTCAGCACACACAAAAAAGTCGTAGACCGACCATCAACCATCGCGCAGGGTAAGGAACAGCCAGACTACGCAGCATTTTGATCGGCTGGAGTTTGACTGATCAATTCTTTTTCTTTAGTTTCCTTCCTTTCCCCAGTCACTTGCGGAAAGATGTCGTCCTTCGAGTCTGTGGTATGTGTTGCCTCTCCTCTCCATCTCGGCAGTTTGAATGCAATGCAATCGGAAGTCGAGCACGCACGACGAAACCGCCAATCTCTCAGCCACCGCCCAGCACACTGCGACGCACAATCTCGAAACCCCAACGCGAGCGAAATCAGCACCAGGACGAAGCAATTGCGAGGAGGTACAACCGAGAGAGGAGCGATGGTGGCTAATTCTGGTTTCAACAGGTCGTGATCGATGGCAAGGGCCATCTGCTTGGTCGTCTTGCCAGCATCGTCGCCAAGCAGCTCCTCAACGGCCAGCAGATCGTTGTTGTCCGCTGCGAGGCTCTCAACATCTCTGGCGAGTTCTTCCGCGCCAAGCGTACGTCACAACCTTCTTCTTCATCGATATGGCACGGGAATTCGCGACGGGCGGAGCAGTTGGATGATTGGAATTGCGCGTTGGAGGAGGGGCGCCGGGGGGGAGAACTGCTGCCGGACCGAAGGATGGAGGACAACATCAAGACGAACCAGTTGACTGACATTTGGAAACAGTCAAGTACCATGCCTACCTTCGCAAGATGACCCGGTACAACCCTACCCGCGGTGGTGAGTTGAACTCCTCTCGAACGATCGATGTCCGACCAAGTCTGACAATGTCTAGGCCCCTTCCACTTCCGCGCTCCCTCCCGCATCTTCTACAAGGCCGTCCGTGGCATGATTCCCCACAAGACCGCCCGCGGTGCCGCTGCCCTTGAGCGCCTCAAGGTCTTCGAGGGTGTTCCCCCTCCCTATGACAAGAAGAAGAAGATGGTCGTTCCCCAGGCCCTCCGTGTCCTCAGACTCCAGCCCGGCCGCAAGTACTGCACCGTTGGCCGTCTCAGCCACGAGGTCGGCTGGAAGTACCAGGACGTTGTTGCCAGGTGGGTGAAATTCCGGCGAATAGCCAGAAGTGACCGAGGATCGCAAAGACTGACTTTACTTTCTCCAGACTCGAGGAGAGACGCAAGGCGAAGGGCGCTGCCTACTACGAGCGCAAGAAGCTCGCCGCCAGACAGCTTTCCGAGGCGAAGAAGACCGCCAAGGTCGACTCCAAGACGACGGAGGCCCTTGCTGCCTTCGGTTACTAGAGATAGTGACCAAAATGCATACCTTTGTCCTTTATGCGATTTCATCTTAGATTGGCGCGGTGGTTCGGGGCATCATCGACTTCATATGCGTGGCTGGGTGGATAGGCAATGGGCTATCTAACAACACTATGCGTCCCCAGGCTTGGGAGCTCATAAAATAACTGAGATCAACCAATGGACAATGCGGTTGCATGGATGAAAAAGAAAGCACAAAAATACCCGGCTTTGGCAGTCTAGGCTTCGTCAGTGGTGCTATAGGGTGTGTGCCGACGTGCCACGCCTCATCGTTTTGACGGCCGAATCGCCAAGGCCATCCCTTCCATTTTACGCTGAATGAAACGACAATAATCTGCACCGGTGCTGGCTCTTTCTTTGGAATTGTGACATATGGGACACTGGTCAGCTGGTTTTCTCAAGTGAGCTGGTCGAAAGGGCTATCTGGGGTGGGATCAAGGGCAAGCGGGTGGGAGAAGGGAAATCGTCTCGAGGGCGCGGTGGTGTACAGAGCTGGTCCTTGATGGACTCGTAGGCTCTGAGGCCTCGTGTGACAGGGATGAGTCCTGTTTCTATCAACTTGCCATCAATCCATCACACGTGCGCCTATCTTTTGCTGTCTTGTCTGTGCCGAATCTGTGCTTTGTCGTATCTCCAGTGCCAGTCAGTCCTCCATATTGCCCAGACTTCCGTTCTTATCTTGTGGGAGCATGACGTAGTTGGTGGTGATATGCCACATGTTCACTCGTTGAGGCTTCCTTCATGACTGGTATGCTTGGTGACCAATGATGAGAGAGTCTATGTCTTGATCTTCATTGCTTAGGCCTGACGTCTTTCTATGAACGCTATGAGTCAAGATATAAGCTCTTGTTATCATGCTTCTTGGACGGGGATATGTCGACACGTTATGTTTCAGTTCGTCTTACTTTGGCGCCAGAAGTATCTTTCACGCTGTTTAAACATGACAAGTAGAAAAGTTATCTCTAACGTAGAGGATTCGAAGGAAAGAGCTTGTAGATGTTGGGACATTGATTCTGTTGCTGTGGTTCGCGAGGTGAAGAATATATCTGGGTTGTAAGAAGTTATCTACGAGTTGGGATATGGGTAAGCTTGGTAGCTGGTGAGAAGACACTAAATTGACCGTCGCTCATGTTTACGTGATACATCATCATATCTACCTACAAAGATAGGTTAAGGTACTTTTTGACAAAGTATGTGTAATGTAAAGGGTGTTGGGTTCTGTGATGTGGTTTGAGGTTTGTATTACTGTATATGTCAATTTTTATAAATGTTCTGAAATTTTTGAAATACATGGTAAGTTTGAACTGTTATCATGTTTTTTCCATTCTTTAAGCAAATCCATGCTATTTTCACGGTTGTAATGCCATCTGGAAGTTTGTCATTAGGCCTGTTCTAGGTAGTAAAATACCAAGGTGCCAAGGTGAAACATCCATGCTGGCTCATGGTTTGAAGTGGTCGGTTATGAATCATTTCAACAAGCTGAAAATCACAACTACCTTGCCTATGCGAAATACGTAGATATGTATTATATCTTCTCTCCAGAGGGTTTGTTGATGTGTCTTTAGTACCTTATGTATGATGGAAATATACATTTCACAACAAATCTCAGGTGCAGGTAAATCAAGATGTTGGAATCTCATGACAACTTGACAAGTATCCCGCTAAACACAAATCGAAATCTTGTAACCACCAGGTAGTTTTCACATTTGCCTTTCTCTTTTTTCTCAGATACCTTTACACCTCTTTGCCGCCGATCATATTCAGTGATTCACAGCTTGCCAGCCCCCGTACTCCCACTCCTCACACTCCCCTTCTCATCCGCCATCACCACCACACTCCCGCCCGATCTCCGTCTCCTCACAAACAAGAACGCCACCAACCCCACAATTCCCAACACCACAAGCGTAACCGCCGCGCCAACAACCCCAGCAACAGCATTCGGCATGCCCCCTCTGGTGAACATCTCAGCAGCAACACCAGTATACGTCTCGCAAAACCCATCGCTGCTCCCACAAGCAGAGCACCACTCCTCCGCACTCCCAATAGCCCTCCCCTTCATCTCCCTAGTAAACTCCCCCCAAGAGAGACTCTCCCTCCCGGTCCCAAACAGCGGCCAAGAATCCAACCCCCCAGCAGTCCCATTCTTAAACAAAAACCTCACCCAAAGATCCTTCTCCTCCGGGAAAGAAGTCCTCGTCTCACGGGAATAAAGCTCAAAAGCCATCGTAGACGCATAATCAGGCAACCCATAAAAACTCTCACTTACCTCCGTCAGCCCGGCAAGTCCAAAAAACGCAAGAAACGCATCGTAGCTCCCCGCCAACAGAGAAAACTTGAGCGCGCCCTCCAAGGCAACAGTTTTGTTCAGCTGCGTCACGATAGCAGACGATAAGGTCCGGGCATGGATCGACCGCTCAGGCTGCGAGGCATTGAAATTGTATGCAAACTCTGCGCTGTCGGCCAGGGTGCGGAGTTGGAAGAGTTGGGAGGGGGAGATGGAAAAGGAGGAGTTGTGCAGCCGGGCGACGTTGATGAGGTCGTAGATGTCGTAGGCGGAGGCGTAGCTTAGATCTTCTGGGGAGGTGATATCATATACCGATTTTAAGACGGGAAAGAGGCTTTGGTAGAATTCCCGGGTGGAGGTGAGTTTGGTGGTGAATTCGGGGCTGGATTCGAAGGATTGGCTGGCTTGGGTGACGGCTGGGCAGTTGTCGTCGCCTTTGATCCAGATTGCGTCGGGGGAGTTGGGGGGGATGCCTTGGAGGGTGATGTATTGGTAGCCGTTTAAGGGGGAGGTGGATTCGCTTCCGTTGTTGAGGGTTTGGGTTGCGATTGAGGGGTTGAGGTCGGCGAGGGGTGGGTAGAGGCCCTGGAGGAAGGCGGTGGCGGTGTTGAGGAGGATGCCTTGATTTGGAGCGGAGGCGTAGATTTGGGAGGGGACGTAGTTGAATTCGGAGATGTTGAGGATTTGGTGAGGGGAGCTGGATTCGATGTAGCGGGCGCGGTAGTCGCTGCCGATTTGAAAGTTTTGGGTGGTGCCGAGGTTGGTGAGGGTTTGGGCGCCGTAGTGTTTGGTTGTTCCTGGGGAGTGTTAGTTGACTGATGAATGATGTTCATGTCAGAGAGGTGGTACTTACTATCTCCGTGACGGGTGAAGACAACAACTCCATGGACCGTCTCCGCCATGGCTCTTCCCGCCAACAGGCTCAGCACAGTACCAGCTGCAGCAGTGAACATCTTGACTGCGGACCAACTTTCCGGATGATAAAAGCTTAGTTGCAAAGACCAGTATTCAGAGCTACCGCATCGATATAAAACCTCAGGGCCGGCTGTAACGACGACGGGAAGTGGGGGAAGCTCCGGAGATGCGATAGGAGATCCATCCTTCCCAATCCACTTGCATTAGATCCCAGCCTATCTACCATTCGAACCTATCAGCGCCATAATGGCCCGTCAAACCTTGGAGTTGGACCATGAAAATTAGTCACTCTCGAGTCATGGAGTCGCTACGACCTGCCCGTTTGATTCCAATCTGGCGATCCTTCCACAAACTTGGTGGAGGTCGGCGGTTGTCGATGAAAGCTTGTATGCACTTCATTTGATGAAGAGAGACATGTTGCTCAAGTTGCAGATACAGAGTGGGCGCAGTGTTGACTTTGTGTACCTGCTTGGTATTTCTGACAGATCATGGCAAGTCAGATATTTCTGCTGCGACCTTAACAACTTGTCTTGATCGTTTTCTGAACTAACATAAAAGTGGATTGCAACATCGACAAAACAGATGACAACATCAATGGCAACTCTTCAAGACTCTTGCAATTGTTTTCGGCCAAAGCCACAGACTTAACCCCTCTTTCTGACAATATCTTTCATCGAATCAAACAGGGAGCTTGGCTCAGTTGGAAGAGCGCAGGTCTCATACTTGGCAGTATGATCTGAATGTTTAACATCAGAGTTATCCTGAGGTCGTGAGTTCGAGCCTCACAGTTCCCACTATCTTTTGCCTAGAGTCTCAAACACACCCCGTACAATTTTGCGGAGCTTTGTTTCTTGGTAAGATTGTGTCTTTTTGGTGTTGTCCGGGTTAGAATTATTCCCTAGAGCTAAGGGGGAGAACCGATGGTTCTGTCTCAGAGCTTGGGCGAGGAGCATGACATCAACGCGCTCCACTTGGCAGCTAAGCGATAACTCCGAGAATGAGGCTCTTATCGTGATGCTTATTATGAGCAGTGATTCTGATATTGTGTTCAAGGAAAACAAGTACCCTTTCTGGTAATACCCTCCCTCTCTTCTTTTGTCAAGAGACCCCAACTGCTTGGAACCATAGCTTGCAAAAGATCCCTGTCCTGTTAGCAAACACTCACATCAGAGACAAGTTCACCATAGTTAGCTAGGGCCATCACTTCTGCAGAGTGAACGCTGTTTAATGACATCGCAACTAGCAAGTTATCTATGTCTCATCTTCGTTGCGCTTTAAGCCTCCCCAACCATAATTACGTCTCATCATACAAATGTGTCAACTACAAGTACAACCCCTCGGGCTCACCCTCCTGCTTCGTCCGCAACACTCTCTCGCGAGCGGCGCGGAAGTCGGCCATCTGTACCCGCATTCTGCGCTCCCGAAGAGCCATCAGACCAGCCTCTGAGCAAATAGCCTTGATGTCGGCACCTGACAGATCATCCTTCTGCGCGATAAACTCCTCAAGATCGACGTCCTCATTAAGTGACATCTTGCTAGTGTGGAGTGTAAAGATCTTGCGCTTGGTGTTCTGGTCGGGATTCTCAAAGAGGATCTTTCGGTCGATACGTCCGGGTCGGATCAGAGCGGGATCAAGAGACTCGATCTTGTTGGTGGCCATGATCACCTTGACGTCACCGCGGTCATCGAAACCATCAAGCTGGTTGAGAAGCTCCAGCATAGTTCTTTGGACTTCACGCTCACCACCTGATGTCGAATCGTAACGCTTGGTACCGATAGCATCGATTTCATCGATGAAGACGATTGACGGGGCATTCTCGGCAGCAACCTTTTGACATGTCAGCAAGGAACCACCAATCTTGGGCAGACGAATGCTTACCTGGAACAGTTGGCGAACCAACCGGGGGCCGTCACCGAGATACTTCTGAATCAACTCGCTACCAACAATACGCAGGAAAGTGGCCGAAGTCTGGTTTGCAACCGCCTTCGCCAGTAACGTCTTTCCGGTACCGGGGGCACCGTAGAGAATGACACCCTTGGGAGGCTTGATACCCATCTCCTCGTACAGCTCCGGATGGAGCAGTGGCAACTCTACAGATTCCCGCACCTCCTGGATTTGCTGCTCCAAACCACCGATATCCGCGTACGACTCCGTAGGCGCCTTGTCGAGCTTCATGACGCTGACTATGGGATCCGCGTCATCTGTGAGAACACCAACGATGCTCACAGTCTTATGGTGAAGCAAGACACTGGCGCCGGGCTCCAATAGATCCTTGTCAACAAAACTCATGATGCTTACATAATACTCTGGTCCAGTCGTGCTGCTGACAATGGCGTGGTCGTCGTCAATCATCTCTTCAAGGGTTCCGACTCCCATTGGGCTACCACGCATGTCGTCAACACGGCCACGTTCATCGGCATTGCGATCCGCAGCCTCGGCTTCCGAGGCAGCTGGAACGGCATTGTCCTTGGCGGCTTTCGCCTTGCGCAAGCGCTCTTGGTTCTCGACATATTCCTCCTCGAGCAACAGGTGGTCGTGAACACGCTGCATGCGCAACAGCCTGAGCTTGCATCGACTGGTCGGGTAGACGGGCGGTAACTTGGCGGCGGCACTGGCACCACCGGCTCTCTTCTTCTTGCGACCGATGCGGGTGGTAGGTCTCGGGGGAGGTTCGTGCTTGTGCTTCTCCTTCTGATACGATAGCATCGTCAGCAACGTCGGAGTCGATGACGACGGATGATTGTCAGTAGCAAACCTTCTTGTCCTTGTCATCCTTGCCATCGTGGCCACCTCCCATACCCGACTGGTTTTGACCCTACGGAAAGTTAGCAAATAGTCGAGCGACTCGAGCTTTGGTAATCGATAAACCGACCATTGTGACGGTGGGACCTCAGGCCGCCGGAGCTGTGAATGTGAAGTGGTTGAGGTGTGTCTAGGGTGGCCAGCTGTTAACTGGTATCGACGGTTTCGAAGTCTGCGACGATGACGGTGAAAATGTGCCGGGCTGCGAGTGGTGTCGCTGATTCCCGGTGCTGCTTGCTTTGTGATGCTGGAGTTGAAGCTGGAAGCTGGCAGCTGTGTTGGGAATCGCCTTGCAGGCCAGGCCACCAGGCGGCAGAGCGACGCGACATCTGGGTCCCGCCCTCCGCACGAGCCAACTACGCAGCCTGCAATTTTGACCAATGGCAGGCAGCCCTGGGACCTGAGTGCACAGACCCCAGTTATGAGCCAACATGCAGGAGGGGGCATGGATTGATGATGGCAAACAACGGAGCCCCGGAAACACTGGCATTCCATTCTCATTGAACACCAAGAGTACGGCGCCAACCAGAAGCTTCTGTGTAGCATACGGACAACCTGGAAAGGTTCCAGACTTTGACAGAGAGGTGGCTCAAAGGCCTTCCATGAATCCATAACCGTCTCCTGTGTTTCCCAAGAAAGCCCACGTCTCTGCCGCCCGACGTGTTTACGTAGTGTGCTGCATGCAATATATGCAGGCCGGTGTATCACTCCTGCCTCCCCATCCGCCTCGTCTCGAACATCAGCGCTGTTCACCTTTTTGCGAAGTCCGGTCTTCTGTCTCCGCTTCCGCCATACCTGCTCTCAGATAGACCAAACGTTGGGTGATCCACGATCAGAGCCACGAAGCCGGAGGTCACTACCACCTCCTTAGTTTCCAGGGTCCTTGCGCTTGTTGCTACTGTTACCCCTCCAAAGTTGGGTTTCTGACTTCGTTGGCCCCTCCCAACCTTTTTGCTCCCAGACGACAACACATGCCAACTTTTCCGAGAGTCTCCGCCAAAACCTTCGACCCGCTGTGAAAATTGAAAGTTCCTTGTCACCTCTACCAACTTGCACTTTTAAACAACACTCTCGTCCGTCTCCTCATCGCACACGAACACCCCTTGCTAGAAACAACCCGGCTTCTACCTACTTCACACAACGACCCATGGCCTCAACACGAGAGCGCCGAATCTCCAAGGAGCTCAGCGACCTCCAAAATGACCCCAACTCTGGCGTCAGCGCCCACCCGGTCGACAACAGCCTCCTTCACCTCAAGGGCATCTTCCCTGGACCCCCCGACACCCCCTACGCCGGCGGCACCTTTCAGGTCGACATCTTGATACCCGAAAACTACCCCTTCAAATCCCCAGTCATGAAGTTTGACACCAAAATCTGGCACCCAAACGTCAGCAGTGTGACGGTACGTCAGACCAAACCTGACCAAAATAGTGGCGGCGGTGGTGGTGGTGGTGTAAGATATCGGCAAAATGGAACAATACCCCCCGAAACAGCACCACCACCACCACCACCACCAAATAACCACCCCTCAGGAGAGAAAGAAAACTGTTTGCTAACCAAACCTCCAAACAGGGTGCCATCTGCCTCGACACCCTCGGCACAGGCTGGTCCCCAGTCGGCACCATCAAAATGGCCCTCATCTCCCTCCGCATGCTCCTCGAATCCCCCAACCCAAAGGACCCGCAAGATGCCGAGGTGGCCAAGATGATGCTCGAGCAACCCGAGGCGTTTGCCCAAAAGGCGCACGAGTGGGCAGTCAAGTACGCCGGCGCGCCGAGGAGGGACACACCTGTGCACAACTACCAAAAGGTTGCTCCGCCCCCGCCGAGGGCGGACGATCCGGCGAGGTATGGCCCTTTCTATCCGCAAATACCAGTCAAAAAAGTTTAGGCTGACATGATTTTGTCTTGGTGGAACAGGTACCAAGGCTACAACAAAGACCTCATCGACCGCTTCGTCCACATGGGCTTTGACCTTGACGCCGTGGTCGAGGCGTTCAACTATGTTGGTATTGATCGCAACGGGGGCGAGGACTACGTGTTGGAGGAGGCTTACATGGGGGATATCACTGCGCGGTTACTCGGTGAGCAGTGACGGGTCATCGTGGTGGTTTCAACCAACCTGGGCGGGGCAACGACAGCAAGTGTAATCAGGAGGGAGGGGATGTCTGTGGTAGTCCTTTACGTTTGCATTGGGGAACGGAGTTTTATGGCTATGGGCAGATTTAATTGGGGGTGGTGTTTGTGACTTCGATGTCTTTACAGGGAGTACTGGCTTTCTTTTCTTTCCTTGACAATTAGAGCCCGGCTCTGGATCGGGGCTTTGGTGCTGTATTTATGGTCCTGTTTTCACAAGCGGAGAGTATAACTAATATCTCTGCGTTTTCCATCATTGTGAGCGTTGGTTTCTATATACATGTCTTACGCATTCTTCTGTTTCAACAGGTTGTTGTGTTTAGGCACATAGTCAGGTCTTTCATGATTCGGTCACAACATATGACCTAAATTATTTTTAAGCAGCTTTACAAAAACAGGAAACCTTGCCATGCACACATACACGACAGATCAGGTATGACCCCCAAGCCCGCCGTTAACCCCCCCGCCGCCGCCAGTCTATAAAGATTCAAGGATATGATAAAATGCATCAAGGGGCAAAAGTGGCTGTATCACACACGCAGTATCTCTTCGTCCGAAGTGTCCCGGCGCCCAAAAGTTAATCCTCTCTAGTAAACCCCCCGCCCTGATGTACTGAACCGCATCCGCTTGCTGTTAAACAAAAGTAGAAAAAACATGTACAGTGAGTGGCTAGCAAGAAACTAGCATGGCATTTCACCTATGACTTCGTTCTTTTATAGGAGGTCACGTCTGACGAACTCGTCACGGAGGGCCTTGCCCAAGCTGGCGGGCGAGCGCTCGACAACAACACCGGCAGCCTCGAGGGCCTTGATCTTGGAGTTGGCATCACCCTTACCACCGGCGACGATGGCACCGGCGTGACCCATGCGGCGGCCGGGGGGAGCAGAGATACCGGCAATGAAAGAGACAACGGGCTTGCCGCCGTTGACGGTGTTGTACTGCTTGAGGAAGTCGGCAGCCTCCTCCTCGGCGGAACCACCAATCTCACCGATCATGATGATACCATCAGTCTCGCCGTCCTCGAGGAAGACCTTGAGGCAGTCGATGAAGTTGGTGCCGCTGAAGGGGTCACCACCGATACCGACGACGAGGGACTGACCGAGACCAGCCTGGGTGGTCTGGTTGACGGCCTCGTAGGTGAGGGTACCGGATCTGCTGACGATACCGATGCGGCCGCGCTTGTGAATGAAACCGGGCATGATGCCGATCTTGCACTGACCGGGAGCAATGATACCGGGGCAGTTGGGGCCCACCAGGCGGGTCTTGTTCTGCGACTTGAGGATTGAGGTGATGCGAACCATGTCTGTGGGAGAATCCCCATGTCAAAAAAGTTGCTCTTCCAGATTTCTGGGGTTGTTCCAGGGAACCACTAACCATGCTGGGGGATCCCTTCCGTAATGCACACTACGAGGGGAATCTCGGCGGCAACGGCCTCCTCGATACCAGCGGCGGCGAGTGGGGGTCTATGATTGCCGGCAACTTTTGTTAGCGCCATAATGGGGTCGCTGGGGGGTATGGCATTCGGGAATTGCTTACGGCACGAAGATGGCGGTAGCGGTCGCGCCAGTCTCCTTCACAGCGTCGCTGACATTGGCAAAGACGGGCAGGCCGAGATGCTCCTGTCCAGCCTTCTTGGGGTTTGTGCCACCAACAACCTTGGTTCCTACAACAGGGCGGGATATGCGTCAGAATCGGGTGTTTTCGTTGATTCGGCTCCACCTGTCAGGCATCGTTGCCCATGGGGAAGATGGGTTTACCATAGTCAATCGCCTGCTGCGCGTGGAAACTGTTGGCAAACAAACGACGTCAGCACAATGAGTTCATCGCAACCTTGAGAAGGAGACCTCCAAGTTTGGAGGGGAATGAGTTGAGTGGTCTTCCGCTTAATCCCCGCTTGGGCGCATCGCAAAGCGGTCTGCGATACAGCGGGCGGCGGGACTGTTTCTCAGCATATTGGAAAAACAACTTACGTTCCCTGCTTGCCAGTGAAACCCTGGAAGAGGACCTTGGTGTCGCTGTTGATGCGGAGGTTGTTGATGGTGCTGGCGTAGGGGGTAGCGTTGGAGCTGTAGCTGCGCTGGGCGAGCTGGCGCAAGAGGTTGCCGGCGGGCTTTGATTGTCTGAAGGCCTGCATTTTGTTTGATGTGTGTGTGTGCTGCAGACAGGAATATAGAGGAGGAAAGTCGCAGTAATAGCGGCGAGAAGGGGGAGACGGGGGAAGGTCAATGGGAAATATCAACGGTAAATGTCGTCGGTATCTTTCAGTTCACGAGGTCGAGTGCACCGTCATTTCTCCAACAGCCTACCATGTCCAAAAATGTCTCCCGCTCTTGGCAGCTTCAGGGAACCAACCGCATCCCCATCTTTGACAGCATGGATCCACACCGCCCCCATTGGCCGGCAATCTAGGTCCCTGCTGCGACGGTGGTAGTGTTTTTCCGATGTCCGGGTACACCTTGCGGCACGCTCGCCCTACACATTGGGCCGATTCAAAGCGGCTGAGATTAGGTTCACACCCATCGGCTAGGGGAGGGGTGCAATCAAGCAAATCCTTATCACTTTCAACTTGCCCCGCCAACGAATATTGAAGCTCTGACAGACCAACCACGAAATCGAAGAGGACGCCGAGAGGCGATTTATTGCGCCGACGACTATTACGAACAGACAACTAGCCCCTGAGGCCAGATTGGAGGGGAAAAAGTATCCAAAATGGCTACAGCAACTATTACCACCACCATCCGCAAGAAGGATGCGAACCTTCCACCAGAAAACGAGCGCTATCTGCGGTGTTGCGCAGATGTCGCCAACGCCCTGATCGAGGACCACGAGGCATCCAGAGACCCCAGCAAGCCCCGGAAGGATATCAATCTCAACAGCCTGCGCTCCAAGTTCGCAAAGAAGCACAAGCTCAACAATGTCCCACCACTTACGGCCATTATTGCCGCCGTCCCCGAACACTACAAGAAATACATTCTCCCCAGGTTGATCGCAAAGCCCATCCGAACATCGTCAGGTATCGCCGTAGTGGCGGTTATGTGCAAGCCTCACAGATGTCCACACATTGCCTACACAGGAAATATTTGCGTCTACTGCCCCGGCGGCCCAGATTCCGATTTCGAGTACAGCACACAGTCCTACACCGGATATGAACCAACCTCTATGCGCGCCATCCGGGCTCGATACGACCCATTCGAGCAGGCCCGCGGCCGTGTTGACCAGCTCAAGGCTCTGGGCCACTCTGTTGACAAGGTGGAATATATCATCATGGGCGGTACCTTTATGTCGCTTCCCGAATCCTACCGCAACGAGTTTATCTCCCAGCTTCACAATGCCCTTTCCGGATATGGTACGCCCGACGTCGACGAAGCCGTCCGCGCCGGCGAGCAAAGCAGTATCAAGTGCGTCGGCATCACAATCGAAACCAGACCAGATTACTGTCTCGCCAGTCACCTAACAGACATGCTCCGCTACGGCTGCACCCGTCTCGAAGTCGGCGTGCAGTCCCTCTACGAAGACGTTGCCCGTGACACAAACAGAGGTCACACTGTTGCCGCCGTCGCAGAAACATTCTGCCTTTCCAAGGACGCCGGATTCAAGGTCGTTTCCCACATGATGCCTGATCTTCCCAACGTGGGGATGGAGCGCGACCTGGACCAGTTCAAGGAATACTTTGAGAACCCTGATTTCCGAACTGACGGTCTGAAGATTTATCCTACCCTCGTCATCCGTGGGACAGGTCTCTACGAGCTATGGAGAACGGGGAGATACAAGGGCTACACGCCCAACGGCCTCATCGACCTCGTTGCTCGCATCCTGGCTCTTGTACCGCCATGGACGCGTATCTACCGTGTCCAGAGAGATATCCCAATGCCCCTCGTCACATCCGGTGTCGAGAACGGCAACCTCAGAGAACTCGCCCTGGCTCGCATGAAGGACTTTGGCACCTCTTGCCGTGACGTCCGCACCCGCGAAGTGGGTGTCAACGAAGTGAAAAACAAGATCAGACCAAACCAGATCGAGCTCGTGAGGAGAGATTACACCGCCAACGGAGGATGGGAGACCTTCTTGGCCTACGAAGATCCCAAGCAGGATATCTTGGTTGGTTTGCTTCGGCTGAGAAAGTGCAGCGAGAAATACACCTTTAGGCCAGAACTCACGGGGCAGCCGACGAGTTTGGTCAGAGAGTTGCATGTGTACGGCATGGCTGTTCCGGTGCACGCTAGAGATCCTAGAAAGTTCCAACATCAGGGCTTCGGCACGTTGCTGATGGAGGAAGCGGAGAGAATTGCGAGGGATGAGCATGGGAGCGAGAAGTTGAGTGTTATTTCGGGTGTTGGTGTGAGGAGTTACTACAGGAAGTTGGGGTACTGGTTGGATGGGCCTTACATGAGCAAGTGGCTGGATGGAAGGCCGGGGCCGGAGGAATAGATGGTGTGATGATGATAGCTTTACATGGCCAAAGACCGGTTTGCATGAATAGGCGTTTCTTGGAAAGAATGGGAAGGGATGTATTGATGACTGAAAAGAAAGGACGTTCTATTTTGTGTGTATTTGTTGACAGGAAAACATAAGCAAAGGTGTTGATACATGTCGTGATGTTGGTTCACCAGCCGCATTGCTCGGCCACAGACAGCCACAAAAGATCCTTGGCACTCACCCGGTTCTCTTGCCCCTTTCCCGGCTGTTATCATCTCAAAAACACAGTGAAGGCGTGATACATGGTATATATCACGGCAGTTCGACATCACTACATATCAACACACAACTCTCCCTCTAGTCACTAGCTCCTCATCATGATCTCCCCGTCGGACATATGCCAATGCTTACCACCAAGCCCTCTCAGCAGGTCATATCTGTATCTTAGAGGTCTAGTTCTAGATGAGCAAACGACATGGGCTCAATGTCGTCAATTTATGCTTGTTTCCCAGCGGAAACTCTAGTCCAGAAAGTTACTAGCGAAATGCTTCTGTCAGATCGCCAAGACGGACGGGTGTTGGCATGGCTACGGTGAACCGGCGGTAGAGATACGAACTAGCAGCTACACGGCAGGCGAGGGGAACGTGATAGGGCTGAGAGCTTGTATCTTCCGCTTATGGGACAAGCTCGTGATATTGTCGACCAGGGACGGAGTTCTTGCAGGCCTGGAGGGCAGAATGGTGCGTTTCTGGGCGCAAGGCTAGTGGCTAGCCGATGTGAACTGGTGATGTTCTAACTGGAGGAGGCTGCGGCGTTGGGCATTAGAGGCCCAAGAGCATCAGGCAGAAGGATTCTGTTTGGGGTTGGGCGAATGGATGTCTCGAAAGGGCGATTGCGTGCTCGTGAAGGTGACCGCGATGGATGCTGAAGGAGGTATAGGTCAGTCTTGGGGTCGGGCAAGGCTCGGTGGCGGTCATTTGATTGCAGGCAGGTTCTGTGAAAGCATCAGTGGACTGTGCAAGGCGACAAGGGGTGAGGAAAGCAATGGGGTTATATGATGGCGAGCAGGGGGACAGGATGAAGTATAAAATGACCTAGAGTCCTCTCTTTACCAGCATGTCTTCACCACTATCCAGCATCTCAAGCCCATCCCAATCAACGCCAGCATCACCTGTCCATACTCAACAAGTTCTCTTCATCAAACAACACCGCCACAATGCGCTTCACAATGAAAATAAACCTTGCCCTCGCCCTCGGCACCTTCCTCCTCGGAGCAGAGGCTGCTCCCGCTCCCGCTGCCTCTGCCCAGGAGACCGCCACCACCACCACCGACAAGGTCTTCAAAATCCACACCGACGACTTCGTCAAGTACTTCCCCCCAGGCACCACCCCTTCCCCCTCAGATGAAGCCATCCCCGCCGCCGTAACCCCCAGCAAGCTCAAGCTCAAGCTCCGCCACCCCTCCGAGTCCCCCGAGACCTCAGAGAACGCAGCCGCCATCCTCACCAAGCGCGGCAACTACTGTGGGCACTCCTCCTTCCACAACGTCCGTAGCAACGATTCCCCCACCACCGGTGACTGCTGGCAAATCTACCACAACATCGCCGGCGGCGGCTCATGGCAGGTCTGGACTTCTGCTCATCGCACTCTGGTCTCGTATGGCGGGTGTGCGTTTGGTGTGGAAATTGATCAGGATTGGATCTCGTTTCAGTATGTAGGCGCGTGGGACATCAGGGATTTGATTCGGGACTCGATTAACAACTATGCTTCGGGGGGTAAGGTTGGGACTTGGGGGGAGATGGAGTGTGGGATTAAGTATACGAAGTGGGGGTTGTTTTAGGGGAGGAGGTTGCTCTGGAGGTGGATGGTGATGAAGGGGAGAAGGGTTTGATCGAGGGGAGGTGTTGGGAGATGGGGATGATGATGGTGTGTTTGGTGTTTGCAGTCGCGGTCGCAGTTGGCGTTGTGGGCGAAGATGGGTGAGGGAGAGGATGTGTCGAGGACTCGAGGTAGTTAGAGTGTCAATGAGAGCAGACAGGTATCAAGAAGATGTGACTTTGAGATTCAGAGTATTTCTGATGGTGACGTGACTGGAGCCACTACTGCATCCTGTTTCTGCTTTCTGCTCAGTGGTAGTTGACCGTGGATCAAGGAGGAATGCGTGGAAACCGGGCTGTTAAAGTCGACAGTGGATGATCATGGATAGATCTGCCTTAGTCCTTGGAATGGGGTGGACAACCTATCAAGAACTGACGAAGAAATGCCAGTAGGCGTCACGGTCAGAGTATTTCCGGGGAATAACGACGAGGTTTATGGGGTGCCTGGGAGCAAGGGCGAGACATGCGGGACTGAAGTTGTGGAAGGTGGGCGGGAGGGAGTAGTCCAGTGGGCAGGGCTGACCAAGAGCCAGCGCTGCGTTACCCGCGTTACGCGTTCCCTCCTTCCAGGTTCACCGTGATTTGCATCCTGTTGTCTTTGGACTCAAGCGATCAGTATCAGTTTATCTGGATAATCCCCATTCTCCTTTCTTGTGTCTGCCCGGACAAAAGCCTGACTACATTTCTGGCCCACAAAGCATTATAGGTTTTTAAAAGGCAGACTTTTGACAGAGGCCTCAGAGAGTTCTATTCCAACATGAAAAGATCTCTCAACACAAACCGAGGGAGCTAGGCAGTGTTGATGCAAGGCCGCTGGTGTCGGCCGCCTGCCAAGCTCAGATCTGGAGGTGGTGTGCCGTTCCAAGGGGTAATTTCCAGTTGCTTTCAGGCAATACTGTACAAAATAGATACCTGGCTTCAAGTGCCTGCCACGCCTGCCCAACTTTTGCGCCAATGACTAATGTGGGTGGTCGAGTGCCCCTTGAGACAATCCCAAGTCTCCCACACAATCACCCGACCGCCGACGCCAGGTGCAAAGACCACACGGCAGGCTTTCCCAATCTCCTTGCCATCCATGCATTAGTTTCTCTGTCACACCTCCTTCTCTGTAACTTCCACTTGTTCCTGTCCGTTTGTCTCCCCCTTGTCCTTCTTGGTCGTTGACTGGCACACGCGCTCCGGGACCGACATCTCCACCACCAGACTCCCGAGACCAGTGACATCCGCGGTGTTGCTAAGATCAAGAGGCTCTCCCTCGAAAGCGTGAGACAAACTGAATGTTGCTGAGCCCAAAGCCTCCCCATGTGATCTTGTCACAGACGAAGCTCCATCCCTAGGTGCTGCCTGAAGTTCGGGTTCGGTGAGGCAACCTGAAATGGCACGCTTGTCAGCTTGAGCAGGAAGATGCATAATGTATAGTGCAATATGGACATACCGCTCCGTATGAAACTCTCCGTTTCACACCAGCCTCCGAGGCCTTGGAGGTCTTGATCTCTCGCGTTATCTTGGTGACTGCCCGTGGCTGAGCGGTTCCGTTAGCACCGAGACCTCACGGCCCTTAACTCACTGCAGATACGCACCCATTGTGACGCGACCAAATCTTGCCTTGAGTGTTGACACGATGGAAGCGGTTGGAGACCTCAGGAGAGCACTCCCTCAAGACTCTTTCGTCTTATATATGGGAATGGATTCATCATTTTTACTACAGGACATGGCCCATGTTCTCTCCGCGCGAGGAGCACGAGTGTTTGCTGACTGCTTCGTTGATAGCTCATATTGCTTTACTGCAGCTGTCCTTCTCGGCGGTGATCCGCGGCAGCAAGGTCGCTGAAGACATCTACCTGGACGAAGCCGGGGAACGCTTTGCAGGCGCGGCAGAAGCAACACTGTCAGAATGCGTGTGCATTTGCTAGGGATTCGAAAAGTATTACTTGACCACCACATGACCGAATCATTCTCCGAGCTCTTCTAGTTCGTCAGAGCCTTGTTTACAAACTCGATGACGACCATCTACCTAAGATACCTATCCTTTTTGCCCCACCCGGGGGCCACGACAATCTGCCTTATCGACATGGCCCTGATGTGAGATACCAGCATGTACCTAATTCTACCTATTCAGGGGCTGAGATTGAGGAGATTGTGCCTTCCGCATGGGGATATGTCTTAGAAGACGGTAATCCTCAACAAAAGTCTATGTACCTCGTTGTAGTTGCAATGTATCCAGAGTCGGTGTAGCAGATCGGCTTCCATGCCGGTTCCTCGGCTTCCCCCTGCCACATGCACGTTAAAATGGCATCAAGGAAAAGAATTTCGCTTGTCTTAGACGCAATAAAAAGGAGAACAACGACGTCTCGGAGCCGCCGCCACACGGGAAGAAACAAGCTATTATAGGTACCTAGGATTCTTTCCCAACTAGTACGCTCGCACTGTCTACCTGCACGTTCTAGCCACAAGCATCACCTCTCCTGTTGCCAACGACGGTAGTGGCATGAGCCATCAGGCTGGTAGCGTCTTGTGTGTGATGTTATGAAAATCCTCAGTACACTTTGCGGCGCAGCAAGGAGCCTTTTAACTTGGCGGAGCCGACTTTTGCCGCTGTCTGCCTTGCTTCGAGGCCAATATCCAAACTGTCGGGTTGCCCTCGGGTCCAAAACTTGTATTTTCTGCCTCAGAATCAATAGCGGCGGATAATAAAACGGAATTTTGTCTGAGAAAGGGAGGGCACCAAGACAAGAGTTGTGGCCGACATCAGTGAGGCAGCCGTGGGCGTGGTCTGGTGGTGTGAACAAACAAAAGAAACGGAGTTACAAAAAGGCCAAGATGAAACAAACAACGCATTCACCGTGCACCTAGATAGGACACTTGTTCTCCGGAAAATTGACATTGCCCGGACAAAGCAAACTTGAAGTACCAATTGCTATAACTGGATAGTGGCATCCCCCCAGCCTGAACTTGGTGGCCTGCTACCTCCCCTAAAGCCGCACAAGATCTAGACGACCCAATAGAGGACCGGATCGATGAAGAGATTCCATACCGGATGCCGGATACTTCCCCGTCGCACCCCCCCTCCGACCACTGTTTGTTTTCAAGACCGGGCATGACCTGTGCAGCTCGCGGGCGGCACAGGCACGCCGTCAAAGAATACCCCGGCTGGGACGGATATGGCTCCGGATCATTGACTTCCCATCCCATTGGCTCTCGAGGTAGACTCTAACTCTCAAGCCCCCGGAGTTCATTCTGCTTTCCAGGCTGCTGGCTAGTTCTAATCTTTTTCCATCCAGAATCCGTGTTTTTCCTCCTCTCTGTCATTCTACATACCCACAGCACCTCCAAACTCTAATAAACTGGATCGGTAAAGGATGAAATCGAATTTTGCTCCCAGAGAGCGACTTAATCACCGGGCTGCCCAACAATGTCATCGTCCTGCCTTTTGGCTGGCGACGCAAGGTCTTCATTCATCTTTCTCTTCTTACTCCTAATTTTTTTTTGGTGATAGCTGTATTACTGACATGATAACATCAGTCGTCTTGAAGCCTGCCTACCGAAATCTCAAAAACCGGAAACCTCTGTCGACGAAACTTGAGCGAAACCCAACTCCGCCACGTCGAAATATACCAACAACTGGGTTCACAAAAAGCCTTGCACAGTTGCTCTATCAGTGGCAGACCTGCAATATCTTGAAGACAATTCAGGAAATAGCAATGTGAGCCCCACGAGATGCTAGACAAAGATGGCCAGCGTCGCGTGGACAGAACGCAACCCCCCCTCCTTCAAGTCGAGTCGGATAACGGCTTTACAGCACCACAAGTGTGCTGCTGTAACTTTCAACATGTAGACAAGACGATCAGGCTTGGTTCAAGGCGTTGTCTTCGTTTGAAGTCTGTTGTCACTTGGACATGTTGCCTCTTGGTCAGTAAGCGCAGCTCAATTTCTCGTCTTGGTACCTAGTTCCCTCACCCAGCATCATCACAACATACGGCAAGGTGGCCGAGCGGTCTAAGGCGCCAGGTTCAGGCCCACTTGAATTAAATTACTCCTAGAGTATTTCCTGGTCTCGCAAGAGGCGTGGGTTCGAATCCCACCCTTGTCACATCTCTTTTGCTCGTTTTGGATTCTTGTTCTTCTTTCTTTTGACGGACAGTACAACTGAGGGGGAGCTGCAAGGAGGCTTGAGAACTTGTCACTGGACTGTAAGATGAATGGGATATGAGAGCCGTGAATGCGCTGGAGGCGACGATGTTCAGAGACTCTGGAAAGACATTAGGGAGGGTTGCTCTCTTGATGACGCAAGTCATTAAAGTCTTTATGAAGGAGAAAGATGGCCAAATCTAAAGCGAACACAGAAATCCAAAGCCCCCAGGTGTGGAAGTCCAGCTCCTACCAAACCAGAGTTCACATCAAACACCCTGTCCATTCCTCAAAATACCATCAGACTCAAACCCCATAGCACCGAATAGAACGCCAGCCACTGGCCGGTACCAACTCTCTCCCCCCCCGACAAAGCAATACTAGCCGAAGGAATAGGAGCAAACTGCGTCCTACTCGGACTTGACAAAACCGTCCCCGGCCCCGGTCTCTGCTGCACCAACAAACTCCCCTCTCCACCACCACCACCCGTGACCCTCGCCTCATACGAAGAAGAAGCAGCCGTCACACTTTCACTAGTATCTACTTCGCCTGTCGTGAGCCCCACAGTCAAAACCTCAGTCGTGGTGGTGATTTCGGACTCACTCGAAAACAGCGGTCTATTCTCAGCCGGTGGGAACATTGCCGTCTGCGTAGGTGCAGCCTGCGGTGAGAGATGACAATAACTATCAAACACAGCCAGCGCAGAAGCAGTAGCTTCCGGCTCGGAAGGCATGCACTTTGATGAGGCGGCCCTGCTGATTATACTCTTGAATTTTATCGAGCTGGAGGCGCAGAAGCAGGAGTAGGAGGTTGTGCGGCCGCCGTCGCCGCAGCCGGAGACCATGTTCCTCACGATGTTGGACAAAGGGGCTTCGGCGCAGGGGGGAAGGGAGGAGTAGAGGGGGACTTGGTTGATGAAGATTCTTTGGGCTGTTGTTGCTGTGACAGCTAGGAGGGGGAGGAGGAGGAGGCGCATGGTGCCTGTTGGATGGTGTTTAGGTGGTTGTGTTGAGGAGGGAACAATGAAGTCATCGGGGTGGGTGGTATAGGTGGGTTTTATCCTGCGGTGGTGAAGCCTTGCTGAGTCGATTCAGAGATTGGTGTTGTGTTCAAACGGAAGATGCCGCAGCCTCGAAAAGCCATCAGCGTTTGGGAGATTAAAATAGTTGGGAATACGCGACGGCGGCTTTATGATCATTGCCACCTTTTGCGCTGAGGAATGACCATATCTGACGCTCTATCATCGCGCAGTACCGACTCGACAAGAAGAGACAAAATTTCGGCATGCAGGGAAAAGGACTTGGCTGTTTCTAACTACCGGTCGCTATAGGTAGCCTGGTCAGATGTGGCGTTCGGCGCAGGCCGAGATTCTTTTTCTGAGCTCACAAGCGCGCGTTTACTGTTTGTCAGCTCGTCCGGTGTTGGACCCTGAAATGCTCGGTGGCACAAAAAGGGAAAATATTTCTAGCCTTGCCAGAGCTTTCGTGTTCATTGGTGTTCCTGGCAGGGAAGCCAACAGAAAGGCCCCCAAACGGCATTTCGGAGCTGAACCTTTTGGCCAGTTCAGGCGGCCATCAAAATTGCAAAGTTATACAAGTATGGCAGAGCGAGCAAATATCAAACCGACCTGATAGACTCGGTAATCAGCGATCAGTTCTTGCTTTGATGGTTTGCTTTTCTGTTTCGATTTTCATACCTTCCATCCCAAAATGCCGACCTCGCAGAGCGACCGGGTGGCCATTCTGCGGAGCCATCGTGTTCGATGGTTTGTGGTCGGCTGGCTAGCTTGGTTGAGCATTTCTGGTGCGCTGGTGATCGCACTAGCACCGTCTTCTCCCGTCATAATCGCCGTCCTCTCTGGAGTATGGGTCTTGTCAGTCACCGGTACCATCGCAGTATCCTTCCTGCTGCTGTTGGCATCACCTACCACTGAGCGCAACAAGCCATTGTGGCTTCGACTGAAAAGCAAGTATAGCCGCAACTTGGGGAGTACTGTCATAACCCTGTTCGCGGCGGCGGTCACGCTACCCATTCTGTACTGGAGTCTCTGGGATCCCGAGCGCAGGCGGAACGTTATTACGTTTGATCGTGATACTGTGGTAGGTCACCCCCAACTTCACACCCTATTCTTGAACCACTGTCTCATCAGTATTGAAACCTCGCAGGACAGCGTTCTCTTCCCCTCGATCACCCTCTTCCAACGAGCCGACTGGACATCGCAGGCCAACCTCGAAGTTGACCCACCCCCCAAGTGTTTCCTGGGATGGCACAACGAAACCGCCCCAGACTGCGATATCACTTCAACATCATACACCGGATCTTGCCAATGCAGCAACAGATGGAGTGACAGAATCGAAGACTTTGAGTGGCAAAACACCAGCTACCGCGCCTTCACTCTGACGTCGTCCCTCTCGATGGTGTCTCCAATGCCAACATACCAAATGATCGTCCAAGCGTTCTTTACCTGTCAGTTAGCCCCCTCCTCAACCCCGAATATACCTGAAAGCTGACACAGAAAACAGATGACACCACCAAAGCCCGCACCGACGCCTCCCGCGTTCTCTCCCCCAGCCTCTGGATCGCCGTTTACGACCCAACATTGACAGTCCGAGAAGCACTAGAGAACGGCTACACCCGCATGGTTCTTATCAATGCCAACGGTATGACTGCTCTGAATCTCGGACTCAACTACCGCGAGGCGTTGGGCCATGCACCGGCGTATGACTACCACCTCTCCATATCGACAACACCCTCGATGGATTTGCAGTGCGACACATCTGATGCAAAGGGAGCATCAGGGCTGTGCTGGTTGAGCTTGTTTCTGCAGTTTCCGAGTTTCGAGAGGCAGGTGTCGCGGCAGGATGTTGCGATGAAGTGGCAGGATGTCGCGGCTGATGCTGGTTCGTGGTTTGCGCTGTTTCAATTGCTGGGGTGGATTACTTCTGGGTTGGCGTGGTATAAGGGGTGATGAAGGCGGATGCTGGTCATCCTGAAGCCCAGAAGCGAGATGCTCGTATACGATAATGGTTTGGTGAAAAAGGTGGTTGTTAAGGTAAGCATAATGTCGGTAATCTGCTTTGTATGATAATGATTTGTAGTTAGTCATGCCCCTATCTGTTACCCTAGCGACATAATTCTTTGTTTATTCTTTCGTGATCCACTTCAGGGGTTCAGCACAAGCCAACATTCTCCCCGTGTCCCCACCTTCTGCAGAGTCACAACGGCCCATCCTCACGTGAAAATCACTACAGCGCCGTGAGCCCACTTCCTGATCAGTGATCCCCTGCCCATTGGCCAGAACCTCCCAAAACGACCCCTCCAAGGGTCTAACGCCAAGACCTGTCTTACCCTCCAAAACCCACGATAAGAGAAATCCCCCCCACTTGGAAAGGCAAACAACACACCACGCAGCACGCCGCACCACCAAGTGCATTATCACCAACCTCCCTGACCGAATCACCCCTCTTCTGGCAGATATAATTTTCTGCCCAACGGCCTCTTCTCTCTTCAGTATTTCTTTTTCCTTCATGGGACATTTGAAGCAACAAGGCGGCATCCATTTGATGCGTTGACCAAGACACACAAAATGGCCTCCACCACCAATCACCCCAGACCGCCTCAGTACCACAACCCATCCTGTCTGTCCCCACAACAACGCACACCCCGCCTCATCACAGCACTTTCTTTCCTCCCCGCCCTGCCGCTGCTGATTGCTCATGGGGTGATATCCCAGAATGCCATTCCTGCTGTTGGGCTCGCGCCGCTTTTTGTTTCGGCTTGCGTCGGTGTTTTTATTTTGCTGCAGCTGAAGAAGAAGGAGAGGAGGCAGAAGAGGGCGGTGAGTGGGGAAGGGTATGGGGATGATATTGAGGGGCATGGGAGACAGCATGGCCAGCACGGCCATCGCGGGAGGATCACGCCTTCTGATGATGACGAGGATGAGGCAGAAGAGAAAGACTCTGTGTTTACCCATCGGATACTAATCTTTTTGGTGGATGCTGGCTTGGCGGCTGGGTTGTTGGTTGTGTTGGGGTTGACGGTTATTGAGACCATCACCGGAAAGCCTTATCATCGTGGCAAGCCTGCGGAGGAGGGTAGCGATGAGGGCGATGTGCCGAAACCTGAACCTGGGCCTGAAGTTGTTGATGATCTGAGAAGGGCGGAGTTGGTGATGCTGGCTGCATATGGAACGATTCCTTTGCTGGTCAACTTGTGAGTTTTGACCAGAATGTCTTGATTTGGAAAGTATGTATACTGACAGAAGATATAGTGGCATCCATTTTTACATGGCAATCAGAGAGCTGATTGCTGGCTTGGCTATTCATGGCTTGATCCAGTACACCGCTTGGCAAGTTCTTGACCCTGACTGCCCGCACTGCGGTGGCAGGTTGAGGCCGGAGCACACGCCAGATATCCCATGGTATGAGACGGTTTCTGCGCCTTCCTTCGCAGTGCCAAGCGTTGCGTTGCCCGAGGTTCCTGCTCCGAATGTCACAATGCCAAAGTGGCAGTGGAAGACCCCGTCTTGGCTGTCGAGAAAGCAGAGCGAGGACTTCTCTGGCGCAGACCCGGATGCCAGGCTGTTTGTGGACGATGGGGACAGGTATAGGGACGATACCACTGAGGACGAGGCAGCATCCACGACTGGCATTGTTGCTGGCACTGCATCCGTGGGCCCAGGCCCTGTTGTCGAAGAGGTCGTGAAGGGGAAGAAGGACAAGAAAAAGAGGTCTTCAAGCGGTTCGGGGTACTACGAGGATGAGGCCGGGTGGCCCTAAGCCAAAGCAGAGTGTATTGAGGAGTTGATGGTGGATGGTGGATGTGTCGCGCGGTGTTGAAGCGTGGGAGCTGGAGGGAGGTGGGCTGCGTAGCGATCAGCTGGTGTGAGCAGGTAGTCTGAGTTTGGTGGATGTCTTTTTTAGATACCCTTGTTTGCTGTTCTTGATTTCGAAGGAAATATACGGAGTAGGAGTTGCTGTTCTCATGATCCGATGAAAATATGGTTTCGCGCGCTCTCGTGGTAAGTGATGGGAATCATGCACGGGCCCGCTGATGCCTGCTGTGTTTGCTTGCCAGGCTTTGAACCGCCGCAACCGCGTTCCGACCCCTCAATTTGTCAATTTCGCCATGCTCTCCCAAGAAATTGACCTCAGAACACTGGTATTCTGCCCATATGAAATGGGAAGTGTGCTAACCCTTCGACCTGCAATAGAGAACTTGAAACAGAGCGATGACGAAACTCAATTGCTACGCGTCAGGATTAAGAAGCTCCAGCAACCCTGGACACTTTCCTGCTGTATGCCTGTCGATGTTCTGAGCGACTGCTCAGACCGTGTCAAGGAGACGGCCTTTCTAAAACTCTTCGACTGGCGCATTGCTGCACAGCAGCGTTCCGATCAAGGTGTCGATCCATGGACCGAGGAAACCGCTGCTAAGTACGCAAATTTTGCTGTAAGCCACGAGGCCGAGAAGTTTCTTGAACAACTCAGAGAAAACCAATATCAGGAAACCGACGAGGATTGGAGCATTGGCCAGGATGAGACATTTCTTGTCCACCAGACACTTAACATGTACGACGGCGAGACTGCTGTTTACAAACGTCTCTAGCCTCTCTAGGGCACAATAATACCACGCTTGATGGCTGCCGTTGAGCTTGATATTGCACCACCTACTATGGAGGGCGAGAAGTTCAGAGACCTCTTCAGCGTGCAGGGAATCTTGCTCGAGTATCTCCCTGATAGCTTCACACTCCGAAATATCGACGCCATGGCCCCGGCTGAGGATCTGCAGGGAGTTGTCGACCAAGCCGTTGAGATCGCTCGATCATTGGGAGACCACGCGAGTTCTGAACACAGATGTTCGACTCGAAAACTTTCTCGTCACATCATGCCAGAGGGAAGATGCGGATAACAATGATGCAGATCCGCCGAGGCAGACTTACCGGGTCGTCATGTTGGACTTTGCGCAAAGCCGGGTGCGAAGAGAAGACGAATCTGACTTTGACTGGGGACGTGCAAAGGCTCAGCAGAATGAAGAAGGGGCCGTAGGCATGGTCATTCGACACTACCTGAGCAAGCTTGGAAAACAAGTATCCTACACGCCATCGGGACGCTATGAGGAATTTGCAGAAGGGGAGTCGGAGGATGAGCAATGATCTGGTGACTTTGAGGAACATTTCAAGCTTTTAGGTCGATTCTTCAAGCTAAATCCACCGAGCCAAATCTTCTTCGTTTGCCAACCAGGTCTTTCATCTCTTCTCAACATCATCTACCTGCACCGTGGTAGCCTTTTCTTTCTCTGCAGGTACCCCGCCAACAGAATCCTCGACGAGCTGGCGTTCCACAACATAGGACGAGAACTTTCTCGCGCTCACCCCCTTCTCAAACAGCTCTTCCAACTGCTCCAAGCTCCTCCCCTTTGTCTCAGGCACATAGAAAAATGCCCAGAGAGCAAGGACCAGATTGCTTGACCCCCAGATATACCCATACTTCGGCCCCCATCCCAGTTTATCTGGGTTGATGAAGTAGGGTGTACAGAACGACACGACCCATCCAACGATAAAGTTGAGACCCGAAGCCGTCCCGACAGTCTGCGATCTCAACCTCTGCGAGGGGATCTCCGTCGACAACGCCCACATAACCGGCCCCTGACCAATGCCATAGATCCAAGTAAACACGATACTCATTGCGACCAACGCTCTGCTCGCCGCAGGATCTGTCCACGCCGAAACAGTATATGCAATCGCCATCCCGTACATCATCCCCGCCGAGATCACCGACGTCCCGATCAGCAGCTCTCTTCTGCCAAAATACCTCATCGCCGGAAACGCCGCCATATTTCCCGTCAGCGCAATCGCAAGCGAAATCATCACCCACTCAAACGGCGATCCAACCCTCGCCTGCACAAACAAATACACCGAAAACCCAGCCATAAACGTCACCCCCGTCGCCGTCCCCCCAATCGTCGTTGCGAAGCAGAGCAATGTCCTTCTCAAATCCGGACCCCGAAACATATCATTAAGATGAACACCCGAATGCAGTTCCTGCTCCAGCAAAAACGCACTCTTGATATCCTCCACCTCTGCCCGGAGATACGCCTCGTCTTTGATACCCCTCAACCGTCTCACCGCGTTGATCGCCTTCTCGTCCTGCCCTTGGGTGACGTAGAAACGGGGTGTATCCGGCAAGAAAGCCAACAAAATCGTCAAGATTGTCGGAACAATGTACATCACCCCCAGGGGAACCTGCCAAGGTGCGTTCCCAGGGTATATCTTGCAGTAATTATCCACCAAAATCCCAAACAGCGCCCCGAGGGAGGTTTGAAAGGTGCTCATCCCCACAATCGGCCCTCTCAGCAAGGCTGGCGCAGATTCCGTCATGTACGTCACGCTGTAGGGGACGAAAAACCCGTTGCTTACTCCAAGCAGTAATCGGCCTGCGTATAAGCCACCTAGGGAGGTTGTCCCGATCATGAGGCTTACGCTCAAGAAAGCGAAACCGCAACCGAGCCAGAGACCGATGCGGCGGGAGAGTTTTGTGTGGGAGGCGTACATGACGATGGCGGAGAGGAAGCCGCCGACGTTCATGAGGGATTGGATCAGGCGCTGGACGTCGGTGGAGATGTTGAGGCCGATGGGGTTGGTGGGGTCTTCGTAGCCGTAGACGCGGAGGAAGGCGGGCATGGATTGGAAGCCGGCGATGGCGGCGGAGTCGTAGCCGTATTGGAATTGTCCGAGGGCGATGAAGAAGCAGATGGTTATGATGCGCTTTTCGGCGAGGAAGTTACTGCGAAAGGGGGCGGGAGGTGGTTTGGGGGTCGGGTGGGCCATAGTGGGTGGTTGATGGGCCGGCGAAGGTGTACTCTATACGGAAGCTGGGGATGGTGATGGTGGGAGAAGGGAAATGGTGAGAGGCAACACCACACCCAGGTTTAGATAGAGGATGAGGAGACCTCTGGGTGGGAGGGACAGTTCGGGGTAGGCATATTCTTATCTGGCTGTTACTACATGCCTTGGGTGGGATATAAGTCGATCATCCTCTGCCGGGACCGCTTCCCCTCACTTCTCCAACAAACAATAGAACAGGAAGTCTGGAACCGGGTGAGTGTTACACAAGAACCGTTAAATGCACTTAACAAGCGGAAACCATAAGAGAAGCTGTATTGGCTAATCAACGGGGGACAGCAGATAGAGTGGCCTCGGACTCCAACACACTTTGGACATATGCAAGGATCGAAATATGATTATCTCAGTGAAGAATGCCAGAAGAAAAACATGTGGTCAACTCCCGCACTGGGATATTAAAACGGTTCGTTTGGAGAGATCTTGCATGGATGGTTGAAGCATGGGTCTGGTGTATAATACCCGCATGTAACGTTGTTGGCAGTCATATCGACTTGATTGGGGTTCTTGCCGGGAGCCGAAAGGAGGGGAGATTGACTTCCGGCAGGTTAGGAAAATGATACAGGGGATCAGTTGACGGCAAATTTTGGGATGTTGTTCCCAAGACTCCAAGAAATAAGTGGCATTGCATTTTGTCGGGCCATCAAGCCTCTCAACTGCTACCTCGAGCTACTCGCTATGATGTCTTGACAAGAAGCCCATCAGCCTCCCAAAGTTCCAGTCTTACCAAGGAGGATTACCCTTCACTTTCAACGCCCCCACCCATCGAACCCTGATCGCCATAGGTAAACGGATGCTTGGTCGGCGAGTCATCGCAGTTGGCATACGACATAACAATATAGGTACGTGCAGCATGTGTGTGGTTGGTGGGTCAGCCATAGTACCCCGAATAGCCAATCTTGACACATTGGTTGATTATAGCGTTGGAGACCTGGAGAAGATCTAGCGTACTCGTCGTAGCCGCATCACCGCCAGGTGGGCTTCTCTACCTCGTAGAACGATGGTGAGTAAGGTAGGCACTTACACCAAGCCACAGTTTCGAGGAAGACGTAAAGATGTGGGTTGTGGTCATTGTGGAGCAGTTGCACAACGAAATTTGGCATGTTTCCAAGGCTGTTATCCCAGTCGCCAAAAATGTAGAATCGGTTGTTGGAATGGAATTAGGAATGGTAGAAGCGGACGACTGAGCGACAGTTTCATGGAGATGGTTGCAGAAAAAAAGAAGGAGGAAGCCTGCGACACGAGAGTTGAAATTCATCTTGATGTAGTTGACTGTTGACATACCATACAACGTATGATTGCTCTCTCGCTAGTTTACATGAAGGGGGTGGATTTCTTGTGAGAGGAAGCGCTGGATTTATAGTGGACGGGATCTTTCACATGATAGATGTTGACTTTAAGGGAAAGGTGTTTGAATGTTTGAGTGTTCGAGTATTGCGAGTCTGCGTTTGAGCGCGACATTCACCTCATGCTCCGATGGCCGACACATCTATTCAGGTGTGATCAGAATTGAAACGAGCACTTTTCAAGGCAGGGCTAACATAATAGGCTACCTGGACTTGTCAGGTGAGCTGACCGGTTGCGATGATTGTGATGGGAGAAAAGTGATACGGCGATTGTCACGGTTTGGGAGATTCGACACACATCTCCTGTCTGTCTGTATTGATGCAAACTCTTCTGACTGCCTTTCAGGGTCCCCTTTTTGTTGGTAGTCAGGACTAGTCATACGGTGGTATAATGTCTCGGCTGTAGGGCCTCATGGGTCCACTCAAAATGATCAAACGAACTTCAGCAAACATAGGTACCCACCTAGCCTTCCTCAACCAGGCAGGCCTCCTGCGTTTCAGAACGATCCAAAAGACATGTTGCCCAGCTGTCCACAGTGCCGAGATGCTTCAAACGGCCATTTGACATCAAAATCACCCGCCAGGTGCCAAAACGGCGTCCGGTTATGAGCGGAGGACCAACCGTGCCATGTGGCATCATCTTGATTGTGGGGGTTAACCTGACTCTTCGGGCAGCTGGCACCTACTGACTTGCATTGACTTGAGTTAACTAGCTGATGAAGAAACAACTTTCACCGAGACGAATACATCCGTACGACTTTTTCTCGAAACATCGGTCATTACCGCACTCCCAACTGTGCCACGTAGCGGCATTTTGGTTGTGGGGTGGACCCTGAGCGCGTTCCCGTGTCTGTCCTTGGGACCTGCATAGAAGCCTTAGAGAAAGGATGATATTCTGGAAAAAGGACACAGCCTGATTGGCTACTGCTCTGAGACACCACACCCACCTCTCCGATTCATAGCCTTGCGCCATGTGATTGGTCTCAATGCCTCGCCGGTCCTGAGTTCTATGCGCCTTCACTGACTATTAATAAATATCTTAGATTGACACTGCTGCCAAGAATCTGTGCATGCGCAATGATCGGGCTTTGTCCCAAACTAAGGCAAGACAATGCAGAAGGTTGATTTGTTCCCTCTGTGGGTCAGGTTATGAGACGTTTGAGGTATATTCGTTGCGCTCCATGCCACTCCTCTGTATTTTCCACAGTTCTCAGAATATTATCACTTTTTTCTTCTGCCTCGGGTTCACCACATTCACCTAGGTACCTGATAGATGCTCATCCAGAATCTTTGGCAGACATAAACACAGGAATGTCTGTCGCATTATATCCAGGCTCAACAGACAATTCTCTGCTTTATTCATCGATACCATCTTGCAGCGAGGCTTCGAAACCACGCGCCTGTGCATGATGTGGCGTTCTTGTTGGAGACGTTCATGCAGGGTCTCAGCTCTTGGCGATAGCTTCACTCGACCCAGATTGCTACGAAGCACCCTCATGCTTGATGATGCAACCACTTCAGGGGCTTTAAAGATTAAATATGGCTGATTCGAAAGTCTGTGTGGGAGGGAGGTGTGAACGCCTAGGCTTAGTGGCTTGCTCAGGGGTCAGGTAAAATGAACTGGAAGGGCGCCAATGGGTCTGGGATCTCGCAAGGCTACGGAGCTTTTGAGTAGAGGAGAAGTATAAACAGGTGGTGATGTCTTCTATTAATTAGACTGTGTTCTCAACAGCGTCACATCTTCTTCACCCCTTGCCTTCATTCGACCGATTGCCTACCTGCCTAGCATCGAACCATTCAGTTGTCATACGTAATTACATTTCCACACTTGAATTCAACACAAGCCGCCATGGGAAACAACGTATGCGCTCCAAGGGGACAAAATGGCTATAGCTGCGACTTCGAGATTGTCAGGAGTAACTTCTTTGGAAACCTTTCGGCAAATAACTTTGACTCTGGCAACGTCAGTGCCCTTGAAGAGATTGAGCAAGTCGGAGCAGATCCTGACATCGCCGGGCCCGGTGTGAGTTCTTCACTTCCATCTCTGCTACAATTTGGCACTTATGCTGACAAAACTAAGATACTCCTCGCCGTAATGATGGCATTTGTCGTGTCCATTCTCATTGCCTTTTTCATCCACGTGTTGGACCTAGTGGAAATTTGTTCAGGGCAAGTGTTACATCCAGGCTGCCGATGTTCGAGATTCAAGGTGCTAACAGGACCATACAGGAGAAAACCAGCAAAGAGAGTCCACCATATTCTCAACAAGATCCTGGTCTCGTGGAGCGATCAGCAAATTGTCCTTGGCATTGCAATTAGCACAGCTGCGCTTGAAGAGTGGTGCAGCTTCTCAACCTACCACCTCAACATCATCAAACACTGGCTGATTCTCTCTTCCATCACCCATGTCAACGCCCTCCTTGTTCACTGCAATTACTTCCAAAAGAAAAAGATTCTGGCAACAACATTGAGAGCTGGACTTATCTCCCTTCATGTCATCTTCACCGGTGTTGTGGTATTCGGACATGGACAAGCTGCCGAGAACAAAATCCCCGAAATCCACCATCAAACGCCCCTGCAAATCCTGCCAGCAAGCTGCTTCTTTGCAAACTCCACAAGACCCAGCCTCATTCAACAAATGCATGTGGAAACGCCGGAAACCGAGACCAGTTCACTTTCGAGCAAGTCACTGTTCATCTGGGGAATTGTGCTGATTGTTTGCAGCAAGCTGACACTGTTACGTCATCTTTGGGCGACTGAGGATAGGAAGAAGCGTCGTTTCATGGTATGGTGCATTCGACTAGCCCTGCTTGGACTGAATGTGGCACTGGGTGTAATTGCAATCACTGGTGTCCAAAGCATTCGCAGCTGGATGAGTGATGAAGGCTTGATCGATATTTCAGACGGCTCGGAGAGCGAGTATTCTTACGGGCAGTACCTCTCAGCTTATCTGGCATTGTTTGCTGCCTTCCAGATTGCTGAAAGCTTCTTTGGTAAGAAAGGCTCCCACCTGAACGATATGTTTTTTTTGTCTTAGTATCAAAGGCTCCTGGTGCTAACTATTTGACTTTGCAGAAGATATTGAGGAGTAGAATCTCTTATACGGAGGTCAAAATGGTCCGGTATGATGTATCTGGCTACCTAAGTATGTACGATCAGCGGTTTTCGTATGGGTGCTGCCTGTGGGAATGGGGGTGGAGGAATGGTTTCATCTCTTCAACGTACCATGTTTTCTTGTCGCTACAGAGGTGAAGATCAAGGGGAATTGTACCAACAGTTTCTTAGTATGTAAAAGATGTGTCGAGATAAGTAAGCATGTATCTTAGGCGTTGGTACCCCTTTGTGCGTCTAGTGAATGGTGTTCCCGCTTTAATCACATGAATTCCATCTCGCTCACTTTCCACTCTCGCCATGCTTCCCCCTGCATGATGCCATCTACATAACAGTCTCCAACAAGTCTGAACCGATTACAGTACTCTCTTCTCACTACAAAAGGGGAACGACCCCCTGCCAAAAGCGCCACATCATCGTCAACCTTCGTGTCATGCGGTACGAGTGCTAATCTTCCATCGTCTAGCCGTGCCAGTGCCTGGTCAAGCGGTGTTGCAAGCACGGTATCCAATCTGTATGGCATGCCGAGAACGTAGGATAACCTACTGTTCAAAAGATAACCCCCAACAGCCGAGACAAAATAGCTGGCGATGGTGGATTCCAAAACGAAGTTGGTAAAGACTATTGCAGCGGTCTGTAACCCTATCCAACACAGTAGATAAGGCGGGACTTTACCCATACCGAAGAAGTTGATTCCAAGTAGTAGATGATAGGCCGATGGATAATAGTAGAAAGGTCCAGCCAGCCTTAGTAGCCTGAGAAATGGATTCCATCGTATAGATCTGGCCTGAGTGTGGAACTGTGCTATAGCCTCCACGATAAAAGTTTCATTTGGATAGTCGGTAAAGAGAGAATCAACCATTTCGACTCCTCTCGGGCCCTTCATCAAGGTTTCAAACATGGCATACAAAGGATTTGTCTCGCTCCTATTACCTAGCCAGGTCCCGTCAGAGAGAGCTAGGTCGGCATACTCCAAAAGGATTCCCATTGCTGCGCCTTTTCGAAGACAGTTTTCGAAGTAAGTTATGGCCAGCATAAGTAGTCCTGACCTGGTTGATAAGACGCTCCGCATGATGCCATTGTTGAGTCTTTGAAAGGTATCTGCTTGAGAAGCGCGAGCTGTGAGTTTAAGGATTCCCCGGGGTGTCCTGTGGCCAACAAATAGATGGTGAATTTCCATCGGTCGACACACCGCGGTGATCTTCCCCGCGATCATTCCGTAAAGTATGAGAATACTGTTGTCACGTAACTGTGGTGGTGGACATTCGGAGTCCCCGGACGCGTTGTAAGCGTTGTATAGGGCAGGTCTGACATCTCCTGTCCGGTTGTATGGGTTTCCCTCTGTCAGATCCCATCGAGGACGTGGAAGGCATTCCGAGTCGTACTGCCAGTTTGGTACCCATGATGGCAGATCATCGTCTCTTTTTATGAAGCTGGGAGAGCTACATTGAACAAGCAACCTCAGGTCTTGCGACTGTTGCAAGATTTTGAATGCGATATGTGTGTAACACTGAGCGGTTGATACCGCGTACTTGGGCCCTGGCAAATCATCCATGAAGAACCGGCGTTCATCGGGGCGTAGGAGACCAATTAAGCCATATACCTTATCCCGGTTATTTTTGGCACACGACCAACGAAATTGAACCAGCAGATGGGAAAGGCTGTAAAAGACACGAGGCTCGTTATCCCTCTGCAATCTCGTGGTTTCATCCAAGGCACGGAAGTTTGGACCCATGCCCCTCAAAAACCACGGCAGACACTGCTCCATCGTGAGGATGAAGATCTTAAAGTCGTCCCAGTCCAATGTGCACTTTGATGTGAGAATCCGTGATCTGGAAGCAAGGCTCATCTCCTGAATGACCCAAACACGACTCCAGTACGGATGCCGGAGAATCTGAAGTAGACCAACCACAATGTCGTCGGTGAAGGAAGTGTCTTCTCTCAGCGCAGCCGCGGTAGCGGCATTGTGTATTCGATTCAAGTTTGTGTTCTCATCCATGGTAACGACAGTCATAGTCAACGCTGCAAGAAACCTCATTGTAAGTTCCTTCTGTCTCCACTTCACGGCGTAGCTCTTGCATGCTTGGAAACAGAGATTGACGTTGTCAGGAAGAAAGGACTCGGTGAGCCAGATCAAGACCTCTTCTGCTTGGGTGTAGATTTCACCCATGAGATCAAGCTGCTGTCCTTTTTCCGGTGCTGCTTCGTTCTGATCGATACAAATCGCGTCAATCCATAGTCGCTCATTGACAAACTCGACGCTAAGATGCTGCAATGCCCAATAGAGGTGTCTCGTCACTTGGAGTTGAACCCCGTTGCATTGGATCGTAAGAGGGTTGCTCGAGTCGCCCCAGACATAGGACAGAGCCTTGTACTGAGTGCTTGCCAATGGAGCAACCTCAAGAGACCAGCGGCCATCAGAAAAAGTCAAAAGGCGGATATAAGGGCCTGTCGTGTCGGAGGGTGGTGGCAGGGGGAGATCGAGGTGTAGGGGAGAGGAAGTCATTTGAAGACGAAATTGGAAATGAATCACCGTGTATAAAAAGCCTGATAGGTCAAAGGTTGAGGACAATGAAAGCAATGATATGATGTCGTAGAATCTCAAGGCAAGAGAATTTAAAAGGCTCAATTATGATGCTCTGAAAGAGGGGTTGTGCGGCTGAAGCTGGACGGTGCAGATTATCGTGGCTTAGCGCCCACGACGTTGATATGCCAGAAACCTGAAACAGAAGATGGCTCGGCCTCTCTAGGCCAGGAAAATACCTGGTACCTATCTCAACTTCCAGCGGGCCATACACTTCAGTAAAAATACTGCAAATGTAGAAATGGAGGCAATCTTGCTCCTTGGTCACCTTTCGCCCAAATCATTGTCTCTCCACTACAGGGGGGTGAGCCCCTGAGCCCCTTTGTCAAATGAGGTATGGGGTGCCAAAAAGGTGTCAATTCTGTTGTTGTACGAGGGTGAGTTGCCCAGGTGGCTGGAAAAGGCCGAACCCAGTGGGCCCGGTTGACTATTTTGACACCCTTTTGTGGGTCCCATGACACAACAACAACAACAGGTTAGGGTTACTACACTGCTACATCTCAACGTGTTTTCTCCCAATTCAACTGACTGTGAACAGTCTCCGCTTATTTCTTTGTGATACACGAACACATGAAGTAGATTCAGGACATGCTGTTGACGTGGAACTTTTGAAAGGTGTGAACACCCGAGCGCTGTTCCTGAGTTGCCGCAGTGGCTTTGTCAACAACTGCCACACGCACTTCTCCGCCAGGGCCATGACTATGGTTTGCTACTACTTTGAATGATAGAAAAAGGCATACCTCAGACGACCTGCGTTTGTGACGTAGATCTTCACTAGGTACTGTTTGGCCGGCTTCAATCCCCTCGCTGTTTGGTCCTGGCAGGTACAGAGCAGACTGGGGCCTGGGAATCAGGTGCCTGGGCACAGCAGGTTGGTTGCTCTGAATTATAGACCTAGAGATACATCATGAAATGAATCAGGCGGTGGATCTTCAACCTTGATGGAATGGATGTGCTCAGTTGTGAAACTGCATACACTCGCCTTTCACCGAATTCGCCGTCGATATGTGATTGATGTTCGTAACATGCGATCTTCTATGAAAGCCCGTAGTCGAGCATGGGGATATTTAACATGTCTGTTGTGGTCAAGTTGAAGTTTCTGCATTTGATATCATACCCCCATGGTTGTGAATCTCCAGTTGATATGCTCCAAAAAACTGACATTGGTGACCTTCTAGAAACTAATTTCAGTACGCACCTCAAGATGCAATGTCGCGCTCAAGACGTCAGAAGAAAGTACACGCAACTGACCGGGGGGCACGCGGAAGGTCCGTTCATTTGCCAGCAAGGGTGAGGCTGTTGAGAAACCACACCCCGCCCGCTGACCGTAAACGGGAGCAACATATCACAACAGTCACCCAATGTCGGAAGGTCGGCGAAATTTTGACACGGCCGTACTCCACCCTTCACTTCCCCGGAGCAAACCAAGGCCCGTTTCACGACCGAGATCTCCTCATTTTCCTTACACAACCCGCAAACTCAAACCACTGTCCGTCAGAGCGCAGTCATGAGGTGGCCATCTTGAGATAGTGACGCATCGTTCAGTGGACTAGCTTGGGCTTCCACGTGTATTTATATGTACAAGAATCGCTTCACTGGGCTATTTACTCAGTCCCTTTCCGTCACACTCAGAAATCAACAGATCGAGTCATCGCCAAAATTACAAAATCACTCTCGCCGCTGCCATCATGCACGTCTCCAACCTGTGCCTCGCGGCGACCGCGTTCCTGGCCATTGAAGTTCAAGCCGCGCCAGCCACACAAGCCACAACCAATGCCCTCCACGTTGGTACCCAGAACAGCCCCGTCGGCCACCACTGTGGAGTCTCGACCTACCTGAACTACCTCAGCACCTCTCTGGTCGATGACTGTCTGAAGATGCTCGACAACCTTTCGCCTGATTCTGGTGGTGGCGGTGAAGATGGTTTGAACAGAGGCGATATGGACTGGTGAGTCAAGTCAGACTCTAGCCTTGCTACTCTAACGTTTATGCTTTGCAGGACCATCGTCGGCGACTTTCACCGGGAGATTGGCAAATACTCAACCTGCGCGTTCGGCTGCCATGTCACCTACCCCCAAGGTGCCCTCGCTATGATCGGTATCGATGATGTTCACCGTGTGGTGCAGAGGTCGATCGAGATGTTCAAGCATGCGGGCGATGGGGGAGATAAAGTTGGAGCTCAGGGGGATTTTGAGTGCGACTTTGCTGGCTCAGCTGGGAAGACGGTCAGTTGGTATCTTTTCAACCCGATCATTAACTCGACGTGTTTTGGTGGTGGGCCATGGTCTGGATGATGGTGAGAGCGGAGTTGGGTGGGCAAGGTTAGTTTTTGGAAATAGTGTTAGGGTACTGCTGGCGGACTTATACACTGTTTTAGGGCTGGGAGAAGTGATATCCCTGTCTGACAGCTAAGACTCTAAATAATTGATCATCTGTTTGCCCTTGATGGGCTGATATCATGTCACTTCCACATAGGCTACTTTGAGGTATGTCTCGACACTCAACAAAGCTTCCTTCACTGACCTTCGGTCGGAGCTATATTGCAAAGGCCTCTTTCTCACTCTTCTATAGTTCCCTAACCACTTTCTGGTCACTACCTAATCTGAGAAGTCATCATAGCCCAAGTCCGCAAGCTCATTCAACTCAGCATTCATATCCTTTGTCTCAGGAACCGCCCACACCTGCTTCTCCCACTGCTCGGCAGCCAGCTTATCAGCCTTGGCCTCATCGTCATCCTCATCACCACGTCCCCTATCCTCCTCAGGATCACCTGGACGCCGAACGCCCTGGGCCCAAGCAAAAAGGTTTTGCGGATCCCACATTTTCTTGACTTCTCGAAGTGCAGCGAGACTCTCCCCATATTATGCCCGCTCGTGGAATTTTGTGGGGAAGTCTCGGTCAGGAAAGTTGATGAATGCCGCCGTCCCATTATACGACAGCGTCCGAAGCTCCTTCTTCACTCTGGCCAAGAAACGCCTCATATCCAACTCCATCCACTTGTCTACCCACTCGATCGTAACATAGGCGTGGCACACTGCTTTCCGCCAGAAGAAGGCGGAATCGGTCGGTTTCCTCTTTGTTGCTTTGCCTCCCGAGTGAATCCATATGACGAGGAAGTTGACCTGTTCTCCGTCAAACTCTTTGCGGAAACTCGCCATCAACATCAACCGTATAATGGTGTCAGAAACCTTCTCTATGGTGCCCTTGTCATCATTTCCGAAAACAAAGGAGCTGTACAGCTCGTACGTCTTGTTCTGTGGATACGCTCGCTCCATTTCCTCCAACCACTGACTTGCGAGGGTTTCGTACAGATACCGTGTCGACTTCTAGGCGAGCGCCCTTCGTTTTAGCTGCTCCTTCAAGCTCTTAACTTCCTCCTCTACAGTATCATTTTCTGTGGGTCTAACTTGAAGCAGCTTCTCGATGGTCCTGTCGTATTCACTCTTGCTGCCGTTGAAAGAGATATTGAATCTGACCCCGCCCTTGTTTGACTGTCTGAGGTCGCATATCCAAGTCGAGTCAATCGTCATCTTATCCGGCCAGTTTGTCAGGTAGAATGCGTTCATTACCTTCACGACGTCATAAGTAATCCCGCCTGTGGGAAACCACTGGTATCTCCCAGCCACTACAAATCCGTTCAAGCTGCTCAGCTTCCGAACCCTGAGCTTCATCCGCACCACAACACCAAAGCAGGCAGCGCCAGCGCCTTGGAGAGCCCAAAACAGCCTCTCCTCCGGGGACCCCTTCTTGGACGTCTCTCTGACCGTGATCAACCTCCCATCAGCTGTTACAACCTTCGCCTCCACAAGCGTGTCACACCCCATCCCGAAGCTTCGGGTAAACGGACCAAGCCCACCACCGAGGATGAAACCACTCACACCCACAGTCGGGCATCTCCCCCCGTTGATGATAAACCCGTCGTGTTTCCCAATGACTAACGTCTCATACACCATGCCCCACCGGCATCCAGCGTCCATGGTGACGATCTTGGAGTCCATATCTAACGATGCATTTTTCATGTCCCGCAAGTCGAGAGAAATGCCCTCGACAGCTGTCGAGTGACCGGCGTAAGAATGGCCATTGCACTTGACTGTCACCTTGAGCTTCTTCTCGCGCGCTTGGCTGATGACCGCCTGGACTTCGGTGGCTGACTTGGGTCGGACGACGCAGGCAGGCCTCGAAAAACGGCGCAAAAGGTTCGAGCTGGCAATCGCGTGTCTGTACTCGGGACTTGCGGGCCTAAACACAGTTATCTGTTGTTTCTCGAGGGCTTGAATAGCTTCTTCCATCCTGCTCATTTTGTCCACTCGCTCAGGGCCCTGGAAGGTTGCAAATATGTGCGAGCAGTCAAGGACTTCTGTGGTATTGCTAATGGAATGTATGAAAGCAGAATCGGAGATATGGGGGACCGATCACGAATTTCACACCTGTTACTGTCATTAGTACGATCAGTAAGACAAGAACCAGGGTAACATTTCCACTTACTGTCGCGAGGATACCTGGCCTCCACCAACCTATTTCCACATTCCACTATTGCGTTTGCCAACTCGTCCTTGTCTTCGCCCGAAGGATCACCTTCGGTGATTATAGAAACAAGGAGCGGTCTCTTCAGAGTTTTGGTTGCGAGTTTATCGTAGACCAGTGGCTGAAGGATTTTCGATCTTAGATTGATCCCGATGGCAGTATCGCCGTTTGGGCTCATGGAGTTCAGAATGCCACCGAGAGACCTGAGATCCAAGTTGGAAGAATTGTTCGCACCGACGTCCTGGTCGATGAAGCGCAATGCAACACCCTCGCCCTCAGGAAGAAGCTTGGTGGTAATTTGGGCAATGCGAAGAGCGAGTTTCTTCTGGCTCTCCCACCGGCCCTCTCTCTTGGTTGACGAACTGTCGTCTATGAATGGTCAGTAAAGAGGCAAAGATGGAGACACCGCTGTTAGACTCACCGCAGTAGATTGCCTGTTGGTACAAGGTCAGTTGGATGGTCTTGGGCAAGACTCCCGGCTGCCCCAGGGCCGAAGTCTTGTCATTAGCCAGGGAGACTGTCTCCCGAGCAAGCTCTTGAATAAAGCCCTGATTGTCTTTGCCAAAGAACGCACCGAGTACGGGGTTTTCTTTGACGTATTCATCGACGTTCTCGATAAACTGTCCCTCAGTCGGATCCTGGGATATTTTGTTGACTTGCTGTAAGTTGCCGTCAGTCAGTGTGTGGCCAAATCTCAGGAGACCTGTTGCTTTTCCCAGACCTGTTTGATGGTTGGATTAGCCGTGCTGACCATTCCAGTTGCTCGATCGATAGCACCATTTTCTCGCTCGTGGCGTTCGATGTGGGCAAGTACTTTGCGACCTCCTTTGCATTAAACTCGTCATTGCTTTTTATCGCCGAGTCCGCCCCCGCTCTTCTGAGCATTCTAACAACCTTGAGATCGGCATTGGATTTGGTCGTGGAAGCTCTTTCAATGGCGTACATCAGTGGTGTCTTATTCTCAGCGGCATCGCATGTGTTGTCGACAGAATCAGGCGGTAGTTTGGAGAGTAGCAGCTATCAAAGGTGCCTCCCTTGTCATCTTCCATGTTGCAAGCAGGAGGGGTGTTTCGGCGTTACTGGAACGCTCATTTGGGTTGGCACCTTCATTCAGGAGTGTTCGGACATCATCGGAGTTTCCAGTAATGACGGCGGTAGCAAGAGGTGTCAACCCTGTCTTGGGGTTCAGGACAGGGGGGTCCATTGGAGGGAAGGGCCATCTGAAAACAGCGAACCTGTGGCCGCAACGTGAGATGACTGGTAGTAAGGAAATGGGCCTCTCGAACGGCCCGGCTCACAAATGACCTTTGAGGAGCCTCCAGAAGCCACGAGCTAGACCGAGGCAAGAAACATGGCGATGCGCGTGGAAGAGACCGGGGCAGTAACTTTGCAGAATGGGCCAGGGATGCCGCCCTTGCAAAGGATTTGCTGGCCATTGGAGAGAGTGGTGATTCTGATAACGGTGAAAGACGGATGACGAGCTGTAGATATCTAGAGCAGGGGACTGTTCGCACGGACAAGATATATAGCCGAGTGGCCAATGTGCTTGGTATTCAACTGCACAATACATGATTTTCATTGATTAGGTACCTATTGATCCTGGAATTTTGTGGTTTCGTTGGGCTGACAGAAATGACCCCCGGAGTCTTTTTAAGCCACTTGTGCCAAGAAGCCGGTGTTCTAGAATGGCACGATGAATCGATAAGCCAACATGATTGGTATTGTTGTGGGGTATGTAGACACACCAGGGGGTGTAGTATAAGGCCACTGAAGTTGATCGTCACATGTACCTTAGCTGTTAGAATACACGTGAGCTGCGTGGAGGGTGCGCGACAGCGGCGTAGAGGAGCGGATGCGTGCGGGCCGTGAACAGCCTGTGGACAGATGAGCCCATAAGAGTCAACGCGAGTACTGGGTTGGAAACACAGCGCTGGGTTCCAACAAGTCGTTCTATATGATGAAGAACAAGGTGGAATGGTCGGCCGGTTACTCTTTTCCTTGCCAAGGGGAGCCTAAAGAGAGGCCACTGGGAAGGTTCTTAACGAGGGCAGGAACGACGGAACTACGAATAAAATTGTACAGTTTTGTTTTGCTTGTCTATACAATGTCAACACGTTTTTGATGCCGTTATTTTGTCTATAAATGCGATGCTCTGTGATGGCTTCTTATTCCCTCTCCTGTGATAATCCCGTCTCCGACACGGAAACTCCACATACTTAGGCGGTGTTTCTTCCTCTGTCTCAGGAGTATATTCTCCCAACTCCTCCCCAGCTTCTTCGTCCTCCTCAACACCCCTCTTCATATACTCCACCAACTGCGACAGTGCCTGCCTCGACAACTTGTGCTCCACCCCCAATCTCCCTTTTGCTCCCACCCAACACTCCCGCATCATACTCCTGGCCTCATCACACCACCCCAAATTCCACCGAGCCAACGCCACCAAAAACAAACTTCGAAGAGTATCCACGTGATTCTTTCCATAGAAGATTCTGTCAACCTCCCACTTTCTTCTCTGTTCGAGCACCGTGAGGCCCCGCTTCTCTTCCTCCTCCCAGTTTCCATCTTGAAAATAGCAAACTGCTATCGAGTATCTGATCTTGACTTCATACTCGAAAGGCTTGTCATGCTGCGGGGGATAAGAGGGATCAGCATATCTGCACACCTCCAATATCCGTTCCAATATTTCCATAGCTTCCCCAAAGCGGCCTTGTCTCCTTTGCAGAATGGCAGAGAGCTCCAAGGCAAAACACAACCCATGTGGTTTCCAATCGTTTTTGGCCTTGAACACGACTTCCCGAACCTTGATCATCTGTTCTTTCAAATCATCAGCGTCTTTTGGCCGGCCAAATCGCCCAACCGAAAGATAGGTCTCCGCTAGCGAGAACGCACATTCGAGCGTGAGATTTGACGTCTCCTTGAAGTTATGAACCAAAGAGTCGTAGCATTCTCTGAGTACCTGCACCGCCTCCGCACTACGACCAGCTTTGTGTAGTATTTCACCAACAAGGCGCTTTGTCCCGGGCGTGTCGCGATGGCTCTCACCCAGGATATTAACTTGCAGACGGTGGCAATCTTCTGCCATTTCAAAGGGCCTTGATGCCGCAACGCCGAACGCTTGATAACTCTCAGCGATCGTCAATTCCGTCAAACTGCGGAGTGTATCAGGGTGATCTTCTCCGTGTCGGTGTTTGTAACGATCGAAGACATCTTGAGCTAGCCGCTTCCATTCCGGAAGGACGGAAGACACAGGTTCCCGCGGCATGTCAATGACAGCGGTGTTACCTGGCTGGATGCAGTAAACGTTCTTGCTGAATTGCCAAAGAACCTTGATCGAGGGTGCATCACGGCGTGCTTTGAAGGAGTCGTTCTTAGAGAGGATGTCTGATGTGTCAATGGCTCGAAAGGCGTCCCGGACATTTGTCCACCCATTGATCTCTCCCGACTGCATCCAAAGTCTGTAGAAGACAACCATTCGTTGCAGAATTCTGAGCTCCTGGTCACTGTCATGCCCGTGAAGTCGACCCAACTCTTTGAGAGCCATGGCAAATTCTCTTGCTGCGATGACCCAGTTTTCATAATGACGATAGGTGATGTTGAGCATGATCCGGTCTCCCCACATTATGTCGTCCCAGAGAGCACCAGGAAACGCATTTGATTGATTGCAGACGAGATCTCTGATCTTGTCAAGCTCGGCGCGGGCACCAATATCTTTCTGTCTTTCAATCTGAGTAAGTTCTGCTTGGTGTCGAGCTTTGAGGGTGCGAGGATGCCTCTCGCCCAAAACCTCTTGATAAATTTCGGCTGACGTTCGGAACATATCCTCGACTTGGTCCCATGACTGACAACACTTCTTGAGCCCATAGGAAAGGCAGTAAAGACCATACTTGTACCGAAAACTGGCACAAGCCAGCTTCGCATCACAGCTCTTGGGAAAAAGTTCCACAACGTTCTTTTCCAGACTTCTGAAGTGGTGATAGAGGTTCCCACAGTCAGTCTGGTCCAACATGCTAATTACTTCTGCAACGTCCGGAAGTATTGCCGAGACACACATTACTGCATGTTCCAAGTGCGGGAGGGCTTCCAAATTGCGTGGGTCCTGCAGCCTTTCTTGGACCGACAGCTGCACCTGCAAGTACATCCTGAACGATCCATCATGGTCGTTATGCAGGCAGCAGAAGTCGTTCAGAGCTGCCAGAGCCTCCTCTAGCTGGGGTTTGTATAGCGCGTCCCACCTCTGGCCTCTGTTGGCGAAGCGGTATTCAAAGGAGAGAAAGCCTTGGGTCGTATCTCTAACACGCTCAGTGGGCCCCCAGAGTCTTTTCGGAAAGGAAAATAAATCCTAGATGTTTTCCAGTGTCGATTTCTACTGGTTTTAAGCGTCGGAAGAGTCCCGGTAGAAAAGGTAAGCTAGCAGTGGTGTTTCTGGGATCGAATTCGTGCCAAAGAAGCTCATCAGAAAGAAAAGATCGAGTGCAAAAGGGGATCGCCTCTGGGCCCGACCAACACATGTCTGCTATCTCAAATCCGAAGCAGACCTGCAAAAGAGATAAAATCTCATCTCCTGATTCGACCATCCTGCTCCAGTGCTCACAATGACTTTAAGCCGCTTCCATATAACTCCAAAGGTGGTTTTGTCAATGTTTGCAGTTACGGCTGCTTGAGTAATCGACAATCGCATACCACCCAGCCAGTCAGAGATTAACTCCAAACAAGACTCGCTGTATTGATCAACTCTTCCGTCAAAATGTTTTTTAAGCAGCTCCACTGACTCCGTTGTGGATAAAGAACCGACATTAAGTAAAATACCAGATTCGTTTCCTTTTAGGAGCTTGGAAGCCATGCTCTTGCCCTCAGTGGTGAAGACGATCGTCCCATGAGAACACCGGGGTAGCCTGCTCTCAAACTCCGCGATATCATTTATCCATGGCATATCGTTACTTTGATTGGCATTATCGATTATCATGATCCAGGGGCCGTTCCGGGCGTCGTTGAGCCATCGGAAAATCCAACCTGTGCATTGGTTGGTCTAATAGCCGGGAATATCGCATGCTCGGGCCATGGCGTTAAACGGACTAATGAACCTGGAAAGCCCGTCCGAAATGTTTACCCAGTAAACCGAGACTTCCGGGTGTATCTCACGCACAACATGAGCGTATTCTATCGCAATCGCTGTCTTTCTGACACAGAGATTATTTCTCTGTCAGCACCAACGAGCACCAACTCAGGAGATGCACGACGACTGTAAGGCAAAGAATTGAACAATCTCCTGATTGAGGGAGTATTCTTCGGCCTCGATTGTGGTCATTGTGAAAGGTGAAGGTGGACTTGGAGAATGTGTGAGATGATATGCGGAATGGAATGGAGGAAGAAGGAGATGGAGATGGGAGAGGAGAATTCACGGGTAACAGGCAAGAAACAAGCTGCCTTACTGGCGCCTTGTTGTATTGCGAATGTGAGGCTTGGGTGTTCTGCTGGCACGCCTGAATTTGCTGAACCATCCCGCTGGGACAGCCAGCCCAATGGGAAGCGAGCCGCCGTAAGTTAATGCGGCAAGCCGCTTGACCCATGTACCTATGCTCTTTCCCCAATACATGCTTGGCCCCCCAAAGTTGGCTAGAGATTTCCATCAAAGTGGTCTTCGGATTCCGTCGAAGCCATGCAGAAGGTTGAGATGTAGGATTAATGAGAGTTTGGCCAACCCGGCGACCGGAATGGAGATGAGAAAGCTGTATTGAGCATGGATGCTGTGAGACAGGTGGGCGGTGGGCTTTTGTTGGATGAGATGGAAGAATAGGAGCGGGGTTGGCAAGGAACGAGAGAGAGGTATCTCCAGGAGCTACCTACACGCCAATTCAAGGATCTATTCTCATTACCCGTTACCACTACATAGATATCTTCTTGAGATCAGATGGCAAACCTTCACCTTGTTTCACGATGCTAGTGGGTGTGGACTTACACCTGATAGGCTCGCATTCCTCGCATCAAAGTGTGCATTGCATTCCCCCGATGAGTCAACGGCGAGTAACCATTGAAGCCAAATCCTGCAAAGCAATTGGACCAAAGCCCGAATGGCTCTTTCGGTTGTTCAAAGCACTCTCACCAGTAACCCTACCATCCTGTTCATAAATAGGGGTGGCTACTCGGCCTTCTATCTGCCAAGAGATCAACAACACAATTCACACTTGCTTTTTTTCACGATCATCACCCATAGCCACTGCAATCTTGTGTTCTAAACTGAGACCATGGCCAACCAAACTATCGAACCCACCTTCCAAACCGCCATCTCCGCCTCCAAAATTAACGGCGTCATCATCTGCGCAACCAACACCACCGGCAGCTTCACCTACAACCACATCGCCGGCTCACGCACCCTTCTTTCCGGTGAATCCCTCCCCCACCAACTCAACGACATCTTTTACCTCGCCTCCGCAACAAAGCTCATCACCACCATCGCCGCCCTCCAAGCCATAGACGACGGGCACCTCTCCCTCGACTCCCCAGACACAATCTCCCAATTCGCCCCGGAACTGGTCAACAGACCCATCCTCTCCCCAGACGGCGCGACCCTCACCCCTCCCACCAACCGCATCACCCTCCGCCAGTTACTTTCCCACACCTCCGGCCTGGCATATCACTTCCTCCACCCTTACCTCTCCGCCTGGCGCGAGAAGAACCAAGAGCCCCTGCAACCAGGCCACCGTCGCCCAGTAGAAGAAGCATTCGCTTACCCGCTGATCTTTGAGCCCGGAACATCCTGGTCTTATGGACCTAACCTCGATTGGGCAGGGCGTATCCTCGAGCGAGCGACGAATACCACCGTCGGGCAACACGTCCAGGAGCGCATCTGCAAACCACTTGGCATCCCAGCACAAGATGCCCAGTTTTACCCCGTCGAGGGTGATGAACCCAGATCTCGAATGGTCGACCTTAACCCCTCTGACCCGGAAGGGCTGGGGTTGGCTGTTGTGGGGGGGACAATGGATATGAACAGGCGGAGTGAGGGGGATTTTGGTGGGCATGGGATGTTTATGAGTGCTGAGGGGTATATCAAAGTTCTTCGGTCTCTGTTGGCAAATGATGGAAATTTGTTGAGGAAAGAGACGGGGGAGGAGATGTTTAGGGATCAGATTGGGGCGGAGGGGGAGGAGAATGCGAGGGGGGTGTTTGATGGTCCTACTGGCATCTTCTACAGGGTTGGGACGGAGGGGGTCAAGGTTGGACATGGGTTGGGTGGGTTGTTGACTTTGGAGGGGGTGGATGGGTGGTATGGGGAGAGGACGTTGACTTGGGGTGGGGGGTTGTCGTTTGCGTGGTTTGTTGATCGGAGCAATGGGCTTTGCGGGTTGTGTGCGATACAGCCGGCGATGCCGGTTGATGTGCGGAGTCTGTCGGATTTGAAGAATACGTTCAGGCATGATGTTTATAGGAAGTTTGAGGAGTGGAAGAAGGAGGAGAAGCGGAAGTTGTAGGTAATGGACAGGTACCTAACTAACCTATGTGCATGCCGCTAGAAACTTTCCCACACTCACCCGCCATCTAGACCCTCCGCGTCTTCTTCCCCTTCTTCCCCTTGCCCGCAATCGTACTCGGACTAGTCATCCTCCAAAGATCAATCTCGATTCCTTCCACTTGCCCATCCTCGTCCACCACCGGCGTAGTAATCCCCACCGCCACAATTCCGCTCAGCCACCCATACGGCGTGTCTGATCCAGCCTCAAACCTGACCCTAGTATGCAACACACCCTCAGGTTGCTGCGGGCCGTTGGCCGAGACGTAGATGTCTACGCCATCGGTAGTTTTCAATTGATACCGAGCGTCGACATAAAAGTTGCCCACGGTTGGATTGCCCAGACCCCAGTCACCCTATAGAAGAAACCTTGTCAGGGTGCATGAAACGGCAAGACAAGAAAGGTTAGGTGCTTACTCCATAGGCAGGAACGGTGGCATTGAAGAGAGGACCAATGAATGTCCCGCCGGCAAGGGGGAAGACGGTACGGCTGCCAAAGGTGCTGGAGCCGATGCTGAAAGGGGCGGAGGCGGCGATGCTTGCGTGGCCGAGGTAGGAGAGGCCTGGTGAGGCCGGAGTGGAGGCTGTGGCAAGCGGGAGGAGAGGGAGGAGCGTTGAGAGCTTCATTTTTGCGTGGGTTATTGGTGTTGGAAGTGATGAGAATGCGTGTTTGATGGTTATCTACCTGTTTACGATGTTGGTAAAGAAGTTGGGAGGGACAAGTGAGGCTGTAGTTATACTTCTCGGTCGCCAGTCCTCGAGCCAGTTGCCAGGATGGCATCACACCTCAGCAACAAGGCGAGCTAGGTACATAGGTATAGTCTAGTAAGCTACACGCTATCTCACCAGGGTCATCGGACCGACGACATCACGTTCAAGATGAGTATCATTGGAAGGTGCTGTTTGTATTCATCATGCCAAGTGATTTATAACGGGTTTCATAAGCATGTCTACTGCTTTAGGAATATGTTAATTCCTTCGCTAAAAAAACATATGCAGACACTTATTCAGCTCTCGCACCATCAACTGGTGACAGACAGGGTCTAAGTCCGAGCAGATTATCGATTCTGATCTTTCCCCATGAGGCCCGATCTCTGGAGATTAACAGAGTAGAATACCAGGTATGAACGGTGGTATAAAGGCCCAGTTTTTGTTACTTGTTGGGTGTTGGTTGCGTTATGATAGCTGCTCCGATCTCTCTGCTTTTCTCCACCTATTGCCACCTCTCCTGGACAAAGCGCTCATTTTAGCTGTGTTTACAGCAAGTTGTGTTTGGGTTCTATCAAAGGATGATCGGATTTGTTACGTTTACTGGACATCTAGTGTTCAGTATCAAGTGTTATGTACCTGTGCAGATGATTGGGGGGGAGAATTGAGGTCGAACCAACCGAGGCTGCTGCGCCACATTGAGGATTCGAGTTTGACGGGGAAGGCGCAGTAGGAGGTCAACATGGGCGCAGGTGGGTGTTCTGCCTGAATATGCAACGAACCACATGTGCCTCAGTCGTGCAGCTAACTTCCCCGCCAGTCTCCACGGATGACCTCTACCTGTCAAAGCATCACCGCATGTGCGATACTCACGCTGGGTTGTCAAACATCCCCGATGAGACAACATGGATCCCCTCACCTCCATCAGCCTGGTTGCCAATGTTGCCGCCTTTGTTGATTTCGGCTTCAAGATTGTGTCCGCTGCCCGCGAGGTTCAAAGTTCCACAAGTGGGACGACTGCTACCAATGTCAACGCTGAGGTTCTTACTATCAACTTTAGGACAGTCGTCGCAAACATTAAAGGTTCTCGGCTTGCAGGTAACTCTCAGTTGGACGAGGCGAGGTTAGCTGCGCTTGTTGACGAATGTGAGCGTCTATCGGATGAGCTTCTTGGCCTACTGGACTCTCTCAGGGCCAGAAAGCCAGGCTCAAAGAGACATGTGTTCGTCATCGCCTTGAGGAACATGATGAAAAGGGGTGAAAAGGAGGCGTTGGAAGCGCGGTTGGATAGATGTAGAAATCAGCTGCAGCTGGAAATTGCCCAGCGAACGAGGTAAACTCTCGTCCAAGCCCCGTATCCTACCACGAAACATGAGTAGCTAGCTGACTGATGGTGTGCAGTGAAAAGTCCCTGGAACGTCTGGAGGTCATTGCGGCAAGTGGTGAATGCCAAACAAACGAGCTCGCTGTCATCAAACGTAGCTTGCACGATTTGCATCAGCTGCATTCTACCACCCAAACCAAACTTGATTCGACCTCATTTCAGGGGTTGAACAGCTTACTGAAGCTCTGCGGGCAAGCCTTTGAAAATGTTGCTCTTTCCAAGCTCCTATCCTCCATTGGGTTCGAGAAAATGTCTGATCGACTTGAAAATATCGCCGAGGCCCATGCAACGACTTTCAACTGGCTAGTAGATGCTTCCGAGGCTGTGGACCCCAAAGCATCATTGGGAGATTTGGAATCTTTAGAGGCCCAAGAGTGGCTACGCTACACCGAGGTTCAAGATTCATATCGCAAGGTGTCTCGGGAGGCTCTGACATCGTGGCTTTTGGAAGGTAATGGGATTTTCCACATCTTCGGAAAGCCAGGGTCAGGAAAGTCCACGTTGTTGAAGCATCTGCTGAAGCACCCTGCTGTTCAGAATATGCTTGAAGGGTGGGCCGGAGGCAAAGCACTGATCAAGTGCTCATTTTTCTTCTGGAAAGGTGGCTCGGTTGGCCAAAAAACGTTTTCCGGCCTTTACCGATCCCTTCTCTGTTCGGTCTTCAAACAGTGCCCGGAGCTGGTCCCATCAATTTTCCCATCACTTTGGCAACTGTGTTTGCAGGGTGGAAATGCTCAATTGACCGACGCTGAAGCGCGCCGTGCTTTCCTCGAGATAATGGAGCGAGACGAAGTCTTTACACACCGAAAATTTGCATTCTTCATCGACGGCCTGGATGAGTTCGAAGGCGATGACACTGGCTTGGTTCGTACCTTTCTCGGTTGGACACGGCTCAGACCCGACAACATCAAAATCTGCGTTTCAAGTCGCGAGCTTCCGCTATTCCAAGAGCGTTTCTCATCGTATCCCAAGCTTCGACTACACGAGGTTACAAGTTTGGACATTATGGGTTATGTGAAGAGTACGCTCGAAGAGAATGAAGACTTGTCCTCGGCAGTCGACCACAGCCTCACCCTCCATCTTGGTCAGAAGATCATTGAGAAGGCAGAAGGAGTGCTGCTGTGGGTATCATTGGTCCTGCGGATTGTTGAGCGTGGTCTTCTTCAGGAGGACAACCCCGAAGACTTGGAGGCCAAGATCGATGGACTGCCTACAGAACTCGAGAATTTGTTTCAAGTCATATTCAAAGCAATTGAGACAGAGGCTCACCCTATTGACAGGCGTAGGGCTATGCTCACTCTAGCTGTTTGCTTGGAGCGGACATCTTGGGAACTATCCAACGTTTTTCTTCATCAGCTATCCTTTCTGGATGAGTACGAATCAGATTGCAATTTTCTCTTCAAGAGTTTACGCCAAACAGAGACTATTGAAGATGAAGAAAGGCTACGGAGATGTCGGAAGCAAGTCAACGGACGATGCAGAGGACTTGTGAGCGTAACTGCATCAAGCACTGACGAACCGGACGTGCCAATACCGACAAGAAGAGTTGAACAAGTTGCAATTACACACCGCTCCCTCATCGAATTCTTTTCGAAAACACAGGTCCGTGAAGTTATCGAGGCTCAGACCCAAGGATTCAATATGACACAGTTTACTAGCCGATCTTTCGTGGCTCAGCAGATGACAGAACCGGATCCAAGTTCGATAGAAGAATCTCACCTCCACTTCGACATTCTTGGACTCTTCAAGGTTGTATGGTACCATGATTTCATGAACACATCCATTGTGACAGATGTGCTTCTAGACTTGCAAAAAATTCCCTTTCTTTCATCCCCACTCAAGGTCTCGGGGAGTGAAAGTTATCGGCCAATGGACTATGGGTGGTCGTATCTTTGGAGAAAGAGAGCGGCATGCCGTCGTATTGGTTCACATAAGGAGGATCGAACTGTTGCTGAGATCATCATTTTCCTGGCGTTAAAATATGGGCTACCAGAGCTCTTAACCCCACCCGAGGTGCTCAAGGGAGGGGCACTTGTTCAAGCTGCTCAGAAGATTGGGCCGCAGCACCTACTAATGCGTATGTTTGACACTTTACTGGCATCGACTCAACCCTCTTGGAATCAGCTTGAACTCCGACAGTATGACCGCCTTCTGAAGACAATGGCCATGTGCCTACGAGATGGGGCATCACCAAATCTCCCAGTCACTTGGCAACAAAACTACCCTTTACTAGATCGGTTTTCAGGAAGGATCTCAAGTCTGTGGGAGGTATTGATCTGGACAACCTTGTGTGGGTACGATCAGGTGAACGGAATGCAAATCAACGGACAAAAGCGCATTTTGACCTTTTTGCCCATCTGGGTTCTCTTCCTGGCTTATGGTGCAGACACCGAGTTCAAGCTCAAGGTCGATACTGACCACGCAGTATCACTTTACCAAGACGCTATTCGCATTGTCGCGCTTTTCGGAAAAGAACAAGAGGACCCCTTCACGCCGCTCTTTATCCCGCGGCTACAGAACTTGGTGGTGGACATGGCTTCGAAACAAAACGGGCTCCTCAGTCTCTCCGATATCACCAGCTTACTCTTCCCGGATAACTTTCACAAGTTTGTACCTCTGCTCGAGCAACAAGGGAGCAGCGAACAAGACGGGGAGGAGAAACGGTGCGCAGTGCTTAAATCTTTTGGACTGGATTTAGAGCACTGGGATCCTCCGCCACCATCGCCAGTAGTCGCAGTGTTTCCAGAAGTCTTTGGCTTGTCGATTAACAAGTTTGTACTAGAAATGTTGGGCCCTTATGCGGTGGACGAGCCGCAGCGGGGGATTGTGGTCTACACCAAACAGGGTATTGAACTTTTGGACCGAAACAATCCAGCACATGACCTAGTCGACATTCTCGAATAGGAGATCTTACCGCACGAACAAGAGAAGGTTGTATCATATCATCCACCGACCATGCACCCTAATATCCTCCGCCGCCGTCGCCATGTCCCTCTTCATCCACGATTCTACCAGCACCCTCACCCCTTCAGGCGTTAGCCAATTCAGCCCCCATATCAACCGGACAACAACCCAATACGCCCCCCAAACTGCCCACCCATTCGGATCAGGCAGCCCAAAAGCAACCCTAAACCTCTCTGGCAACCAACCAGCCATCAACACCCTCATAACCGGCAAAGCCCACATCAAAAACCAAGGCAACTCCATCCCTCTCAGCAAAACATCCGCCACCTGCTTACTCGCCTCTATAATCTCCAATGATTGCAACTCCTCATTAAAATACCTCTCAAACTCCCCCAACGACCCAGGCCACATCTCCAGCGGCATATCCAACGCGGTAGCAAACCTCCCAAACTCCTGACATAGCACCTCTTTCTCCTCCCGTGACATGGGTTTCCTCTCAATCGAAAACAGCTCGTGAGTTTTTTGGCCAGCAACGAAGAGGGTGGCTGCTGTCCATTTCTGGAGGACAGGGTCATTGGCGGTGTAATTTGGGCCGTGGATGTGGGAGTCTTTTGACCTGTTAGCAGGGATGGGACAGGTAAGGTGGGGGGGGGACAAACGTTGTTTTTTGATAGCATTGCAGATGAGATTGCGTTGTTCCTCGGTTCCGTGGACCACGGCAATGATGAAGGCTGCGGTTCGGCGGAAGCGGGAGATGGGGTGGGTGCGGAAGCGGGAGTGGGTGCAGGAGCCGAGGGCGATGCTGGGGGAGGCGATTTGGAGGAGGATGGCGTAGGGTCCGCCGAGCCAGGTTATGAGGTTGCCGCAGGAGGTCTTGAGGTGGTCTTCTGCGGTTGGGGTTGGGAGGAGAGGGACTTTTTCGTTAACAGGTGGTGGTGGTGGTGGGTTTTGGGGTATGGTGTTGGACATGGAGAACCGTGGGATATAGGATTGAGTATTCGAGCAAGATGGTCGTTTCTTCCTTGGGAATGTGCTGTCGTTGAGTGGGTTCTCTGAAGGTTGGCTGTAGTTTTTGCTTCGCTGGTAAGCTTGCGAGCCGAGGTAGTGGATTTTCTTTGTTTGGCCTTTTTGTATCAGCGTCATCATGGTATTTTACATCATTTTGAGCATACGGAAAGGGTCCCTTTGGCTTTGGAAAGCACATGTCTGTGTCTGGTGACTACTTACCTACTTATCACGGAAATCTATCTTCAGCTCTCAGGAGGTCCGGACAGCCCCGAGAAGTAGGCGAGTTGCATGCATGTCTCACCGTACCACCCACCATCACTCGACATCCCAGGAAGCATCGTGATTCGATAACATCACCCGAAAGATACCTAAATCAGCACAACATCAACGGGCTGAGTCGCGTTTGGACTTTTAGAGCTGATATCCATCCTCTGATAGGCAATACTGTCATATGTGGAAAAATAAGAGGTGGGTTACATCGGTCAGTCCCATGTCAGCATGTGCCACATCGGGAGGCCGCAGGTAGGTAGGCACTCATTCTGAAAAAAATGCATGACACGGTTGTTCTAAATACAGGGGCACATACGTCGAACATGCACCATCCATCTACATGGAATGCCATCTGCCACCATGGCTGGAAAGGGGCGCACACCTTGAAACTTTGACCAACGAGGATGGCCTTTGGGGAATTGCAGTTCCATATGATACCCCGGGAAACTTAGCTACTGTTTTGTGTGGTTGTGTAGGGTGTGAAGCGCGCTGCTAGAAGATACGAGGGCTTTTTAAGACGATGACTGACTTGCCAATACCAGTCTAAAGGGCTGACATGATCGCGAGTGTGACAACATCAAGTCAAACCAGGCCAACTCCGTTATCCTCTTGGAGCGGCCAGAGCAAGATCTTTTCATGTATATGATATATCCCTAACCCTGTCTCACGTACATATCGTAGACACTGCCGAAAGGGAATATACCAGCTGTAAGCATTGTGATAAGCGAAGTGGTCTTCATAATGGGTCAGGTGCGCTCCACGCAACCTCTAAGATTGATCTTTAAAGCCAAGCCAATGATTTCAGTTGGATTTGTATCAAAACCACACGGGACGGGGAGCAGGTGGTGATTCGGATAATCATTCGGCCGAACACCGATCATGCACACCTGCAATCACAATAATAATGGAGGGAAGTAATGTGTGAGAAGACATTGTGCTAGATCCGATGGCAACGATCGGCTGACCTCAAGCTGGCGGCGCGGTGAAAGCTCAACTTTCAGAAGAATCTCGGGCTGCGATGGCAGCACACGCTACGTTGCGGTGCTTGTACAAGATGAAAATACAACGGTAGTCGAGCTAGCAAAGAAGTCATCGCCAGGGCGCAGGATGCGACCAAAGAGTCAACTCGGCACTGGAAGCAGCCCTGGGACAAGAATCTGCTGGAAAATCATCGCACAGCTAAACTCCATCGTTCTCTCCCGGAACCAGGCATTTGTCTGTTTCGATGTGTTCGACGAGGGCTGCAGCGCTCAAACTTAGCAGAGATTGATTCAAGCTGCGAGCAGCCTATACATTTTATCCAGAAGAGGGGAGACCGCCTTTTTCGTACGACGAGAACCCCGGCATGGATAATTACGTCGCAAAGCGATCCTCACAGATCAGAGCTTGGACTCATGGCCCCGGCCGTACTTCATGGACGGAAATAACCCGCCGGTATACGACAATGGACGTCGACTTGAAGCATCAGAAATCGAGGGATTACTCAAAGATGAGGATTGTGCCACAGAGAAGGACTATGATGATGGGGAAACCTTGCCATCCGTGGAGGGCAGATCCCAGAAGAATCCTGATAGGCTGATGGAAGGTTGGCGAGACCAACGAGGAGGGGAAGCAAGGATGACATGTTGGCCATTTCGCAGCTTGGGTCAAAAAGGACAGCAAAAGAGTAGGTAGACACGAATTCGTAAGGATCAACATTTTTGGCACGTACCTCAGTATGTTAACGGCCTACGGCTGGGTATAGGTGTAGGTTATAGGTAAAAGATTGAATTGTCCGATAAAGAAGACAAGAGAGGCAAGGGGAAATACACTGCCTACAACGTCCTCTTAAGTCTTTTAAATCCTCCCGACTTCCCCTACTAAACATAGAAAACATCTACCAAAATTATCCAAACTTCCTCGTATCCCTTCCTTGTATCCCTTCGTCGTATCCCTTCCTCATATCCCTTCCTCATATCCCTTCCTCATATCCCTTCCTCATATCCCTTCCTCATATCCCTTCCTCATATCCCATTTGACTTGCCGCCTCTCACGTTACTGTAAGGATAAAACCTAAACCGAACATCATCCCATAATACAGCAGACAGTGAGACAGTATCTGAACGTTTAGCTGGACTTTTGCATAGTATTTGTTTGGCATCTCATCGAGTGTTCTCCACAGCAGTATAATGTTTTTGTCAGGATATCACCAGACCAAGATAGGTAGGTAGATAGGTAGATATATAAGTCAAGTCTGCTCATTTGGCATCCGCCGATCCGGACAGTCCAATCGTAAGGTAGCTCATTGAACGCACATTAATCGACACACTGTTATAATGAAGGGGGGGGTCCTTCGGTTGTAATCAGAGGAGAGCCTCCACTGTTTTCTTTGGAAATGCCACTCACACTACACAACACCTATTCGCTATCGCTACCACTTTCGCTGGTAGGGGGAGTAGGATAGGTGCAAGTAATGCACCAAACAGCGTTATCGTAGTAGAGGCTATTGTTTGGAGTCCCCGCGTGTGGGCTCGCGGCGTTTCGACGTCTGTTGCAACGAGTTACTTTGGTTTGCTGGATGAAGTGGCATCGAGAGCAGCAGTAGTAGTGCTTGTAGGTACACATGGCTGTTGAATTGAGAAGCTGGGACAGCTCGAGATTGAGTGCAGAATGGTTCAACTGGCCCGGACAGTGTAGAGGAAGGCAAGAACATAGCCGATATGCCCACTTACTGTGCCCGACCATCATTTCTGGTGTTACATTGGCATGAATTATGGTGAAGCCTTCCTACCTCTCTTTTCTGCAGTAGACGCGGCAGCCTTCCCTATGGCCCTATGGCGCACATCCGTCGACTAAGGTGGTTACCTAGCACCCTAAGTGTAGCCCTGTGCTGTTCTTAAGGTAGAGAATTTAGAGCCAATGAATTACATGAGCCGACATCCTGCAGATTGTGATATGCCACCCATAAATATACCGGCCTATCATTCACCAAGAACATACCGAACATGCAAGTAAATTTGAAGTGAGTTGAGACACGGAGGCAAGGACCGCTTTCCTCCCCCCTCCCGCCATCCGAATCCCATGTGGTCGCCCAGCCAATTCATGTTCCTGGCTCTTAATAATCACCACCATGGATGCCAGCTGCAGGCCCAAGTCTCCAGAAAGTGATATATCTCACCAGTACTCTGGCTACGTCGCGAAATCCATACCCCTTGCGGACCTCAATTGTGGAGAGGAACGATGTTACCGTTCATCTCAGAATCATCCCTGTGTACCAAGTAGGTACCTAGCCAAGATACTTGAGAGCCTAGGAAATCTTGGTAAAGGGTCAGGCAAAGAACTCACAGCAGAGAATGATTGCAGGCTCTGTATTTGCCATGGGATTATGTATATACAATACAACACCATCAACTACCAACGACCAAATCCAGCACGCTCCTTTGGGGGAATAGTTTGAAACAACAAGACCAAAAGACAACACAACTCCATCCCAACAAAATTACCAATGACCAACCAACCAAGCCAGCAGCGGACCCAGAGACCTGAAAGCCGCTCCCGCTACATGCAATCACCAAACCCAACCCGTGTCATCCCATTCATGATGTCAAAAGCACACCCAAGAAACTTTTATGCCTCACACATCATTTACAGCTGAGCCAAGAGTACAGCAGCGCCAAAGAGGGCGGCCATGCCAAGAGCAGCACCCTGAGCAGCAGCACCAGCCTCAACAGGAGTGTCATCACCGTTGCCGCTGTCAGGGCCAGAGGTAGCAGTAGGCTCGGCAGGAGCACTGGTGGGAACAGTGATGCCAGAGGTGAAGGGGACACCGCCGGTGCTGCTGGCGCCAGAGAAAGCGGGAGCCTGGGTGGACTCGGCAGGGTTGGGCTCAGCGTCGGTGTTGGAGGGGTTGAGGACACTGTTGACATTATTAACACCCATCTTGGTCCGTCATGATCATCGGGGAGACTTACCCATCAATAACATGAATAACCCCATTGGCGCAAAGCACATCAGCCTTCACAACCCTAGCACTGTTGACAAAAACGCTCCCATCCTCCACCCGAAGCGTAATATCACCCCCCTGGAAAGTAGTCGCCGTAGCCCCGTCCTCAATCTGGCTGGAATAAACAGTCTGCCCGACAATGACGTGATACCCCAGAATCCCCGTCAGCTGCTCAACAGTCAGCTCGCTGACCAGGTTCCCAATCGCATCAAACGCCGCGTTGTTGGGGGCAAAAAGGGTAATGTCCCGCGCGTTGGTGAGCGTCTCGGCAACACCAGCCTGCGTCACGGCGCCGACAAGAGCAGTGAGGTTTTGCTCCAGGAGGGCGGCGGGCAAAGGAGCGGGGATAGTGAGGTAGTTGTCGATGATGTGGATGGTGCCGCCGGTGTAGTTGAAGTTGGCGGATTCAACAGTGCTGAGCTCGCCGTTTCCAGAAAGGAAGCTCACGCCGCCGTCAGCGGCCTGGACTTGGAGTCTCTGGCCGCCGGTGACGTTGCTGTACGCCGCGAGGTCGAGGATGGTGGGGAGGAATTGGGTGGGGGAGGAGGTGAGGTTGGAGGCGTAGAAGGTCCCGTTGAGGACGTGATAGGCGAGGAAGGCGGTGAGGTAGTTGGGGTCGGAGAGGAGCTCGTTGGCCAGAGGGGTGGCGTTCAGACGGGCGAGGGCCTCGTTGGAGGGGGCGAGGAGGGTGACATCTTGGGCGTTGGCGAAGAGCTCGTAGATGACCTCTTCGGACTGGAGGAAGCTGGTGAGGGAGGAGAGAGTAGCCGCGTTCTCGGCGAGGACGTCGGCGAGGGTTTGGGCGTTGGCTGCCGAGGCGAGACCCAGGAGAGTGAGGGTCTTGAGCTGCATGTTGGGTGTGTTTGACTTGTTGTTTCTGAAAGAGCGAACGAGAGTAAGAGGAAAGGGGACTCGTCAGGAGTGATGGCCCGGTGGCGCTTTTGAACGGTAGAGGCGGGATGTAGATTGATAGATGTCTGTCTGACTGTCTGGCTGTCTAAACTGTCTCGAACAATCACGGGGACCACGAGACTTTAAGCTACGCCGGTTGACGGCGATGCATCGCTCGGTTTCGGCGCATATCCAAAGGCTCTTCCTCATCAGTGCCTGACCGATCTGAACATCCATCTCCAACCCTTGCTGCATCGACGAGCCGCATAGAACATGAGGCATTCCTGCAAGGGCTCCCAACCCGAATGCGAGTAGTCAGACTCCAACAAAACCTCCACACCTCTAGAGCCAAGCTTGGCATACCCGTCAATCCACCCCTGACAAAGAACAGCAGAGAGAAAACATGGAGAGAATGTCGTCACTCTGCAGCGGTCCGTTGCTTGGCAGCTCTTGACCTGTAGGATGTGAGGCTAGTCGGCACGTTTGTATCCATCCATTCAAAAGGTCCCATCTTCGGCGGAAGACTCAACTCTCGAATCGAGAATCAAATACAAATGTCCCGCCCTGCCGAAATCACGTCAGTCTCAACCCTCGACCGCACATGAGCGAGACGATGGGATATAATACTATGAAAAACTCTGTTGATCCGCCGTGGTATGTAAGTAGAATACGCGTCCCTGCATTGCTCTACAGGTCCCTACTGCCCATTCACATCAGTAGTCAAAACCTTGTCTTCACAACTAGTATTCCGCCGACTCGGCATCCAAATCCCCCCGGCATCCCGGCCTCGGTCCCAAGCCGACCAAGCCGATCCAGAACCTGCTTTCATCGAATGTTTCTTCCAATTTCGATTGCCATGTCTGAAGCCAAGCGAAAACAACACGGTAAACAAGTTGGTGTTGAAGGAAAAGGAACAACACAGCCCCGATTTCACCAGATGGCGACAAGGGTGCAAATCCCATCTGCGATCGCCAAGCTTCGGATCCGGGGCAGTCTTGATCGCTGGGCCGCGCGCCGATTCGCCCTGCCGCACGGGCCCTAAGCCCAGTCAAACGGGCGCTAACCCTTTACGCATTTTTAGTGGAGAGCTCACTGTGGGGTAGCTGGGAAACATGAACTGACGACTGGCTGCTTGGGAACAACGCAGCAGCTCAGCTCAGCTCCAGCAAATTCTCCGAGGGTTGCTTTGTAAGTCTTGACAAAAGCTCTCAGAGCTCCTTCATAACGGCTGTGTCATTCACTGACCGAGATTTGCTGGCTCATGAAACTTGCCGTGTTTGGTTATTGATACCAATGAACGACAGCCAAGCCACCCAGGCCGTGTCGCCCAGAGAATCTTCTCGATGGTGGGGACAACAGTTCGATCGATGCGTTAGCTGACATTTGCTGTCAAACATGTCGTGATTGGGGATGGAGCTTGGCGGTGTTGTAAAATAGGGAAGACATCTGCTGGAGCCGTGAACACTGGCTACAGCCACCCTGCCGGTGACTTGGGTGCCGGGCATATTGCCGCCTATGAGAGGTGATGAGTACCCTGTGTGATATCTCCTGTAATTTATGTAGGTATATGAGGCTGTGGGTTTGTACCGTAGCTATGTGTTTGGGTAGTATCGTCGATGTTGGGTGCAGGAGTCAAAGGAAGTGACAGGCGGCGGGTCTGGGAGGTTGGTTGAGCAGATTGCCTCGGTAGTAGGACAGATTCAAGCCGCTCAGGTGACGGCGCAGTGAGAACCTTGATAGCCAAGTCAAAAGAGAAGGCACGACAGAAGGAAGGCACGGTAAGAGGAAACCACGGCAGACGGAAGGCATGACAGACCGGTACTAGTTGAGGTCTCACCAGATGAGTATTCCATTCCCACTCAGCAAGGCTTGCAGTCGCCCAAACATATCCAATGTCTCTATCTCTAGTCTCCGATCCCAAGCTCGATATAAACAACCTTCGAAAAGCACGCCATGCTCACAAAACACAATACAACAACCCACAAACGTCTTCAAACGCCCAATGCCATGATAACACCATCAACTAATCACTCCTCCCTCCGCCTCAAAAACAGCCCTATAAGCGCCCGTTGCTTCTCCTCCAGCGCCTTCCGATCCTTGTCCTTCTCCAACACCGACCCCCGACAAACCAACCCCCCAAACACTTCCGCAAACTTCCTCTCCTTAGCCCTGCGCCTGTTGAGAGCCACAACCGCCTGAATTCCCGGCCCCGTCGACCTCCTGAAGCTGAGAGACTTCCGGCCCAATGCGACTAGGCCCGGGCGAGATGCGGCATCGCTATTCTTGATGGCCTCCAGATCAGCCTTGGTCAGAGGTGCCAGCTCGGCAGCTATCCTTGCGAGTGTCGTCGTCAAGAATACAAAGCAGATATTGTGGTTGGGAGTGGTGGCTAGAATATCGAGGATCGCAGTCTTGTCGTCTTCCGCCGAGGGGGCATCGACTGCTGTAGCCACTGACTGTGCCAAGGAAGGCAGAGCTGCTTGCTCGATGCGGTTCCACAATGGCGTCGTGATAACCCCGTCGACCAGGCCTTCGAGGAAGAATAGGAAGGCTTCACTGACTGCCTCCAGGCGTTGAATAGACGGTACTTCGGGAGGGAACACGGAAAGAATTCGCTCGTCTCGATCGAGGGCATCGATGACACTGATGACTTGGGCAGTGCGCGTCTCTTTGTCGGTTCCCTGCCAGGTGGCTTCCTCCAAAGGCCAGCCCGGAGCGGTGGGAACTTCACAGTCGTCCAACATCTGGGCGTCGGCGATGGCTCGCTCGGTAAGTGTCTCCGTAGCTTCCGTAAGCTCGAACAACTCCTTTGGCGCAGCATGGTGCGCTGGTAAATCGTACGGAATCGCGCCAAATTTCCCATTCTTCTTGGCTAGAGCATTGCAGAACTCCCTGATGCCACCGGTCCTAACCCGGATGAGTTCCTCAACAGAGCGTCCAATACATGATGGTGCCCAATCGGCATGAACTGGAATGAAGTGATCCCTGCCGTCCATAACACGCAGCACCAGAACCTCATCCAGGGTCGCCTCGCCTTCGTTGAGCATTCTAGCTTGACGGACGGTATCGATGACGGCCTCTAGATGTGCATTCACCGTCTCGCCAGGCTCCAATGTAACCCTTTTCCCAAGATCAACTGGCTCTGAGCCATCGTCACTCTCTTCGGGGCGAATGAAGGACGTTGTTAGCCATTCAAAATTCCCAGCAAGGTCTGGGCCCTCCGTTGAAGGCTTCTCCACGAAGGCAAAGGTAGCTGGTACACTACCGGTATTGGCCAAGGTAAGAGACGATGTCATCTTCTCCAAGAACCTTACTCGTCCGAAATCGATGGCCAGCTCGGGCCTGTCGGAGACATTAGACTGGCTGCGCGGGCGAGAACCCTGATAGTCAACGACAATCGTGACTACTGGCCGTCCCTCGTTCTCTGCTCGGTCAAGCTCGCGCGCAACCTCAGCATGGACCTTGGCTTTGAGATCCGGGACTACAGCGTCGCAATCTAGTGTGAAGATGGAGCTTATAGGCTTGTGGTCTGATGAAGTGATTCGCTGATGGGAGGTGTACAGGTCAAGACGCAGTTGCTCACCAGTTTCGCCATTCTGTTCCTCGTCATCGTCGTTCTCGTCGTAAGCATCGTATGGCGATACCGAAGAGCTGGGCTGGTCGTCACCGTCGTTATCGGGATCGTAAGAAAATAGGACCTGGTCATCATCCGCGGCATTCTCCATGCCCTGGGCCTTCATCTCTTCGTCCCTCTTCCTTGCTTCATCTTCCTCGCGCATCTTCTTTTCAAAAGCTTCCCTATCCTCCCGCGTACGAAACAGGATGCGGTCGCACCAACTTGGAGGGCGTTGCTTTTCGCTAGAGTCGAACAGGGCGACAGTGCCGACGTCATACTTATAGGATGGTAGGAACCTGATCGGACCCTCCCGCCAGCCTTCATGGAACACTTTGCGGTCCTTCATCAGCCGTCTAAGCTGGTCGTGGGGCAGTAAGGAGGTGATTGTTGTTTGAAGCGAAGCAGGGTCTTCGCTTGGGTCTAATGGGAACTCGTCAGGATCGGGAAGGTCGAAAGAATCGTCGTCGGCATTGTTTTCGCCAGACTCCTTCGAGTCCTGTCCGATGGTTTCCTTCCCGGCTGTGTTGGTCTGGTCCTCATCTTTCGCATCCTCGCTACTGTCAGACAAGTGCTGCACAACTACTCCTTCGCCTTCCAACGAGTCCTCGCGACGTAGGTTCTTCTTGGAAACATCATATTCTCCCTGGGTATGTAGCATCAGCAGGCGGCGAATATCGTCACCGGGTAGATGGTCCAACCGAGAGTTGAGGTCTCCGAACCAAAATGCAAAATCCTCATCTCCAATCTTCCCCTTCTCGGCCTCGGTGATGCCACCAACAGCAATTGGTTCGAAGCGCGCATATTGAAGGACCTGTTGTACCTGCCAGATTCGTCGCTCGATGTAAGAGTTTTCAACTCCGCTGGCAAGATGACAGTTGACAAACAACAAGTTGGTGGCCTCGCCGAGAACAATGCGTGCGCACACTGCTCCTTTGTTGCCGAGGTATCCAAGCGCTCCAGTCGCAACACTAGTAGTGCTAACATTGCTAACAATGGGAGCAACCTCGGGGGAAGCGTAGACCAAGAGTAGCATGGCCGCAAGCTGTTCCGTGGCGATGAGCTGGTACCCATCTGGTAAGGCAGCCCCCAAAGCAGCTTTCCACTTGTCCGCGGGGGTACTGTCTGGCGCATAGATCCATGTCATGTACTGAGAGGGCGCTGTAAGCTCGTTGATCTCCTGAAGTCCGAGGACATAAAGATCAATCTTTTCATGTCCGTCGCCATTCTTGGAGCTCTTGTTCGTCTCCGTTTGTGTAGCATCCAGCCCCTCTCCGTCCACAAACCACCTGGCAAGATCCTTATCCGTGCCTGGGCATGCTGCCACGTTCCATGTTCCGATCTTGATTCGTACCCGCCGGCGACGTGTGTATTCTGACCGACGAGCGTATACTGCTCTCGACAAGGAGTGTGGGTTGGTGGAAGTGAGATCGACGGGTTCGGATGTCGTGGAATCAGCACGGGCAGCTGGCTCGGCATCCGAGGGCTCCATCGAGGAGGCCAGGTGATTGTCTCGATGGGAAACCGTCTGTCAGTTCAGGCGTAGAAAACCACGTAGGTACGTGGATCAATCGACCTCTCTGTTGCTAAATCGCAGGTCGAGGTACAGGCGCGGTTGGGCTGGCTCACGCATGGAGATTAAGTTTCGAGGGTCTTTAATGACATTCAAGGGTCGAATGCGGGGTGGTTGTATATATGGGCGACACGGAAGCTCACAGGACAAGCTAGCCCAGCAACGAAACACAAATTTCTATGGGCGCATAGTATGGGCTTCGGAGAAAATATGTCTCAAAGTTGTGTATAGGCGGAAAGTCGTCAAGGTACTCTAGGTAGGCAAGTAGATAGATAACATGGAACAAAAGACAACACCGGGATCAAAGGCCAGCTCCAGGCAGTTCAGGGACAAGTTGCTGGTTGGTGGGGCAGTGACGCATTCAAGATGGTTGCATGGCCAAAAACCCCAACCCTGGAGAGACACTGCCGCGCCAAGAGCCCCACAGCGGGGATACAAGCTTCAGCTTCGGGCGACCAGCAACACTCCAGATACAACGAGCCCATCATCACCAACCGGACGCACTGGTCCTTCTTGCGGCCAACACCCTGTCCGGCTTGATTACTGGTCACGCCTACCATATTATACTATAAAGAGCATCTTCTCTTGCTCTTTCTCGTGTAACTCAGATAACCCCAGTGTTCGCGACTGTCCTTCGTCCGATCTTGACACCCGTCGTCCGATCCTGTACGTTCCCGAGCCCCGCGGTGGCACCTGCATTACGCTCTTTCGAACGTGTACGAGTTTTTGTGTTTGCAGTCTTCCGATATGAGCAAGGCTACACCCCGAAAGGCGCGTCACCGCCAGCACCCAAGCAACAGTGGTCCCCGACAGCAAGTCCATGCCTCCGACTACGAATCCGACACAGCATACTACATGGAGAATCGCAACATGGCTCCCCAAGCCCCGTCTAAGACACGGTCCGATATGGAGGTCAACCTGACAGTCCTCCGCCGATATGACCCTACAATCAAGTCGGTGCTCGCCATCGCTGCCAACGCTGTCATCTACACCATTGGACAGGCCTCTGCTGGGTGGGAGAAACACGGAGTCGAAGGAACACTGTTCGTTTGCGAGCAAGAACCCCGTGCCGATTCTAGTGGCCAACATCTGCCACAATACTGCATCTTCATCCTCAACCGCCGGGGCATGAACAACTTTGTCGTCGACCTCGCAAGGATTAGCAACTGTGAGGTCGTGGAGGAGCTCATTGTCTTTCAGCTGGAGGATGGCTATACGATCGATAGCAACGAGACGGAAGAAGGCGCCCAAAAGGCTATTGGCATCTGGATGCACGAGGACGAGACTCGACCACGGAGCGCGAACTTTACCACCATCATGGGCGCCTGGCAGGAGGCTCGCACCGCCGGCTCGGCTTATTTGCCCACCGACGATGAAGGCCAGGGCGCTCCGGTCGCGGTGGCCGAGACACCAGCGCCACAGAATGTTGGGTTGGTTCCTGGGCAACAGATCAATATCAACGACCTGTTTGGGAATAAGTGAAGGGTATGGATAGGCATTCTGCCTAAGCTGGGTCTGGGGCATTAGAAGCGTGGGGACTTTAGATGCTGCTACAGCGATCTGGCATGGATTATGGAAACACATGCATGGTTAGGCGTTCAGGTCATACGGTATACAGGACGGTAGCGACTATCAATACGGATATCATATTGGGCACGGTGCGTTTACCGTGTCATGTGGCCTTTTGACACTGTGCTTTGCTTCACTGACTTGGCCTTCCACACTTCTTGGCCGTTCATGCTTTCTTTCCCCAAACATCTACAGCGCCACAAAAGCTATTCATTTCCAGCAAGACAATTCTTGATTCTTCACATGATGCAGAATAAGTCTGATGATAAACACGACGACAACTCCGACCTCCTCGAACCTTACGTCGAAACAGAGTTGGTCAATGCCGATTTATTTGGAGAGTGGCTTCAACAAGAACTCGGCGATGGTAAAGATCACCAGGGCATCATCTCAAAGGTAGCAGCGGCGCTCGGTGTATTTAAGAATACACTACAGTCGCTTTCTCTCGAGAGTACCCTGCCAAATCCCAGGTTATGGAACATGCAAGTCGATGCAGTCAATGGTAACGATTTGAAGGTCATCGTTACTATACCAGGGTCGGAGGAGGAGAAGATCGAAGTTGTTGCCAAGGATCAAGACGAATTGCAGTTTCTCAAAGGCGTAGGTAAAACTTTGCCTGTTCATGCAACGCCGTCTAACACTCTACATTAGGACAAATGTCTCGGATACATGTCCAAAGTGGTTAGTTCATCTGGCTCGAAGAAACAATGGCGAAGCTGGTGATATTGACAACTACAGTGGCATGGTCTTGCTCAATCGCTCGATAGACTGACCATCTACGCACAAAGATGCAAGGAACTGAAGACCCAAGAAGCGGAATTGATGTACAGTTTTCCAACGGCACGATGTTTTGAACCTTCAAGCTCATATCAAACAGGCATCCTGCAGAAGCTACAGTGCAGAAGCACATCAATCTGCTCCAGGAGTACAACGACATGAAAGACATTGGACAGCAAGTCATCGGCCTTATCGCAGAAAACAAGGGAGTTCAAATCGGGAAGCTCTACGAGAATGGGGACTACGGGGTCACGGCGGACGACTGAAGCAGCAACAATGGCCAATCTCTCTTGACTCCCCACCCCCAATCTTCGACTTCTATCTTATGTACAAGCCACAAATGCGTTGCCACTGGCCCCGGTATGAGTGATCAACTTGTCGAACGCTCCGTTGCTGTCGAAAATAACTCTGTCCGGGCCGGGAGATCCACCGGTGTACACGGCGTACGTCTTCATGATGGGATACTCATACCATGGTGCAGGGGTGGGGAAGTTGAAGCCCTCGTAGTTGTTGTACCGGTGGGGATAGCTGTCTGTTGACTGGTTAGTACTGTCTGTTACGACTTGACCAGCACAACTGACTGATGTTTTGGCCAGCAAGGCGGAGAGTGTGTCCCTTGTTGCGGGCAGCAGTGATGTGGGACGTCTGGTAGCAAACAGTGCCGCAAGTGTAGGCACAGGCTCTCTCTTCAAGCACAGGGGCAGCCTCTACCTCGGTCGAGACCGGTGCAGCAGACACGGCGACCACCGAGAGAATGGTAACGAGGGCGGAGAGGAACTGAAATGATTAGTCTCAACAGGAAGGACGCTGGGTGTCCAGTGACTTACCTGAACCATTTTGACCGATGAAAACTATGTACAAATGCAAGCTCGGGCTCGTGGGATACAGAATCAATAAATCAACAATCATGTATGAGGACCCAGCCCATCTTTATATCTGTCCTACTCGCAACTTCAACAACTCGTACCACCACCAAACAACGGCAACCCAACCACATCTGGAAGGTTGTACACCTTCCTTTCCAACCACCGCCGATCTCCCTATTGCATCTCCTGCACCCCATTCGATAGCCTCAGCTCATTTTCGTGGGGAGTATCCCCTTCAAACCGCGCTTACCTCGTCCCATCCGTCAACCGCCCACAGCTTGTAATCCTCCCCACATTCCAAAACACTCAAAGTTCCCACCCCTTGGTCAACCCTCTTGTCGATGTTTCGAAAATATCCAATACCACGCGCAAAAGACCCCCATCATGATTGGCCCACTCCAACATTCAGTCTCATACAACATGCAAGTAAGTCCTTAGCGCCGGCAGATCTGCAGCAACATCACGCCCAACCAGCGAATCATCTTGGCAAACCAGCTCAGGTGGGTTGCAAACCCCTGACGACGGCTACATAGAGCTAGAGACGCCATTTGTACTGATGAGGAAGTTGGCCGATGTAGTCTTATCAAGGTTATCTTGAGATGTTATCAGCCCCTTGATAATCCCACGTGGGAGACATGATTTGGTTTTTCGGACTTCGCCGGCTTCAGATATTCGAGTGATCACTATTGAACACACACATAGACACACAGAATCATGAGGTATTTCCACACAAAAAATTAGTAAGAGAATCTCATTGCCAATTCCTTTGTCTCCATTGAAGCCCGCAAGGGCCCGGGAACAATTTCTACTCCTTACTACGGACTCACCTTACTCACCTATAATCAACCCCCCACTTTACTCACCTCAAAACCTAAAAACAATCGTATCCGTCGGCGTCAACGCCAAATCCTCCGGCTCCGGCACCCCCTCCACAATCAAACACCTCTTCGCCTCGGGCAGCACAACCTCCCCCTCAGCCACCGCAGTCTTTGACAAATCCAACTCAGTGTACTCCAAGCTCAACTCGGTCGGCTCGGCAATCCAATACTCGTTGGCAATATACTCCGCCTCCTGAATGGAACTAATCGCGTCCTCGCGAATGTTCTCGATAAAGTCCTCGTCCACCTCGTCCATCGTGCTGCTCGGGGTAGAAGGGCCGCCGAGAAAGACAGGCATCGAGTCGAGCACCCCGTTGGGGCCGTGGGCTTCGACGCAGAGGGGGCACATGGGGGAGTAGACGTCGCACCTCATGTCCTCGATCCAGTCGGGGACGGTGGGGAGGCCGCAGTTTGTTTCGCAGGGGAGGAGGACGGGGTTGGACCAGGCGCAAAAGGGGTGGGATTCGACGTGGCAGCCGGTTTGGGATTGGTAGGTTTGGCACATTTTGGTGGGGGGTTAGTGGGTTGGAAAGGGGGGTGGTTAAGAGTTACCTGATGGTTGTTGAGGAGTTATGTGGTGAAATGAGTAGGTAAGTTGTTGATTTTCTTGCTGCTAATGAGTGATGGTAGTCAAGTTCGGGGCTCATAGGGGATCTTATATGCTTTTCGGGATGGGCCTCTTGTTGGCGACATTGTGCTATTTTAGATGCCGGCTTGCTTTGTTGTGACCCGCTGGTGGTCTTTCACAAGAAAGGTTTGGTTCAGGGACAGTCGGGAGAGAATGGTTTTGTGCTGTTTGGTGAAAGACATTGCCGTGACAAAGGTCAAAGAGTTGGGATGCATAAAAATAAAACAGACAGGTAGGTTGAAATCATTCAATACCGTGTATGACGAAAGTAAATATCGCTGTTCAATGTGTCTGTCTGCTGTCCCTCATGCAACGAGGGTTCTTGTGGGGAGTTACTTGACCTGAAAGCCTGGACTTTGCATTTTAAGAGTTTCAGGAAAAGAGCACCTCTTTCTCAGACGTTTATCCATTGTGCCTGCAGTCTTGACTTGAATTGACGTCACAATATCCGGTAGCTTTGCGGAAGTTAAGCCAAGAGGCGCACACTTTAACCTTCTTCGAAGAAGCCACAGAAAAAGAAAATGGCACGTAAAAACTTTTTAAAGGGTTGGCCATTGGTTCTCATCGCTCATCATCGAATCACTCTCCCGACATAGATTCATAGCATAGCAATACCGTATGCTACTCTACCCGTGTCGCAGTCTGCCAATTCAACCATGTCAGATTCTTGTGGCGATGACCCCTTGCCCAAGCCCCCGATGGAGTTGGAAGTCAAATGCCGCAAAGCCCTTGAAAGATACGCAGCAATCACAAAGATGGATGGCACGAGACACTTCCCTTCAGACATTCACCGACAATCTGCCAACATCAGGACGTTCAACACTCATGTCAGAGATCGTCGAACACGCGGTGAATCATGCTAAATTGAGACAATTGAGAAATTTCTTGTTGGATGCCATTCTCAAACCAGGTACCGCAGCTCCCCCTATTCTTCATCCCCATCTCGCAAATACTGACAATGTGCATAAAAAGTACGAAACCGGTACCACAAAGCTCGCCTGACCATGACAGCCGCACTGGCCCCTGATTTTGACCAGGATATTGACAAGCATATCGCCACAATGGCCGAAAGGTCACGCCCCAAAAAAGGGCGTCAATATCTCAGACAACAATACCTTCTTAGAGATGACCGCCGCTGTATCATGACTGGTTAGTATGAGAGACGCTACCTTGCCTCCCTATCTCCGCAAGACTAAGCAACTAAGTTCCGTAGCACTATTTCACTGTATTCACATCCTCTCTTCTACAATTTTCAACTGTGGCGACAACAAATCCACCAGAGTTAGTCCACCTCAAGGTCCACCCACCTCAATATTAACCCAACTGACACGAGCCTACTGATCCAGGCTCGTCAAAGTACAGCTACGTGGTGGGCCCTCCGTCGGTACTTCGACCTTTCCGACCGCAACTTCCACCCAGATATCCTCCACGGGCCCGAAAATACCATATCCCTCACGATTGAGTTCGTCAAGGAGTACCGCCAGTTCCGGATAGCTTTGGAACCAGGAGAAGGCAATGGAAATATCTACACCTGCCGTATCATGGATCCAGAGACCCGGAGCATGTCTGTAGATCATTTTGCTCCCCAAGATCAGCCCATCACCTTGACGCATCATGACAACATTCCAATGCCCAGTAGGGACCTTCTTAGAATACATCATACCTTGGGTAAAATCTTTCATGTGAGCAAAACCACCGCTGAATCTATGACCAGAGTGCTGACTTGTGTGTAGGCTGAGCCACGTTTGAACTGGAACGTGATGATTGAAGAAGCAGGTTGTTGATGGGATATATTCAGCATGTATGATCTTAGTATCTATGTAACAGCTTCCTTGCGGGATCTATATGGCTTGATATTGATGGAGATGGATAGCTATTCAAGAAGGCGGACGCCGAGAGTAGTGAAATATACATTACGCCTACCCAATAAAAGCCAAAGGAAGGTGTGCAGAAAGAAGGCTATACTCTGTAAGCCATTAGCCAACGGCATACACTGTTTAAACCAGCATCACCTATAACCATAACCCTAACCCGTCACCCCGTGCCCCCCTACTCCCTCTCCTTCACCCATTCCCTCATGCACCTCTTTCTCTCCTGAAGACGGGACCCAATTTTACACTCAACCTTTCTCACACACAACCCTCTACTCACTACCCATCCTTTCCTCCCCGCATCCTCTCACACCATTCACAACCACCAACTGGACCTTTCCCCTCAGAAAAGGAACCTCCCCCTCCGCAACCCCATCCAAATGCAACCCCAAAAAGTTCTCCCCTCCACCACCACTAACCCTTCCCCTACCCAAGAAAAAGCCAAGATGATCATCACCCCCTACCATACCAAGCCCGCCCAAAATCCCACCAATAACACCCAAGCAAAACACAAGCATTCTTGGTACCGGCAGTTACCTTCCCCCCCTTTAGCGCCCCTATGAACAAGCTCAAAGCAACCAAGCTAACGGCTTCCAAAGCCGATCGGTTAGACATGGGTGGCACCCTCTTGGCAACGACGACAAGAGAAAATGTCACTGCGACGGAGAAGTGTTTTTAAGTTGAGCAAAAACGCCCATGTATCAAAATTGTCATGTCCCGACTCTCGTCCCAAAGAAGAGGCCAGAAATTGAATATCTACAAGAAGTTTGAAAAGAATGCCATCAGAGTTATCACCGAGGTGAAAAACTCCCATGGATGCTAATGCACCGTTCCCACTCCCATCCACTCTATCAATGCTATTCGCTTTCCTCTACTACCACCTCGCCAAAAAAAACCAACCCTTGTTCCACCGCCGCTCAAGAAGGAACTTCTTAGCAGGTGAAGACCGAGGGGCCGGGGATCTGGTAGTTGGTGACAGGGGGCCAGTAGATGCTGATCTTGACACCGGGGTGGGAGCCCTACATATACGAGTTAGTAACCAATTGGCTGGGAACAAAGTGATGATATATCAAGGCAAAAACTTACAGAGTAAGCACCGGGGAAGGCAACGGTGGAGGGGGTCTTGCTGCCGGTACCGCCGACAATGTTGAGCTGAGCACACTCCATGTAGAACTGAGCACCGGGGTAGTTGCCGGCACCGTGGAGAGCAAGCATCTCAGCACGGAGGAGGTACTGGCCGGGGGCGATGCAGGAGGGGATCTTGATGCTGTGGCGGCCCTGGCCGTTGATGACCTTCTCGGTGCCCCAGACGCCGTTGTTGTAGCCGTCCTCCTGGATCTTGAACCAACCGCCGCCGACACCAGAGTCGGTGGTGGCGTCGTTGACCTTCTTGAGGTAGGCCATGGTGGGGCCCTTGTGGGAGATGTCCATGATGTCGTTGGGGGCAGAGCCGGTGGTGGAGAGCATGTAGCGCCAGATGGCGGTCACGTTCTGACCAGCCTGGACGGTGATGACCTTGGAGGTGGGGGTGGTCGGGTTGGGAGCACCGTTGCAGGCGATCGAGGCAGAGTCGACATTCTCAATGGGGCCGTTGTAGCTGGGCACACGGACACCACCACCAACACCGTGGTTGACACCGTTCACCTCGAGGGAGGAGAAGATGGTGTGGGCGCTCGCGGCGGAGGCAAGGAGGATAGGGGCGAACTTCATGGTGACGGTGGATGGAGTTTGAGGGAGTGGTCCAGGTAAACTTGCTCGAATGTGCTCGTCGATGGATGGCTCTCTAGAAAGGATTCTGGATGGGATGGTGACGGGTATATATACCTGTGCCACCTGCCGTGACAACACCAAGTCCCGCCATCATGCTTTCAAGATTGTGCATCTTTCGGTTGCAAAGACTTGACGGCCTCGGGTTCCGCAGTTGGCAGCAGTAGCCGCGCGGAATCTGGGGGGCATGACAGCAGGCTTGGTGGCTTGGAGGCCAAGGAGTGCCACGCCGGCGTCAATCCGGTCACGATCCCGATCTGGGTGCAACATCTCGGCGCCTAGTCCGACTCGGTGCAGTGAGGTTGTCATCCGTGAGGGCCGCCGGTGGACGGGCGGAACATGATGGTCCGGAGACCAATATAGAATGTTCGGCAGCCTTGCCGACAATCCCCCAGACGGGCCTAGCCAAGCCTCTAGACCTTGATCTGTCTTGCCCCTGCAATCTTTTCCCCTTCAGGGTTTTCTTCTCTGATGGACGTCAGTTGTCCCGCTGACAAGCTTTTCCCGGTTTCAGGAATCGTGTTCCCCACAAATCCGATGATCTCATCCAACTGCAGTCTTCGTGTGTCCTCCTCCGCAGACTCTTGATGGAGAAAGCGCCCCCGCGGGGAGCGGCAGAGAAAGGCACCTTGTGCATCATGCACCCCGGCCTTCAGCGGCCTCCTTTCCCGGGACTCTGTCATCATGTTTCCACAAAACCAGGAAGCGATTCGACAAAAGTTTTTGTCGCTTCCGTTGCAGCCCAGCTTCTGTGGTATTTTGAGCATGTGGGCATGTCTCTTGAAGGATATTCGGGGAACCGCCCGTTGACCGCTACGCGTCGAGGAGGCTGTGTGATGTGGTTGGCATCTTGATGTTGAGGAATCTGGTGTGCAAGCGCCTGCCAGTCTTGGACATGTGTGTTGAGTTGAGCACATTGTGTTTTTGTCTCGTTGTTGGCTGAGCTTCTTGGTGCTGCAGGTTTTGATCACTCGAATATCGGGCCGCGTACGCCGAGCAGGAAACAGCAGCGCCAACCTGGCCTACTAATCATGGCGGATTCCAGATGATTCTTCCGAGTGACTTGGCGATGGAGGTCTTTTATTCTTCGAGGCAGCCGTTGCGCTGACGTTGTCTTGATCACTAGTTCGTCATCTATCGTCGGGCAAAGGGAACCTTGGAACCCAACGCGGGCTTTGGTGTCGGCAGCTATACCATGGTGATAGGAACGAGGATATGGGGGGTCAATGGGATACTAGCTGGATGTCTCTTATTTCTCTGTTGTCAGCCTCGAACAGCTCGCAAACTATGTTTACGTGCTGCGGTTTCTGGAATAGCTGCCGCAGGCAGACGTCGACGATACCACCGACAGTAGCACCCTGAGGAAGGTGGGTGTTATCCGGCAGATGATTCTTGTTGCGCGTTTCTTGCCATCGCCTTGGCAGGTGAACATGGTCGGGCTTCGTCGAGACTTACCACAAGTGGTGCAAGACCTCCAGCAGTGAATTTTGGGTTGAGAGATAACTGAATCCTCATCTCGAGAAGAAATCGCTCGTTCTGTTGACTACACACCTCGCTACTTAGGCATCCCGGCCATCATTTATTGTCGGCTATTTACAGCCAAAAAATAGTATGCCCGGGGCGAGTGCTTTTCAACAGCTAGGGCAGAGGGTCGATACTAGCTAGTTACTGTTTTTAATGAGCTATACAAGTTGGAAAAATTGGATCTTCGTGCAGGTCTTCGGTTCTGGAGGCACTGGAATCCCAAACAAATGACACGAAGAATGCTTGACGAGATCTACAATGAAAAGGGAAATGAAAAGTTTCCAGTCTGATAGTCTTGATGGGAGACGGGAGTGTGGCCCAGAAGAGTATGGCTGGCGAAAGCGGAAAGTACGAGAGGCATGGGATAACACTGCCGCCTTCGGGGCACTTTCTTGCCCTCGCAAGAGATATCGGGGAGGGACAAACTCTGAGTATCGGATCAATGTTTCCCCAATGTCCGATAATTCGCAGATCTTTCCAGGAACACGGAGATGTTGTCGCTCTCGTAGTACGTACAATCAAGGTCCAATTCCTTCTCGTTTATTGCCGTGGACAATCGACCTTCCTATTGGACTGCGCCATACTAAATCATTGGCATTCCGGCTAAGTAACTCCCGATAGCCAATTACCTTGTCAAACGCCCCTCATTTGCTCATTTACCCTGCTGTATCGAGGTGGGTAAGGAGCGGTTACAACGGGGGATATGCAGGGAGAATCCCTTACTACTACTACCCGGAATTCGAGGACCTTGATCAACGAGGAGCTTCTAGAGGCACGCTTGATCTGAACAAACATCTCCAGTCCTCATCATGATGACCATGTTGTTGCTTGAGGCTAACCGCAATGTTAAGTGACCTGTCTCCACGGGCGGAGTCACTCGTCCCAGCGAATGTCGACAAGCTATTTGATCTGCTTAATACCAACGGCGAGGCGTCCTCGGGATCAACATGGAGTCGCGCACCAAGGTCCCTTTCTGCCACTCAACAGGGGAGTCGGAACTTGCTTGATGGTGTTCTCTCGCCGGCTGCCACAACTCAAAGACCTTTTGTCCAACAACATTCAATATGGCAGGAACCGCTTTTTGAGTCGGGGTGTAGAGGCTCACTGCATGGTCAACAATGCGCAGGGCAATGCTCCGACCCCAAGATATTGTTCAGTTCCCTCAGCATTCTAGGAAACTGCCTTGCCTTTGCAACCGCGGGCTTACTGGCAGATGACGGCATTGTTATTCGAGAAGCCCCACTGGAGGACACCCCGACATCACTACAAATAGCTGGTGTCCCCGAAAACATCAATGCAACTCAGATACTCGATGATATTGTACGATGCGCTGTGTCGTCCTGCGAAGGCGAAGGTAGAATATCCGGCATGGCCACCTGCACGACACAGCTTATCGAACTAAGGGGACACCTGGGTGGTCCGCATAACGCCGCTAGCCTTGAGCAATTCCAGGTCCTTCATGACGGCCTAGGCCAATATTGTGGCAAGCTTGATATGGAGTTTGAGCCTGACATTGCAGGGCCGGGGGTAAGTTGGCATTTTCCTCTGGAAAACTGGCGATTCTTTTGGATTCAGAAACTGACCGCCTAACCCTTCTCCAGGTCCTGCTGTCACAAATGATACAGGCATCAGTCTCAGTCACCTCGTTTGTTTTCATCACGATAATCAGCTCTTGGGCCCGGTTCGTTCTTTTGGTCCACAAGCGAGGCGACTGGAAGAAAGCGGAGCGTCGTCACAGAAAACTCACAACATCCAGAGTCCACGGTGCGTTGGTTTCGGCTGCCGTGGAATTCCAGGAAGCCCAAGCCTTCTTCACCATGGCCATTCAGATCGCGACCATTGCCACGTTTGAGCCGAGCTTTACCTGCGGCTTGTCTTGCAGCCAGCAAGAATCGATCCAATCCCTGAGCGACACCATCATGAATGGGCAGTTGATTCGTGCTCTGGCGGTCAACAGCATGTTGCCTGTGCTTCTGACACAGTCAGTACTACACCGTGCCGGAATGAGCTGGTGGTATACCTTGACGCTTTGCATCATTGTCTGCATCTTTTCAGAGGTCATCAGGTGGCAAACTGTCACTCAAGTCCCTTTCCACATCCTGTTAGGCCGGCTAAAAGATCTAGTACCAGTGGATGAGTGTGGTGGTAACCCTTCTCTGACAGCGTATTGCCTGACGCCTTTATACAATCTTCAACTTGTGGAAATGCCCATGCTGATTGTAGGATATACAACCGCCCTGGTACTCCTTCTTGCGCAGAGCGCACATCGGACATGGCCGATTATTTCACCTATTGTCGAGAGGCATAGACCTGGTCAGTTGCTGGCTTACTTGGGAAAGCATTTCTTTCGAGTGTCTTGGTACGGATTGCAGATGACGCTTGCCATCGCCACGGCCTTACATTTCGTCACTCTTTGGACCATCAGCCGCGGTTTGAATGCGTCACCGAAAGACTGGACATATGGCCAGGTGGTGTCGGCAATGCTCTGGGCTCCGATATTGGGAAAGTACCTATACTACAATATTTGTAAGTGGTATTGAACAGACTCTGGGTTGCTTCTTTTTCGCTTACGTTTCTGTCTTAGTTGGAGTGAAGAGGGGAGTCGAGGCACGGCTTGCGCGAGAGTACACGGTGATTCGACTTGAGCCTCACTGAAATGCTCAGTTATCCTTGCGGTATGCCTACAGCGCCAGGGCTTTGATCGAATCACCACCCCGGTATCAGGCTGCCTTAGCCACAGCATCACCCCCAATAACTATCGACTTGGCACATCCGCACCTTCACGGAATTGCATTTAAATTCACGGTACAAAAGCTCCAGGTATTCTGTTTTCCAGCACCATTTGCCCCTCGATCCACTACCACTTTCCGGCAAACAGGATGTCAATCAATTCACCTCAGGGCAGCACCTCCATGCTCCACACCCTGGTGGTGTGGTTAGCCAGCTACACCGCCTGCGTATTGAAGAAGCTGAAAAAATCCTTTGATTCAGACCTGTCACACCTACCGCCACTTGTTTACGGCCCTTTACCTAGCGCAGCATCCATCAGAATCCTCGATATGATCAAGCCAGCTGCAGGAGACAAAAACATCATCAGACTGTCAACTCGAATCATCAACCTAGACTCGGACTTAGCCTCGCTGCCGGAATATGTGGCTCTGTCTTATACGTGGGGAAACCCAATCACGATTCGAGAGTCGGTGCCAGATTCAATGAATTTCAGAAACCCCTTTTTCTGTTCCATCAAGGGGCCGAATAATGAACGATTTGGATGGCTAGACCCGGCAAAATGGATTTATTTCTGGCAAAATAGCCGGTACATGATAGCTGAAGAGAAGGTCGATTGGAACGGTGACAAATTAAGGTGGATTGAGTTGGATGGCTGCGGCGTGCAGGTCAAGGAGAATATGTTTCACTTCTTGGAGACAGTTCAACGGGTACGAAAAGACTCTGCAGGGCCTCACGGTTGGGGCGGGCTTCAGCTAGACTCAGGTTTCGACAATGTGGGCTATCCGCTTTGGATCGATGCTATATGCATCAACCAGGACGACCCAGACGAGCGAGGTTCTCAGGTATCACTGATGTCCAGGGTCTATCAATCTGCCAAACACGTTTTGGCATGGACCGGGAAGAGTGACAGACTGTCGGAATGGGCAGCCCAAAGGTTCAGTCGACTAATGGATTGGGAGGCACACCGTGCGCAACGGATGAGGGAGAAGATTGAAAAGGGAGAAGAGCGCTCCTGGAGCGATATCAACATTGACACAACGCTTTCGTCGATTGAGTGAATGTCTATACGCCATTGGTTTGGCTTATTCGCTTTTTTTCACCGTATTTGGTTTCGTCGAGCATGGATCGCGCAGGAGGCGACTTTCGCAAAACGTACCTTCGTCTTAACCTCCACTAACCTGTTCCCTATGATGATGGTCCTGTTGGCGCTGGAGGTGATTGACAGGTATGGGTAGGAAGATGAGTTATGCAAGTTAGGACGAGGCCTGCTTACTGGTCGGTCCGTATCAAACACTGAGGCTTTCGTTGCAATGCATACGAGATATCTCGAGGATGAACAAGGGGTCACTTTGGATCATGCAGAGCGATTGGCAGTTGAGCCACGAGATGCTTTCATTTTCCTTCGGGGATTCCGATGTATTCGCGAAAGATCGAACCTGGACCTGGCGGGCACAGGTACCATAGTAGTGACAGGACGGAGTGAGAGAGGCTGGGACATCGAGATTTTACCACGGGTGCATTTGGATATCACTCGGGTACAATTATCAGTGCCCCGGCTGACTCAGTTCCCTTGAGCCCTTTCCACGAGCGGCTAAGTCTACTTCCTGTCATATCGGTCTTTCGGAACCTCAATGCCTCTGACCCTCGGGACAAGGTATTTGCATTTTTGAACATTGCAGAGGAAAAGGGGCTTGTTGCGCCAAACTACCGCCAAAGTGCCCAGGCCGTTTTTCGGGCGACAGCAGAGGCCATAATTAAGGACACCAACAGTCTCTCTGTACTATCACACATTGAAGATCCGTCAAACCGAAAGATCGAGGACCTTCCCGATTGGGTCCCTGACTTCAGCGCGAGGCTAGAAACGGAAACGTTTGACAATGGGTCCGACCCTTGCAGATATTGCGCCTCATATATCAACTTCAAATTAACGGAAGCAAGCGAGATCGTCTTCCATCCTGAGGGGGGTTTGTCCGTCGTGGGCCATTGCATTGACACAGTGAAGGCAGCTTGATGAGCTCCCAGCGTCCGAGATTCGGGACTGGCCGATGACGTTGGAAAATCTGAAGACAGGAAGAAGAAGAGAGGAGAGTTACGGTGTACGGACACAAGAGGGTGATGAGCAGGAGAAGGACCAAGGGTCATCAGATTGCTCAGGTTATGCAGAGAAGAGCAGCGAAGAGCTGGAAGGGCCTCCAGAAACTGAATCCATGTCCAACCTTGGGCATAATCTGGAGATCTTGGAAGAAGACATAAACGACCAGAAGGACCACTTCTTCGGAGGATCTTCGAGCGTGCTGCCAGCTCGACACTTGCCGGCTGCAACCAAGATTTTGAGCTTTTTGGAGGAGCAGGGCCCTCTGCAGGATACAGAGGTTCAAAACGATTGGGCTTCTACCAAGTACACGCGGAATGCAAGCCGCTGTTTTTCCAAGGTTCAAAAGGCGCAAATTCGAAAATACGAAGCTCTGATGAAGGAGGCTACCCGCGGCCGAAAATTCTTCCTTCCTGACGGGGAGAGATTCGGGTTAGGCCCAAAATCGACAAGGGAGCCAGACGGGGAACTTTATGATCAGATTTGGGTGATTGAGGGAGCCAGTGTTCCATTCATTCTCAGGGAGACTGACACTTCGGGTTGTTACAAGATTATCAGCGAGGCGTATGTGCAAGGGTTCATGTATAGAGAGTTGATTGGTAGCTTGGTTGGGCCACCGAGGAGGATCTCTTTGGTGTGATGTGGTGAGCTGGTGGCGGCCGCGTTGTTGGGTACTGAACCAGGCTGAGCTTCCTGCCTTACACAACGTTCAGCTACCTTACCTACCCTGACCTGATTTTGATGTTTATTTGCAAATTCTGCATTTCTGTCCTCAGCTCTCCCTAACTAGGTATGATGGTATTTGGGTAGAGCAAGTACACACCAGAGTCAAAGAGAGTATCCTGCGTGCGTTGTTGCTGGGTAAACCAATCTCCTTGACCGCTTAATGATGATAATGAAGCAGACTGTTCTCTTTATTCCATCGTCGTCAAACATATAACCATATTGCACATCTCCGCCCTCATCAAAAGCTTCCTGGGCTTTTGCTTTGCGCGTTAGGGGAAAGGAATGATCGCCCGATCAATCACTAAAACCCTCCCAGTCTTCCTCCGGTTGCTCCTCCCTAAGCTGCACTCTCTCTCTGTGACGTATCACAAGCTCTCCTCGCCTGCCGGTCCGCGACTCGTCCCACTCTAGCTGCGGCAGCATTTGATCAATCACTAAGGTAGGTAGGTAGTCTAGAAATCTCACCACCGGGCCATGAGGCTCAGGATACGCCGGGAAAATTTGGTCGAAATCCCAATCCATATCCACATCCTCACTCTCGCTCGGCTCCCAGTCCATCCCCTCACTCTCACTCTCCT